GCTGGTTCCTAGCAAAATCACAAGTTGCTAAGGACGTACGGTGCATATGCCGCATGGAGATCTTTGGAAGGGCATATGATGGATCCTTCTTAATATGAAGTAATAGTTACTGTTACTTTGGACAAATTAGCTCGCTGAATTTCAGCTGGGCGTGGCAATGCCGCGCCTTTGTTTCTAGTTAAACTTACTACTACTACTACTTGTTTTACAAGTTAATTTTCCAAAATAACATTCCACTTTATAATTTCCTCGAAAAGAAAATTACTCGGGTAAAAGATTTTTTTTAAAAAAAATACACTCTCTGGAGACCAGAGCCCCGCAAGTGTATACTGTAAACGCCATTAATTTCCCAAAAGAACATTCCACTTTATAATTTCCTCGAAAGGAAAATTACTCGGGTAAAAGATTTTTTTTTAAAAAAAAACACTCTCTGGAGACTAGAGCCCCGCAAGTATATACTGTAAACGCCATTAATTTCCTAAAAGAACATTCCACTTTATAATTTCCTCGAAAGGAAAATTACTCGGGTAAAAGATTTTTTTTAAAAAAAACACTCTCTAGAGACCAGAGCCCCGCAAGTGTATACTGTAAACGCCATTTACTTTTTTTTTAAAATGCAGCAGGATCAAAGCACATGATAGTATTCGACCAAACTAATTTTCGCCGGGTCGGTATTCCACCAAATTCTTGTAGCACACGCTAATCGCATCAAGTGCCGAAAGGAGTGGGATCAATAGAAAACTGGAGAAATCATGCATATCCTAGTGCATCCAAAATTCCAAACCATTAACTGAGAGACAGCAAGCAATAGGATGATCCACGATGGGAGAAAATGTAAAGATGAACCAATCATACTCTCATTCATTCGAAAGGAAAAAAAGGGGGGGGGACAAATTATACCAAATCGAACAGGGAAATACCAACACCACCCAGAAATTATTTTCACTTTTTTTGTGACATTTTGAAACATGTTCAGGTAGTCGTAACAAATCTAGGGGACGAACTCTGTTCTCTCACATGAAACGTGCGAATCCTCACGGCAAAAAGCGAGATGCGGTTGAAGATATTCAGGTCTGGCTCAGAAATCGAAGTGGCTGGACCTGAGTAAGTTGACGCGGGTGGCGGCCTCGCCGAGGCGGCCACGGAGCTCCAGCACCGAGCGGTTGGGGTCCTGGATGTGGTGGGCGAGCTTGGTGATGCGGTTGCCGAAGTTGGTGTAGGCGGCGGTGGATGGCCCGCCGACCCTCCTGGCGAGGCGGATGATGGTGGCGGCGCTGTCGCGTAGCCGCGCGAGGGCGTTGGGGTCGTGCACGTCCCGCGCGAGCCTGGGGAGATTGACGTCGGCGACGATGGAGAGGTGCTCGTCGACGCCGGCGAGGTCGAGGAGCCTGTCGAGGTTGCCGACGAGCCAGCCGTAGTCGTCGAAGAGCGCGTACATGATCGCCGCCATGGCGGGTGCCTCGCTCAGGACGACGGACTCGACGCGGACGTCGACGTGGGGGCTGTGCGGCCCGCCGAGCTCCCTCGCCACCGCCTCCGCCTCGGCGAGGCTGGTGATCGCGAGCACCACCAATGCCATCGTGACACCCGCGGCGCGGCCGTTGGTGGGGGAGGGAACGAGAGGAGTAAATTTGGGTGGGAAGATTCTGGACTGGACTCAGTGGGGGGATTGCGGGGAATGGGAAGGGGGCTCCAATTTATAGCCGCAGCCGTGAGGAGAGGGGGCGCGTGATATCCAAGGGCCTATTTGTATTGTTACCCTTTTTGGTAGTATCAAAATCTAGATAAGTTTTGGTACTACCAAATATTTGATAAGGTAAGATTGTTTTTATCATATTTGGTTTGCTACCAACATAAAGTCAAAATGTTAAATTATAGTAAAGAATGTTCTAGATAATGCCAAACTAGATTAGCTATTACCAATGAATGGGCTTCAATCCAAATCAAACACAAGTACTATTTAAATTACCAAAATATTGTTAGGGCATGTTTTTGGTAGCAATCCAAATTGGCCCCAAAATTTGGGGGCAAATCGGAAAAACCCCAACACGCCTCTGCGATGGCGAGCGACGGTGGAATCTTGGCCTTCTTTGCCGTGGTGTGTACTCCCTCCATATTTTAATATATGACGCCGTTGATTTTTTTTCCAATGTTTGACCATTCGCCTTATTCAAAAAAATTTATGTAATTATCATTTATTTTATTGTGCCTTGATTTATCACCAAATATTCTTTAAGCATGATATAAATATTTTTATATTTGCACAAAATTTTTGAATAAAACGAATAGTCAAACGTTGGTTAAAAAGTCAATGGTGTTATACATTAAAATATAATACGGAGGGAGTATGTGTTTGGGAGGAGTCGGAATAAAAAAAATGTGTGTTAGGATAGAGTGCAAAAAAATATGCCGGTAATTACACACGGTTAAAGGAAGTTTAGAATTTCTACCATCTCTATAAAACAGAGATTATGGATCTAAATATGTATTTTACAGTATCAAGGATCTAAACGATCTTATCATGCTACTTTAAAGATCGGACATGTATTTCACTCATTTTTCTTGCAAGTCCATTTTACAAACACTTCCCCCTCTCGACTCTTCACATTGTTTTGAACAAACCCCTCAACTCAAAAAAAAAAAGATAACCGACCCTTCTAACTTTCAAAGACCCTTCAGTTGGTTTCTACCAGTTTTCATACACTGGACCTGTTTGGCTGCCCTTATTTGCACTGTGTTGCAGGCTATACCAACAGTACTTTATATGTACAGCTGCGGCAGCGCCAACTATACAGGCCCACTATCACGTCATATCGAGCGCCAACTATACAAATTGGGGGGCCATACATGCGTACGTTCTTCCTCACCCTCTCTAGCCCTCTCCTCCACTTTCTCCACCTAGCAAGCCACTGCTACCCTCCTATTAGGACCACTGGACCACTACCCACCACCTGCAAGCTTGCCATTCTCTACTCGTGATTTCTTTCTATCCCTCCCCGTTATGTACTCCTCTCTACCTCCCATTCTTCTAGCTACACGGCCTCTAGATCGACGAGGAGATAGCAGGTTGTACTTTAACGGGAGAGCCTTGTGTGATGGCGACGTTAGCGCTTCGAACTCGAGCAAGTGACGGGAGGGTGGCCATCTATAGGCCAAATACACCTCCACTCTATCGATCTCCGCCGCTTGAGCTCCATGGTCCCGTCTTGCCAAGACCTACCTCCCTGAGCTTAGTCGCCGCTTCCTCATAGAGCTGGTGCTTAGCTTGCATCGTTGCCTCATCAAGCTCCACTCCCGCCATCGTTCCTCTACCTCCCTCGTTGCTGCCTTCCCGAGTGTCATCGACTTGCAGACCTGTCGCCTCCTCAGACCACAACTGTGTTGCCGCTTCTCCACATTGAGAGCCGCCTCCTTCGTCATCTATGCTAAGAGAGAGATAGGGATGAGAGAGAGGGAGGAGGAAGGAGGCAAAGAGATGTTCATCCTCGACAAGCTAGCTCAGCTGTCGTTGTTGTCATTGCCTTGCTCATCACCCATATTTGACTAGGGGCGGCTATAGATGGCCAAAAGGCCTAGGGCCCTCCCCACGGCATGGGGTTTTGGCTCGGCCCAGGCACGACATGCACCGACTGGAGTCAAGCCCATGCTAGCCTACCCCGACCGTTGGGCGGTGCCTGGGCCTCTGCCTCGGCACGATGGGCCGACCTGACACGACATAGTCCAATGATCAGAGAGGTAAAAATAGATGAGGGGGGTAAATAAACTTATTCTAACCATATAACCACGGCCCAAAGAGATGAGGGATGCAAAATAGATTTATTCAAGCCATATAAGACACAACCCAAAGAGGTGACATATGTAAATAGACTTATTTCAAAGAGGAGCACGATGGGTTTTTGTACTTTTGGACCAGCCTGACACAGTCAAGAGTCTTATTAGCCCGTGGGTGGATATGGCTTGACCCGACGTGTAGGTCGGGCCGTACCGACCCAGCTGGTCTCGGGCCCAGGCCGGACCGAACGGCCCATTTGGTCATCTAGAGGGGCGGCACGACACGACTAGCAAGTAGCAACTGATAGCCGGACACGAAGCTCGGGGGTGGTGTTACCGACACGACCTGCCATAACAAAAGGACACAGAGCTTTGGGCTCGGCACGACCAGCTTCCACCACCGTTTTGCTCGTCATGCGTCATGGCCTTCTCGCGTGGTTAGAGAGAGCTAGGGGCCTAGGAGCACTAACAGTGATACCCACGAGTCCACGACTTATTTTCTTTAATTGTTTTGATTGACTAAACTGTCACGTCAGCGTCATATTGACGAAAAACAATTTATGTTTATGTGAGGGGGTAAATTTTAAGTACCTATAGATCACCTCGGATTTTTAAACCAAAATCACTAGGGTTTTTAATACTTACATAATACACATATAAAAATAGCATGTATAATTTATCATACCTAGCATAACACAAAACTCATTATTAAAGATAACCTTAGTTAAAAATAAAGAGTAACTTATATTTAGTGAAAAATAGAAAAAAATAAATTGCATACAAATCTAATAGAAATTATAACATTGTAATTTACTATGAGTTACAAAGTAATTACTACAAATTACACTCTAAAAGTACTATATTTACACTATATTTTTTTCTCAACTTACCTCCTCTCTCTCTCTCTTCATTACTAGACTTTCATCCCCTATACGTTTTTGGCAGAGTGAAAAGTTGATAGGAAACTGTACACTACACGATTGGATGCACAAGGTAGTCGAGCACTAGCGAGTTAAGCGTGTCGATGGAGCGTTGAGACAAATAGTACATGGATGTCAAGGTTAGATTAACGGCTGAAAATTCGACAAATCTTAACGGAAAAAAAATTTGTCGACAAATTTTTACCAATACTAATCGTTTTTTTTTTCTCGTGGGTGATCGGGCCTCCACTGACGGACCATATTATTGCCCCTATTATATTGACTGAGCCCATCATAGGCCGAGAAGGCAAGAACAACACCCAGACAAGGGGCTTGTTGGCCCTTCCACCTCCGCTGCGGGAGTCCGCGTCGGCGCCGGCGAGAATCCCTCACCTCGCCTCTGCAAATAGCGATATAGTACTATTGATTTTTCTTGTTTTGGGTACCGAGAGGAGGGGGAAATCAGAGGTTGGCGCCATCGATTTCTAGCAGAGCTGAGGTGTTGTCAATGGGGTTGCTGGTCCTCAAGCGGCTCATGTCCGTGCAACAGGAGCGGCGGCATATCCAAGCCCGTAGTAAGCCTACCTCCTTCTGCCTCTCTTTAGTGTCTCTCAACTCTCATCTTGTTCAGAATTTAATGCATATGTTTCTTGAGCAAATTATTCGGAAACCTTTAGGTATTGTGTATTTGTGTTTCACGGTTCCTTCTTAGGAAAAAAATTAACTTTTTTTTTTGTGAGGAGAACAAACTGACTCTTTTGAGCTAAACTAGTAAACTGGCTACACAGTCTGTACACCGAAATTTCACAAGAATCTGCATCTTGCTTACAAGAAGATTTGGGAGAAGTTTTGGGGAGAAATATGTATACCACTGGATGACAAGTTTCACTGTAATGCCTATTGGGCTTGGGCAGAACCTATGACGAGCCACTATGTTATGTATGTGCTCTAAAGAAGTGTAGAATAAAAGAGAGAGTTCTTTATTTCAACAAAAAGTACCAATGCTAAACTGAACTGTTTTTTTTCCCTAATGGAAACAAATTGGATTTATAGCCATGAATGTTCTTTCACAAAAGTTGGACAAGGGAACCAAACTGATTTATTTGTACCATGATTTTTTTGTTTCCGTTGTTAATGTCTGTACACATGTGATGTGCTGCAGATTTTTTTTATTGCTTCAGTGGCTAAAAGAAAGGGCTCAGTCTGTCTACAACTTGCAAATTCTGAAGGCGGCAAAATAATGGGATATTCAGGGTTGAACCTTCCAGAGGTATGACACCAAATGATGATAATGTAAGACTTCTATTAGAGGAAAAGCATTACTATGAGTTTATCACTGCTGTAAGTAGCCTCTAAATGCACCCCTCGGCACCTATAGTAAAACTTTTTGAACAAATCTTTAGTGCTGGTTCTGCAACCTCCTAAAAGTTCTGCATGAGTACCTTTTCTCCGTTCTAGCTGTTATACCTTTGGGGACTGCTAATGCGCGGGTGATACCTGCACCCCCCTCCCCGTGTACGTCTCTCTTCTCTCCCTTCCTCCTCCTCTTCTTCTCTTCCCTGTTACAGTACACAACAAAATTTTTTAAAAAAAACAAAAATTGGAAAAATTTATGTAAATAAATATTATATATAAAAAATTTGAATTTAAATTTGAATTTGTATGTAAACTTTTGACTTATAAACTTTGGATCTATAAACTTTAGGTGTATAAACTTTAGATGTATAGAAATACTATATATAGAAAATATTTGAATTCAAATTTAAATTTGAATCGGGTATGTAAACTTTTGGCTTATAAACTTTGGATCTATAAACTTTAGGTGTATAAATTTTAGATGTATAGAAATACTATATATAGAAAATATTTGAATTTAAATTAAAAATTAAATCAGATATAATTCAAATTCAAATTTGAAACATGTATATAAAACTTTTGACTTATAAACTTTAGTTCTATAAACTTTAGATCTAAAAACTTTAGGTCTATAAACTTTAGATGTATAGAAATACTATATATAAAAAATATTTGAATTCAAATTCAAATTTGAATCGGATATATAAACTTTTGGTCTCTAAACTTTAGATGTGTAAACTTGAGGTGTATAAACTTTAGGTGCATAAATTTACTAAAATAGGAAAGTAATGCGGTGCCAAAAAAAGAAATCAGGTGGAGGGAGGAGGGGGGGCAACTGATCGCTACCAGATCGCCCTTGCGATCGATCGCGGATCAGTTTTTCCGTATACCTTTACCCCTCCCGCTGAAAACTGTTGGTGATGGGTCTTAGATCCGCAGTTGGTTTTTTAGAGATTCTTCCCCCCCCCCCCCCCTCCCCTTATCAGTGACCGGGTTCATGTACTTCTTTTTCTGCTATTACTGTGGTTTAGATGCAGTTTCCTAATGTATGTTTACAGAACCGTTGGCCTGCAATTTGTCTTTAGTATCTTCCTCATCATCCATCAAGCGTATGCCTTCCTAGTTCAGTTGAAAACTAACTTTCATAAAGAAGTTAATACCGGCAACTTGGAAGTGATGAGAACTGCCCATGGACATCTGAGTTTGGTCACTGCTGGTAACCAGAGTTATATGTGGCACAAATGTTTGTCAATATCCCATTCTGCTCTCAAAATCTTCTTCAGTGGGCATTGAGATGCTGGGCAATATGTCTGTTGCAGGATTGTTGACAACTAACATGTCTAGACTAGGAGAGTGAGAAAGCTTTGAAGTAAACCATGCCCATTTTGCTGGCTTCACAGTTCATGTGAAGTGGTTTCACTACTGTTCGCTCTAATTTCAGTATAAATGGTGGGAGAAGTGAATATTCTTGTAGGATGGCGTTCTTTTGTTTTCCTGGTCTGTTCAATCTATTATCTCTCACGGTGTAGCTGCCAAAGCTATTGGTTTCTTACATCGGCTTTCTGCCAAATCTGTTGAGAATTGTACCTTATAAAGAATATATGTGTATTTTTTTCTATTTATTTTCTATCTTTTATAATTTGTAGGATGCTATTGTACAAAAAACACATCATTTCATACATCTTAGTTTACCCACATATGCTCAGATATAATATATTATTGGCTAGTCCTTGCCTAACTAAGCATAAGTTTCATATTAGTTTATCATTACTAGTCACTGACGACGGTCTACATACGGTATCCTTTTCAGGACAGACTCTACTAAAACTTTGAAAGAGAAAAGGAGCAAAATAAAAATGCAGTTCAATTTGCCTACCACAAATTCCAATGCGCTATACGGATATACCCTATATGCTAGTACTGTTTTCCCTTCCAACTGAGGCAATAGTTTACATTCACAATATTTTCCTGATTATACATGCAGGACATCTGGAGTCATATACACTCCCTAATGCCATTACGGGATGCTGCTCGTGCTGCGTGCGTGTCTCGTGCTTTTCGTAGTTTCTGGCGATATCATCCTAATCTTATATTTCGTATAGAAACACCGGACTTGAATTTCATCAAGAAAGTTGATTGCATTCTGAAAAACCACTCAGGCATTGGCATCAAATCATTAAGGTTTGAATCTGGTATATTTTACAATGCCAGCACCAGTTATTATCTCGACAGTTGGCTTCAGATTGCTGTTACACCATTGATTGAAGAACTCACTCTTGGGATATTATCGTACAACACAAATTACTTTGATTCAAAATATGATGATGAGTACAACTTCCCGTGCTCACTTTTATCTGATGGGAGAGGAAGCTCAATGCGGCATCTTTATCTTAGCAGGTGTTCTTTCCATCCCACAATCAACCTTGAATTAAGAAACTTGACGAGGCTGCATCTGGCCTTTGTACATATTACAGGCAATGAGTTAGGGTGCGTTCTCTCTAATTCTTATGCTTTGGAGCGGTTGGAACTTAACTATTGCTATGGAATAATTTGTGTGAAGATACCTTGCCTGTTGCAACGCCTTAGCCACCTGGAAGTGTTTGAATGTAGAATGCTGCAAGTCATAGAGAATAGTGCTCCAAATCTTGGTAGTTTTCACTTTGGAATTAATCATGTGCAACTCTTGCTTGGCGAATCGTTGCAAATGAAGAGCCTATCCATGTGCTATCCTGGTGCTGTCTATTATGCTTGTGCAGAGCTTCCATCCAATGTGCCAAATCTTGAAACTCTAACCATTGGCTCTCCTCATGAGGTACACCCAAAAACTTTAAATGATTATGGACTTGCTATATCCTTACAACAGTACTTTAGAAGAATATCATCAGTCTGATTATCTTTCCGCAGATGGTCGACACACCAATGTTGCCTAGCAAATTCCTCCACCTCAAGTGCTTGACTATTTCTCTTGTTGGAATGGTCACTTTTTCCCCAGCCTATGATTATTTTTCTCTGGTTTCTTTTCTTGATGCTTCTCCTTCCTTGGAGACTTTCTTTCTGGATGTAAGTTAATTTTCATTCTTTAAACTTATGTATTGGCCATTTACAGTGGTAACCATCAATTGAAGCACATTGGCTTTTCATCTTCAGGTATCACAAGAACGCATGGGGCATGTCTCAATTTTTGGAGATTCCTTGCAATTGAGGCAGATGCCTGAACACCATCGTCATGGCAACCTCCAGAGCGTGAAGATCACTGGTTTCTGCTCTGCAAAGAGCTTGATCGAGCTAACATGTTATATTCTTGACAATACAACCTCACTCAAGTGCCTAACACTAGATACAACCCGTGGTGTTTCTAGCTGTTCTACAGGCGAACACAAGAAATGTTTTCCTATAGGCAAGATGCTCACTGAAGCCAACAGAGCGGTATTGGCAATTGAAACATTCATCGAGCGAAAAGTTCCCTCGACAGTTAAATTAGCTGTTACGAAGCCTTGCAGCCGTTGTCATGTTAAATCTTAGTTGTGTTTTTCTCAGCATTTATCCAGCGTAGATGGTTATGTAATTTCTCTCTTCATTTACTACATTATTATAATACTGTCCAATAAGTTTTGTAACTTTACATGCTTGCGTTTCTCTTCATTAACCCAGGACACAACTGAATCATTTTCGTCTTTCATCTCTAAATTTTGCTAGTGACATTAACTGGAACATCTACCTTTTGTTTGACACCAAGTGATAAACAGGTTAATAAGAGGTTTCTGCATTTGAATTTCAATTACAGATGCTCTACCAGCTATACTATCAACATATTTTTGGTTGCATTGGGCTGACAAGATATCTACAGCTTGACCTCAATTCCTAAAACAAATTTCAACACTCAACCATGGTTAGTTGCACATTCAAGAAGTCAGGTAACAAGCCAACGAAAAGAAAAATCTGGCAGCCACTGGATTTAATTTGCTGATACATGAAGGTCATCAAGAGCGTAGAATCATTTCATTTCTATCCCAGTTGGTAGATTTTGCTGATACATGAAGGTCATCATTCATTTCTATCCCAATTGGTAAATGCAACAAATCGTAACAATTGGTAAATCAACCATAACAACTCTCAAATCCCTAAAGTGACAGGGGACTAAGCGATACAATCTCTTACTACTACACATCCAACTCTCAAATCCCTAAAGCGATATACGAGGAGCCCTCGGATTGCAGGCCATCGTGGAGTATCTCAATCTCTGGTCGTTTTTGCGGGAGATAGAGCTCTCGGATCACCAGGACCAATTTATTTGGAAATGGGAAAGTTCAGGCATGTACTCCTCCCGCTCCGCCTACCAAGCATTGTTCCTCGGTCGAATCCCGTTCCAATCCACGCCGATCTAGAAATCGCTGGCGCCGCCGCGCTGCCGTTACTTCAGCTGGCTGGTCGCACTCAACCGCTGCTGGACGGCGGACAGGTTAAGCATCAGGGGCTTGCCCCACCTTAGCATGTGTGTCCTATGCGATCAGCACGAGGAAAGCATCAACCACATTTTGGTCGCATGCCCAGAATCAAGACAGCTCTGGTGGCTACTGCTCTCGGCAATCGGTCGCTCGGAATGCTTGCCTGTCAATGAAACCTCATTCCACTCCTGGTTGTGTGACAAGAGGGAAACCTTACCGAGCTCTCAACGGCGAGGTTTTGATACCATTGCTACTCTCGCAGCATGGACTATCTAGAAGGAGCGAAATAACAGGGTGTTCAACCAGAAGCACAGAAGCTGGACAGAAGTGGCAAGGGCAATGGCGGAAGAGGCAGCGCTGTGGCGGCTCGCCAATACTGCCATACCGGCCACGCCTTTAGAGCGCTCAGGTCGCAACATTGTATCGCGAGATTAGGGTTTAATGCTCTTGGGTGACTTCCTGTAATCCCGTGTCCTGCTGTGTTTTCTCTTTCACCTGTACAGACTTTTACTCCTCTTAATACAAAGATGCGCTCCTTGCGTATTCCCGTTTTTTAAAGTGACAGGGGGACTAAGCGATACAATCTCTTACTACTACACATCCAAATTTCTGTTCGTAGATCAACTCTCAAATCCCTAAATCAAAACAGGGGGACTAAGCAATACAATCTCTTACTACTACACATCCAAAATTCTGTTCGTAAATCAAACAGGGAGGTAAATCAAACAGGCGATCCCAACATGTTGGTAATGCGATGGAGAGCGCGATCGAGTTGACCTGGAGTCGCCTCAGGGAGACGGTCCGCTCGCACGCCGTTGGCGATGTCGTTGTGCAGAAGCTCGTCGAGCGCCTGCACACTCGTCGAGATCGGATGACCAATCCTGAGTGCGAGAGCCCGCGCCTGCATGGAGTGGAGGAGGAGGCGGTCCAGCAGGAGCTCCGTGAGACGGGAGTGCGTCTGAAGAAGCAGGGCACCGGAGCCGGCGGTGGGCATGGGGCTGGCAGCAAGGACATCGTCCGCCATGTCCTGGGTGAGCGCGTGGATGGCGAGAGAACCCCTCACGCGGAAGCCGACGAGGTCGTTGAGGAGCCCGCGCCGCAGGTCGACGTCGACGAGCTGGAGCTTGAGCTGCGGGATGTGGACCTTGAGCATGAGGTCGAGGACGCGGGCGAGCTCGGCGACGTCGGCGAGGCGCTCGAGGTCGCCGTCCTCGACCTGCCACTGGTAGTCGACGGAGAGGGCGGAGAGGGCAAGGTACATCTCGGGGGCGTCCCGCAGCGCCGCGACGGAGCGTACCTGGACGCGGCACTCCCCGACCACCTCCCGGACGAGGGCGCGCAGCTCCGGGAGGCTGGCAACGGTCGCCGTCGGAAGAGCCATGGCGTAGCGGAGGGGGCGCGCCGCGCGGCCGCGCCGCGCCGGATGAGGGGTGGGACGCGAACGCGACTACGCGAGCACGGCGACGGCGGCGTGACGCGAGCAAGGAGGACGGTGGCGGTGGAGCGGGGTGGGAGACGAGGGCGAATCACGGCGAGGGGGAGTACTTTTATAGCTGGAGGCAGGCTGCCAGGCTGGCGCAGCGTAGGCGGGTCCTCCAAATCTCGGAAGCAGGAAACCGGAAACGCATCGTGCCCGTCCTGTCGACGTGGCAGACACGTAATTAAATTTACGGCTACTACTAGTACTTGTTTTACAAGTTAATTAATTTCCTCAAAAGAAAAGGCGCTCGGGTACGGTAATTTCCTCGAAAGAAAAGCACCCGGGTAAAAATTCATAACACTTTAAATCTTCAATATATACAGTAGTACTTAAAAAAGAAGAAGAGAAAACTAGCTCTCCAAAGCCCCGCAAATTCTCTCGCTCTCTCTCTCTCTCTCTCTCCCACTCCTCTCCCCTCTCCCTTCTCTCATCTCGCGCGCGGCGCGCCGCCGTAGAGACGAAATGGTGGGTTCTCGCTTCGATTTCGCGTTGCGCTTGCTGGTGTGTGCGTGCTGATCGGAGTGGGTGATTGCGATGCAGGTGATGGCTCAGAAGACGAAGGAGGCGGAGATCACGGAGCAGGATTCGCTGCTTCTGGTGAGTTTTTTTTTCTCTCCTCGCCCATCTCCTGTTCGATTCCCGTGCGACTTTCGATTTCGGTGGTTCGGTGCCGGACATCGGATCGGTTCACCCGATCGAGGGTTTTCTGCCGAGGTTTTTGGGAGGTTTTTCGCTGTGGATTTGATCGCTCGTGTGGTGTACTGGGGTTTGCAGTAGCTGGCGTTCGATTTGGGTTTGATTCGAGTGTTGGTGGTCACGCGTGTCGGATTTCCCCCCCCCCCCCACTTTGCGAGTGCTTTTGGGTGGAATTAACTGTTGCTTTGCTGATTTTAACCGATTTCTCGTGCGGATTTTGGATGTGTTTGGAGATCGTCGTGGGGTTTTGGGTTTCTCGCTTTCTCTGGTAGTCTCCGTCCGCTGACTACCAAATGGTGCTAGTTGGGCGGCCAGTGCGAAGCATCAGTAGCATCTCACTTTGCTAGTGTTTTTGGGTGGATTTCATTGGTGCTTTGCAGATTTTAACCGATTTCTCGTGCGGATTTAGGCGTGTTTGGAGCATGAGTCCTGGGATTTTTGTTTCACTTCCTCTGGTGCTCTCCGCCCGTTCAAAAGCTTCTGGGTATCTCAGATTGGAGTTGGTTTCTGGTTTCTCCGTGTAGCACTATCTCTCGAATGCGTAACTGATGGATCGTTTCGGTATCGCACTGAATGATGATTCGGTGGTTTTTCTCCCTGCTGCTTGATCGATGTGAGTTTTGTTTCTCTGGTTTGAGGCACCGAATCTGTTCTCGTGAAAATTTTTTGACATAATGTTCTCGTGAAAAATCTCTGGTTGGTTTGCTAAATTTCGCAGAAATTTTGAGCAGAATTTCTACTGGTTTGTGCGATTCTCTCAGCATTAGAATTTTGTTGAACGGATCACATCACTTTGTTTTGCTACTCGCGTGGTGATTCGGTTGGGATTTCAAGGAGACATTCACTGGTTTGATAATCGCGTTTCGATTTGGTTTCGTTGTGATACCCACAGGCATTTGCCTGATTGTTTGTGCGTAGACCATCGTGCTGGAAACATAGGCGCATAGTCTCTGCAGTCTGCGTAGTTGATCAAATTGGTAGGGTTGAAAGTTTTTTTCCCTGGCTTAGATATCCTTGCGAAGAATTTCGAATTCAAGTCGTGTTGTTTCGAACTGTTTCGCCAGAAGCATCTAAGGAATTGTTCAGTTCGTTGAACTTCTCATGTGCTTTGCGTTTGGAATCTCTTCTGAAGTGTTTTGGGAGCAGCAGTTACAGTGAGTAACTTCATTTTGCTTCCGAAATGCTTGCTTGAACATGGAATCGAGACACGACTCGTATTGGCCTGGGCCTGGTTGTTCAGGATTTCCATTTCTGACAGTCGTATGAGTCGATTTTTTCAAATGTTTCCAGTAGGCTTGTTAGTTGTTTGGGTTTTGAACAAACGTTGCCTACCTTGGTTGGAATTCTAGGAGACATTCGCTGGTTTGATAATCCCGTTTCGTTTTTGTTTCGTTGTGAAACCCACGAGCATTGGCCTGATGATTTGTGCGTAGATGATTATATGCTGGAATCATGGGTGCATACCCCCCACGGTTCACTGAATCGATCAAATTGGCAGGGCCTAAAAAGGTTTTTTCCTTGCTTCCATAGCCTTGTGAAGAGTTTCTACTTCCAATCGTTTTGAATCATATTGTTAGAAGCATCTAAAATTTATTCAGTTCGTTGAATTCTTGCTGTGCTTGCTTTTGGTATCTCTTTAGACTTCAGAGTTTTTTTGGCAGCAGCAGATTCCATGAGTAATTTTAGTTTCTCTTTTCAAACTTGTTGCTTGGACGTGGAATTGAGACACCACAGTACCACACGTATTGGTTTGGTTATTCCCAGATTTCCTGTTCTGATAGTTCTATGACCTAATTCTTCTTCTGTTTTTTAAAATATTTCCGATACACTACTTTGGGTTTGAACAGACATTTGCTTAATCCTGCATTAGTTTGTGATAAGAAAAGCTGCACTTCTGTTTATAATCGGTTATTTTGTTGCGCTATCATTTGAATTTGGAATTTATGTTATGCCTTTAGGAATTATATGCCAGCTTATTAAACCTCTGCTGGCATGATTTTTAGACTAGCCCCCACTCTCACTCCTATTTTAACATCTTTGTTAGATACTCGGTTTAATAAGTGGACATTGGCTTTGCCACATGAGTTTTAGGATTACTGGTTGATCACCAAACTTTGGTACCTCTTGTACTTTCAAAAAACCAGTTGGTTTATATCCAATCAAATAATGTTTTTCTTTGTCTTTTCTAGTACTTGTTTGCTCACATGGTCAGCTGCACTTTGCCTAGAAGTGCTTAGGATCCCATGACTGCAAGTGCATAGTAGGTGAAATATATCGTATGGTCCATGTTCATTTATGCATTTGTTAAGAAATTTATTGCAGGTGTGTGTTTGAATGGGACTGGTACCCTATTTGATTCAACATGTGCTAAAGTATTGAAAAGCATGACACATTTGTTGTTTGGTGAACTTTTGTGCCTCACCTTGTTTGGCAAGCCCAAAACCCTGGGCCATGCTCCAGGATGGGCTAGGAAACTGAACTACAATTTCAGTCCATCCCTGGGGGTGGACCAGGATCCAATAAGGCCTAAACTTGTTAATCAGTAATCCAATTTGTGATGATTTTATTGCCCTTCTATTTCTATTACATTGAATACTGAACTCTCTTTGAATTATGTATGGTAGAACGCTATTGTGATAACGTGGTGATATTTTGACCAAACAGACAAGGAATTTGCTCCGCATTGCTATATACAACATCAGCTACATCAGAGGTCTATTCCCTGAGAAGTACTTCAATGATAAGTCGGTTCCGGCACTAGGTCACATTACCTATAGTCCCTAACCCTTTTATACACCAAATTCCTCAGATGATATGATATTATTAGCTGGAACACCCTTTTATTTATTGCAGAGATGAAGATTAAGAAGCTAATGCCCATGGATACTGAGTCGAGGAGGTTGATTGATTGGATGGAAAAAGGTGAAAATATGTCCTGTTTTACGTGTTAAATCTTTTTAATTTTCCAATTTGTTCATTTAATCCATTTTTGTGATAAATTTTAGGTGTCTATGATGCACTACAGAAGAAATATCTCAAGACCCTTCTCTTCTGCATCTGTGAGAAGGAGGAAGGCCCAATGATTGAGGAGTATGCATGTGAGTATTACCATGTGAAATATGGCTAACTTCTAGCATACAAAGTTGGTTTTACATCAGTGATTGTGGGTCATATGTCAAACATTTTCTTATTCTGTGTCAAACTCCCCTGCAGTCTCATTTAGCTACCCCAACACGAGCGGTGATGAAGTTGCAATGAACTTGAGCCGCACAGGGAGCAAGAAAAACAGTGCTACATTTAAATCAAATGCAGCAGAAGTCACTCCTGATCAGATGAGGTTCTCTCATACATATCCCTTTTAAAGGCTATGATTCATTCTAGACTTCTAGTTAGTTATCCATGCTGCTTAGCTAAATGCTACGATTTAATGGTTAATTTTTCATATTGCTTAGCATTATACATTTTGGAGAGTGTTTGTTTAATGAAGTTGCAGTCCCAACATAACAATAGTTTAAAATTTTATGATTTCAAAGAAGTAGGAGCAAATTGATGACTAAAAGGAGTTCAGATTTTCTTTTTCTATGTAAGGAATGTGGTGAAAAAGTGAGGTACATAGATTCCAGTAACTTTGTAAATTTAGGTACATAGGACTGTGAGGTGGCAATAAATGATGTAAATCCTTTTTAAAAACATAGTTGGGCTTATAATTTTGAGTCCAACTTTTCTGCGAGTTGTTCTTAAATATTCTTCCACAACTTGCAGAATTCTAGTTCTGAAGGTATGGTTTCAATTTAGTCCTTTAGATAAGCTCATTAATGGTTGTTTATTGGTTTTTATATGTGTATGGCAATTGCAAAGTAATTATTGTAAGCTTTAACTAGTCACTGCTGATATCCTGACATGATCATATGGTTCCCAATCAGGAGCTCTGCTTGTAAGATGATAAGAACACTGGTTTCACTTATGAGGACCTTGGACCAAATGCCAGAGGAGGTAATTTTTGCACTTCACAGATTTGTTACAATGGATTGAACTTACCTAATGCTATCCTGTATTTGTCCTCAGAGGACCATTCTAATGAAGCTGCTATACTACGATGATGTCACAGTGAGTGCAGCAATTTGTTCTTGCTATTTACTGAAACTTGAAGCCGCCATAATAGATAATTATTTTTGCTCTGAACAAATGAAGGATTCAACCTTTTCTGTTCTATAGAACTTTGTTCGTGGAATCGAAAACAGTTAATTTATTATGCTATTTGCAGCCTGAAGATTACGAGCCACCCTTTTTTAAGTGTTGCGCTGACAACGAGGCCATAAATATATGGAACAAGAACCCCTTGAAGATGGAAGTTGGAAATGTCAATAGCAAGCATCTCGTGTTAGCTTTGAAGGTAGTGGATTATGGAGATAGCAGTCGTTTGGACCAGGAAACCTCTGTTTTCTCAATTAAACTCATTGCTACATATGTTTTTATTCTTTATGCAGGTCAAGAGTGTCCTTGACCCTTGTGATGATAACAATGTCAACAGTGAAGATGATAATATGAGCTTGGATAATGAATCTGACCAAGATAATGATTTTTCTGACACTGAGGTAAAGACCTAAGAGAACATATAATTGAGCATCTTTATTAGTGAGATTCTCTTAATTTTCTCCTTAGTGTGCTGTGATGCCACCTTTCGATGTATACGCATATTTTTGTCTTCCTTTTACCTGTAGTATAGACTGAATCGCTAATTCTATTAGGTTCGCCCATCTGAAGCAGAGCGTTACATTGTTGCTCCAAATGGTAAAGTTTCTTTGTTTGTATTCTTGTTGTACTTTCTGTTTTTGGTGCTAACATACTTATCAAAATAGATGGGACTTGCAAAGGTCAAAATGGTACAATCTCAGAAGGTCAGTTAATTTGATCTGAGAGCTTCATCTGTGCATCCTTTTCCATACAAATGAATTTTATGTCAACTATTAAGTTATTATTCAAATGTTTGGATGCTCATTTAATTTTTCATGAAGTGTGCAATACATGTTCAACATTCTCTGACTCTGTAGTACCTGAAAATTTCATACGTTTCTCTGACTTTGTATGTTTGCAGATGATACTCAAGATCCTGTTCACGAGGAAGAGCTAACAGCTCAAGTAAGAGAGTGGATATGCTCAAGAGACACTGAAAGTCTTGAGGTTTCAGATGTCCTTGTTAATTTCCCCGACATATCAATGGTAATGCCTACTGGTATTTCATTTATATAATAAAATAGCTATTTAGAGTATTTACTGTTTTGTGCTAGACTTACAAGTAGGTCACAAACTTTTACCCGCTTTTATGTCATCAGTGTTTATAAATCAAACAATATCTTGATATACTGTATGAGCTGTATGGCTGGCTATTAACAATATCTTGTTGAATGCTTTGCAGGAAATGGTTGAAGGTAGTGGTGTGAAAAACTTATGTGTGCTTACCAGGCATTCTTTCTTCACTCTCACTAAAGCCTTGAAATACTTGACTAATGACTCACTTTTCAGATATTATGGAGAGGCTACTTAAAGATGGTTTACTATCCAGAGCAAAAAAGGATAGTTATTCTGTTAATAAGGTCAACCAAACATTTTCTTCATGTGCTATATTTTAGTTTTACCCTGTGGCATATTGTACTGTCCATCACTAGCATCATAGAGTGGCTTCAGATTGCTGATCCTACAACACCACACATAAAGAAAGAGGTCATCATGCAAAATGTCTCACCTACTGAAGGAACTAAAAATAGCAATGGTGATCTGATGTATATGAAGGTGTATCTCTGTCGCTTACCCTTGGCTTGTATTTGGAGGTCATCATGTCATTTCTGCTGATATATATCGTTGCTACAGGCACTGTACCATGCACTTCCAATGGATTATGTGTCAGTAGGCAAACTTCATGGCAAGCTAGATGGGGAGGCCAGCCAGAACATGGTTCGTAAGTTGATTGAAAAAATGGTGCAAGACGGATATGTCAAGAATTCAGCCAACCGAAGACTAGGTAACACCTTGAACTAATCTCTTGCAAAATCTCAAATGCTTCTATTCTATGGTACATTATTTACTTTTCTGGTTTAGTCTGTCAGCCAGGAGCAAGTTATGTATTGTTTGCTCAATTCTGTTACAACTGTGAAAGGAGAATAACTGAATCAACATGCCAACTGAGTGTCATTTTCTACATAGATTGTGCAACTTCAAGTGATTACCTTTTGTCATGTTCACTTATTATATGAAGAACTGTCAACAACTTCTCTTGAAGAAGGATTTTGGATGCCTCATGAAAAACATTGTCTAACTGTAATACTTGTGAAGAATATACATGTACTGAAGCTGTTGCTGCTTTAGATGAAAACTAATGATTTTAGGAACTTCAGATACATCACTCTTATCTTTTCAGATTGACCATTGCCGCCATGCATTGTACTAATAGAACTAGTACTAATCTTTGAGCAAATGACTGATTCACTACTACTGTGCACCATACCATCTTATGGCCTATGTCACTCTATTTTACAGGCAAAGCTGTCATTCATTCTGAAGTCACCAACAGAAAGCTCCTTGAGATAAAAAAGATTCTGGAAGTCGATATAGCCGAACAAATGGTACCATAATCATATCTAACAGCACCAAGTTTTTATCTAGTAATTCTTTGCATTCCACAACATTCATTTTATTCATGGTTAATCTGAAACTCTGCTTCATCATGCAGGCCATTGATACCAATGCAGAACCTGGTGAGCCTGAGCGCAAAGACCACCTGAGTGGTAATGGCAACAACAATCCGCATCTCCATGGACTTGGCATCTGTCTTTGCGTATATAGTACTAACATGACATTGTCCAATATGTTTCTCTTTATAGGCCATGAAATGAGAGATGGATCGACGATGGGTTGCCTCCAGTCCGTCGGATCTGACCTCACCCGCACCCGGGAGCTTCCGGAGCCGCAGCAGAACGTGTCCATGCAGAGCGGGCAGGAAGCTTCCACGGTGGATAAGGATCCAAGCAGGACTCCTACAAGCGTGCGCGAGGTATAACCGAAACCTGATCCCCTACTAACCACAGACGATTCTGAGCCATATGCGACTCAGAATCCAGGTAAATTAAATCACAGACAAACGTAGAGCTGAAGGTGATGAACTGTGTGATACCTTTGCAGCAGGCGTCCGTTTGTTCCCTGGAGAGTGGGGTTCTCGGGCAGAAGGTCAGAAAGTCTTTGGCTGGTGCTGGCGGGACGCAGTGCTCGCAGGACAAGCGATTCAGGAAGGCCAGCACGGTAAACTCTCCATGTCCCAACTCTGAACTGAAACATCTGGCATTTGGCATGTACTAGTATTTGGCATTTGGCGCTGTAATCAAGTTGAGTTTAATTGATCCCGTGAAAATGACCGCAGGTGAAGGAGCCGATCCTCCAGTACGTCAAGCGCCAGAAGTCCCAAGTTCAAGTTCAAGTTCAGTGAGGGTTCGTGTCGCAAGCGTCAGGAGCAACTAACATCGTAGTTCAGGTGCAGAAGACCACAAGTAGATATATCCATCCTATTCCTAGTTCCGGTGCTCAAGTTTGTGCAGATAGTCAGAGAGCACTCACGCACACGTAGATATCTGTCCATGCCGCTGTCCCAAATGGCAAATGGAGATAGACGCTACTATGTGCTAACACACACTCAAATTAAGCATTCAAAACGCATCTCACGTTTGTTGCGTCTTCGATTATGTTTCAAATCACTCCACTGCAGCTCGTCACTGCAGCCAGCTGAGCCCCGTGTCTCTCGACGCAACAGTGAAGGAGACAGCAGGTGAGCCTTCTTTGATTGAACCAGGTAGTACATCAGCTACTGTGCCCTTCTCTGCGTACAGGGGCGGCTTGGCTGCCGTGCCGTATGGCGGAAGCCTCCCGAGGGGACCGCGGCTCCTCTCCGCCTGAACAGTGTTGGCCGGCACAGTTTCTCCTGGATCGCGGCTGCTCCTCCTGCGTTTGGTTTTCGATTCTGCCGTCCTCTTTGCGGTACACCTGCGCTAACCACTCGAGTTATGGGGGGGAGCCGGAGGGCATCGATCGCGTCCTGTGGTTGCCATCCCAAGTTGGCAAGTTATATTCATTGTCGCGGTGGTCACGCCTCCTGGGAGTAATGTGGTGCCGGTTGTTTATGCATCATTGATGGTGCCCCTCAACAGTGCACAGTGTACAGAAACGTCTGGTAGATTTGTGGTGGATTGGATGGACATCGCCGCCGCATCAGTATATGGGAGTAAGATGTGTACTTTGCGTTGCACTGTGGTTTTTTTTTACCAGGCCGGTCACAGGAGCATGTACGGGACACCTGCCGCCTCGCGCGTGTCACGGCAATGGATGTTCGTTGGCGTTTCTTACGTACGGGACCGGAATAGTATGCTCTGGAGAGTTGTCTACGACTACAAGAGCGTCCATCTTTTCACGAATTAATATCGGTCAATTCGTTTCGTTTGGTCGGTGTAGTGTGCTGTGTTTCTACACATGTACAATCAAGGCATCCATAAGGAAGACGAGAACCGGCCTCTTGCATTTTAAACCAGGATTTACGTCCCACTTTTTTTCAAGGATCTTCAACTACCCTAAACATTGAAATACCCACATTCCAGGAATACTTAACTGTAAAATTCAGAAAATAAACTCTTAGAAACCCAACATTTTTAGAGCTATGAACAAGCCGCTTCTTAAAATCTTAAACACTCCAAATAGGAGCTTACAGTTCATTTGCAAAATATTTGATGCTCTCGACAAGCAATAGAGAAACTTCCTCTGTCTCAAATTGCAAGAGTGTCTATAATTTTGTATGGAGATAAAAGTAAGTGAAATTTAATGGGAGATAATTATGATCGATTGAGATGAGTAAGTAGTAGATTAATTAAATACAATATGGCTGTGAAACCTGAGATTGGTTGAGACGAGAGTTTGAGCATTCTGCTTATAGCTGGTTATAAGTCGTAACACATATTAGCCACTAAAATAATAATTTATAGATATTTTTTGTCTATATATGTTTTTTATGGCTAAAAACCAATGCTAGAACATATTTTTTAAAAAAAAATCAACTCTAAAATTAATATTTAAAATTTTAAATGTGGCTATGATAGGCTAAATAGAAAACAATAAATCATATTATATTCTGAATAAATTTCAAACGCTAGTAGAAGTTAAAACGGAGTACATTTATAACCCAGGGAGTAGCGGGAGCATGTGCAGCTCAGCAGGAGGTACTTACCCCAATATACAAGTGTGAAATGTGTAGAGTTGTTTATAGAGAAAGAGTGATAAATTGATGCAAGATCAACAAGTGCAAAGTGGGGAAATCACTCGTTAGAGAACTGGGATGTCAAGCAGCTGTGATTCAGCAAAAAATAAAAAATAACAAATCGCGATTTATACGATATCAAATTGAAAAAAAAATACATATGGGCCGGTGTTATGTAAACTCCTATATAAAAGAATAATGTGAAAAAGAGTTTCTTTTGAACGGAAAATTTTCTTTTGTTCCAAACGGCACGAAATTTTCCAAAATTGAAATTCCAATAGCCCCCATCCCCAACCTCCTGAACTCTGAATTCTGAACGAGCACCAAACACAAGCGCGGAAGCCGCGGCGGCGGAGGCGGCGAGCCGACGAGCCGCCGGCGAGTTCCGCCGATGCCGCCGAAGCGGGGCGCCGCGCCCGCGGCGGCCTTCGAGTACTGCGAGCTGTGCCGCCGCAACCACGACCAGGGCCGCCGCCACCGCTACTTCCCCGCCCACCGCGCCGCCCTCGCCGCCGCGCTCTCCCGCTTCCGCTCCAAGCTCCTCGACCTGCGCCGCGCGCTCCGCCACCCGTCCTCCGCGGCCCGCTCCCGCCTCTGGTGCCCCTTCTGCTCCGCCGACCTCGTCGACCTCGACAGCCGCTTCGCTTGGTACTCAACTCGTCCCCTTGCTCCTAGGGTTTCCTCGATCTGGATAAGTTGGTTCTAGTTTCAGTTCGGATTGCCCTTAGGAGTTCTCAAATTGAACAGTAGCGTCGGATTCCCGTGCATTAGGGCTAGGGCGCTATTGGAGCAACATTACATTAGCGTTGAGGGTAAATTAGAAAGAAGTTTCAATGCTTACATATTACTATATTGATCTGAGCCCAATTTTATTCTATTGCAGTAGCAATGCTATTTATCATCTCGCAAGCCAGGATCACCTAAATGGCGTGAAGGCTTTCCTGCAAAAGCATGGTGGTGGGATGGATCAGGTGGATTCGTTTAGGATTTCGGAGGATGAGCTTGCTAAGGTGCACTGCTGTCTGTTTTATGCTACCAAGTACATTGTTTCATCACTCTAGGTGTGGCAGGTGTGGCAGAGCCGCGGAGGGTGTATTAATATGTGGTGTTTCTGATATTTCAGTGGGAGAAGTGCTGCGAGTCTTCGAGTACAGAACAAGAGACGTCGACCGAAGGGTTGATTGGACCATCTCTGGGGCCACTGAAAGATATCCGAAATAAATCTACCTCTAAACATTTGGATAATTTTGCAGAAACTTACATCCCGTCTTCTAGTAATACTGCATCTAATGTTGTTATGCCTTTACAAAGTCCTACTAATGGGGCATACTACCCCAATAGTACAGCATGCCAGGGATCTTCCTCCTTTGGAAGTATTCCGTATTCTGCTCCATTTGAGACTTTCGGAGTGCCCATCATACCTTGTGGATCGGTTGCATTACATGAACAACAGGTTATGCTGGGTACAGACTTGTTTCAAAGTGCAGGCACAAAAATGAAAGGTGAACCTGAGTTTTAAAATGCTCCTTACTGTATTATTTTACCATTTGATTAGTAGTATTTTGCTAATTATCCTTTTCTCCACAGGTGGTCAACTTACTATCCTCGGAAATGGACCAAATTCATCGGTTTCTTGTTCTGTTCATGTAAGTAAGCAACACGTGCACATGCGTATATTCCATAAAAAGGTATTGCAAATGGTCCTTTGGATGTTATCCATTATTGTGTTTCATTGCTGTGAAATTTGAGGCAAAGCTAACAACTAAGCGAGTGTTTTCTATTCAGAGTTTCGAACAAGGAAAAAAAATTGATTTAGTCGATGTCGTTCAAAGCAGGAGCATGTCAATTTTATCTTTTGGGTATCTTGTATCTTAGTTGTGGGGATGCTAAACGTATTTTTTTTAGTTTCAAATCTTAGTGCTAACAGTATCTCTTTTACCCCCCCAAAAAAAAGCCTTCTCTGTTAGCTTGCAGGTTCCAATTTCCTTAAAAGAAGCATAATTACCCACAACTCTTCTGATGCAAAGTTGCAAGCGTTGATATTGTCTCGTACTTTGTTGCATTATTATTCATGTATACATCATTGATGTCAGGCATGATTAAGATATGACTGCTTTCTTCCTATTTGGTTAATTTTTTTCAGGTCCAACAGAGAAACTCTGGTGGAAATTCCAGTCAGGGTACTACACACTTTTACAGTTTTTCTAATATATATATATATATATTTGTAACGATTTCTGTTGAAGCATGTCACTAATTTGGATGCAGAAAGAGGCTGCAGCTCTAGCAAATGAAAGATATCTATTTTTAGTTCCTTATTGTTGTGTGAAATTTAACATAATATCGTTATGTTATGAAGGCTTGAAAGCAAATGTGCACATGGGTGCTCCTCCTCCCTGGTTAGAAGCTAGCGAGCGTGATCAGGAGAATGAGTCACTTAGTGGTTATGCTCGTCCATCCTCTCGGAAAGGAAAATCTGGAAAGCTTAACCCAAAGCGTGTAGGAGCTGCATGGGCAGAGAGGAGAAGAGCAGAAATGGAGATGGAAAAACGAGGTGAACTTGTTCCAGAAACATCTGATTCTAGTTGGCTCCCTAACTTTGGTGGTGTCTGGCAATCTGGTACAAGAAAGGAATCAAGGAAAGAGTTTGAGAAAAACCATAAGCCTCACGAAGAGAAGAGCAACAAGTTGTCCCTTGAGATGAAACCATATATAAGCAAACGGATGGTAAATCACATCTGCTCTTTTACATGATAACCTTCTCACTTAAATTGTTATATGCTGTTAGCAAAATAATTTGTCTCACTGTCTGTAAGTGTTATGTTGACAGCTGGAAATAGGAAAATCTCTTTGCTTTGCTATTAATTTCAGTATTTGGGAGAGTATGGCTTGATCATATTTGTGCTATGACTATTTGCTTCTCTGTTCTTTGTATCTGGAGTACTCCCTCCGTCCAAAAAAAGACAAACCCTGGTTTCCGTGTCCAACGTTTGACCGTCTGTCTTATTTGAAAAAATTATGAAAAAAATTAAAAAGATAAGTCACACATAAAGTATTAATCATGTTTTATCATCTAACAACAATGAAAATACTAATTATAAAAAAAATTCGTATAAGACGGACAGTCAAACGTTGGCACGAAAACCCATGGTTTGCCTTTTTTTGGGACGGAGGGAGTATGTATATATTTCTCTCATACGCCTGCTTTTCTTTCCTCTTGCAGCGCGTAGGTTCCAATAAAGGTGAACAGTCAGACATTGATGTAGAGCAGTGAACAGATCTACATGGTTGCCAGATGATTTGTGGTACGAATCCTTTTAAACAATCAAGGTTAATAAGGATAATTGAAAGCATTTAAGTTAAATATCCAAGAATTGAAAATTATACGTATATTTTACTAAAAGTCACTGGACTGTTTTTACAAACTACTCCTAGTAGAATTGTTTTATGCCATTAATAGACGCACTCTATCTACAGCAAGACATTTATGGTTGATACTTTCTAATAACTGACATGTTACAGGCTCATGGCACCCAATGTTTTACAATCAATCTTATATTGGGTACTTAGAAGGGACTGCTTTTATTTTCTCCAAGTACTAATATAGGGTACTAGACGGACCTGCCTATTTTTCTTCAACTATTCCTGACTTTCGTCCACTGTTTGGTGTTCGCAGATTGTGGTCACGGTTTTCTGTAGTTCTGCTAGGACGCAGCCGCTTGTCTTTTTTGGGGGTCCAAAACTTTGAATTGCGTTGCGGTTGCTGAAAGAGTCGATGTTATTGCCACATGCCTGAAAAGGATGATATTTGGTGTGGAAGTGGAATGCCATATGCAAGTGTAATAAAAGAAGGGAGCATTTCTTTCCAAGAAGAGAGCTGTCCTCTGGAGTCCGGAATGTTGGTTGGTGCGCTCAACTGTGTGGAGATCCGTGCCTTGTCGCTGCAACTTGATGTCCTTGCGTTTTGCACCTGATCCGATTACATGTCCGTGCATTTGCTCCTCCTGATCGGATAACATAGAAAGCCTGAAACAGAGATCTACCTGTAGGAGAATACTCCTTCGTAGCAACTAGCTATCGAGCTGATTAGATTGATTGATTTCTGATTCCCCTGGGCTAATTGGAGAATTGTTATGCCTGTAGGGTGTCCATGTCACTGGATTTTTCCCAATCAGATGACTTTTAGCACAAAACTGGCATAATATTTGCTTTAAATTGTAACTCCATCCAATGGAAGGATGCACTCAGAAGTACAGTATAGTAGGAGTAACAGCCACAGAAGTTGGTTGTTGACAAGGCAAAGGTAGTACTAGTAATTCACTGGTCTGTCTTTTTGTGTGTGCTGTTCTCTCTCTCTCAAGTTTCAACCTACAATCGCTGGCGCACAGTGCTGTCTTAAGGGGGCTGATTAAATGTGCCAATTTCTGGTCCCAAGATCCTCCCATTTTGGTCTTGTTACAATTCACACCTCCAGAAACAGATCAGCTACCCCCCCCCCCCAAAAAAAAAAGAGAAAAAGAAAAAGAAAAATCGCATCCGACAAGCACCTGCAACATTATTACAAACATCCATTTCGAATTCTGCCAACATAATCTTTTTATTTTCTTCTCGAGTTTTAAAAGAAACTTTTAAGCTTTAAACCCGAGCTCGTCACCGAGGGCAGGGCAGGGCAGCCGCAGAGCAAAGGTGTGAAAGAACCCGTGAAGAAATAAAAGAGCAACCACCAGTAGGTGATCCAACTTAAATTTCCAAATCGCCCAAAAGCGGCATTAAACCCCGTCGTTTCTCCCCTGCCCCCCGCGCATGTGCCCCGAAAGCGACCGACCCGACCCGTCGCCGTCGCCGCCACTGCTCCCCCCCGCCCGCGCGCCCAGCGACCGCCCGCACGAACGCACGCACGCTCGCCTCGCCTCCGCTTGCTTGTGTTGCGTTGCGTCTCGCCCCTCGCCCGACGGCGACGCGACGCGAGATCGCTACGTCCGAATGGGACGCATCCATATATATTTCCGGGCTTCCGGCTATATATATGCATTCTTGGCTTGAACAAAAATTATTGGAGCCATCTTTCGGACCCCATCGTTTCGCTTATTCGGAGAATAAGCAAAACGGCGTATTTGTAAATGAAAAATAATTTGTGAATAAAACTTTCATATATATATGTGTTTTTAGCGATCTAAAAGCAAAGGCTGAAAAATAAACTTCAATGAAAAAACCCCAAAATCAACTCCAAATTTAAGGTTAAAAATTTAAATTTGACTGATAAGTATAAGTATAAGAGAAAAGATGATGCCCTTTGTTTTAGAATTATAAGCGAATTTATGAGTCAAAACGTTTAAGGGCCTCTTTATTGAGGCTTAGGTTCATTTTTAATCTCTTTTATTTGTTTCAAAATAAGTTTACTTTAAAGGTAGTCACTGCATTGGAGTTTGTGAAAGTAGGGAATATTTGTATTGGGAGTAGATAAGATGGAAAATAGTTACACTAGAATTGGGGGTGTTCCAGTTTTTTTAGTTTTGTATTGATATGTGTGGGATGGATGAAAAATGAATTTAAACTGACTTAAAAGTCTAAGCCAATAAACCAAAACAAAAAGGCAAATAACATCCACGTCTCGCTAACAAGTGGGATGCCAATTGGCAGACACCAACTGTGAGTCCCTGATATGTGGGCATCAGATGGGAGCATGTAGTGGTGTTTATCAAACACTAACAACGTCAATGAGTCACTAATATAGTGATATGTGAACATCTCACGTCAGAAGGGTGTATGTAATGGTGTTAATTTATCAAACACTAGCGATGTTGATGAGTCACTGATACGTGGACATCCTGATGGGTATGTGTACTGGTGTTTATAGAAAGCTATCAATGTGTCTCTAACATCATGAGGATCTTTCGGTAGAGGTTTGCTGGAGTTTGTATGTGTCTCAGAGCAGGTACAATAGCTGGTTATACTATTAAACTTGCTCTTAGATTGTGTGGATTTGGTCGACTTAGACTGTCATGGTTGGGAGTATACTATCATTTGATGGTTTTCGAGCTAGGCGGTATTGGAAAAAGGGGGCTTGTTTTTGTGACGTGCAGATCAGTATCTTAGGGACGCACGCTTGTGTGGACTACGAAGCACCTGCATCACTATCACGAGTGGCACATGAATTTGCCTCCTCTCCCTCTCTTTTTTCTTTAACATGGCATATGAATTTACTTCTAGAAGAGTTAAAAAGAGGGTAACAGAGGCAAGGGAAAAAGAAGAGCGATGCTATACATGGTAAAATAAATTCTTACAAAAACTTTTACAAACAAAGAGATATTAGCCGCTTAGTTTATTCAATATGTAGTTATGAAAATTCAAGATACAATCATAGCGTGTTACATTAGTTTTTTTGAATAATTTATTTTTACGCTATTGGTATCATATCCTCGTTCGAGGTATCGTTTGAAATATATTTTTTAGGGTGTTGTGTTTTGCTGAAGAGTTTTGCTCTTCAGTAGTGGCTTCTAGTAGTATACGCGTGGTGTGTTTTTTTTTCCGTTTTCATGACTAAAGCCTTTTGTAGACTTATAATATTTTTACCGCTATATCGATACGAAACATCACACTGTCTATGTGTTGTTAAAAGAACTTCTCACGTTTACGATTCTATATGAATTTCTGGACCACAAACCACTCGTTTTTCCTTCAACTTAAAAAAATTAAATAATTTTTTTTAACAATACTTGTTTGTATTCTACCCTTTTTTGTCGGTTTTTATCAACGATTTTCGTGAAATCCAAATATATCATTCAAGCGGTTTTTTATCTGTCATGGGGATTATGAACCTGGCTGTATGAATTCACTAGCCAAGGCAGAGGCAGAGGAGTTTTATTTTGGGTGGTCCTGTCCTCCAAGGAAGGAAGAGAAAGCCCTGGCATCAGCGATGGGCACATTAAAGAGAGAGGGAACCACCGCCTGCCTCCCAAACAGTGGGAAAACCAATCCAACTGTCCATTGATGAGTTCCCTCAATATCCCACTTGCACGCCATGCTACTGGCTGCATGTGGTCTCATTTATTTTTAATTTGTTACGGGGGTAAAAACTTGTCGCTTTGGGTAGTAAAAACTTCAAAGGGGGAAATATTTACTATCATAATTGCGTGTTCTTTTTTAGGTAGGTCGCTCCGTGATAATCGTAACGGTTAAATCTGGTGGAAACACACGATGAAGCGGTTGACAACTATATGATCTCTAAAGGCATATTCAGAAGCATTGGTTGCAGCTGCACCGCAACCAGCTATTACTAGAAGCCAACTCACGTCTCCTTATCGGCTATGTTTGAGAGGAGAGGAAGAGTGAAGGTTGAGAAAATACGTAAAACAAAATGAGTTATTAGTGTATGATTAATTGAGTATTAATTTATATTTGAAAAATAGATTAATATGATTTTTTGAAATAATTTTTCTATAGAAACTTTTCGTAAAAGTGCACACTATTTATCAGTTTGGGAAACACGCACGTGAAAAACGAGATTTTTTTCTTCTCTTTTGTACTCTATCCAAGCTTTGGTCTTATGAATTCCCGTACGTAGCTTGACAATTACTCCCTCCATTTTCAAGTCATGTTTTGAAAATGTCGAACATGGATGTGATATATTATAAAATTATTGAAGAAGCCAATAACATATAGAATAGTTATTATCTAGAAAAAAAACATATAGAATAGTTAGATGAATGTATAGGTATAAGTTTGTCTCCCAAAAAAACTTATAATTATTACTTTTATCTAGTTTTCAAATAATTCGGGCAACAGAAATTAGTTGTACATGTTGTGTGTGTCAATGTTCAAAACGATATGTTTTCGTGACCGTAGAGAGCGTATGATTACGAGAGTTGATCTAGTTTACGAGCCCACCAAACAAGAAAAAGCTAGCTCAGTGGAAGAGGTACTTTGCCGGTACAGCTTGATAACTTGCAGCATAATACCCACGGTTTAGGACTTTAGGCACCCACCATGAAGTACTAGATTTTTCCCATTTCGTGCAATTTTGGTCAAGAAAAACAAGTTTGGTTTCATTGTGCCATCATATGCATGCGTCTGTCCTACAATTAATCATCATCTACATGAATTAATGTGCTGTTAATTAAGGATTAATCGATATGCTGTTAATTAAGAACATCCAGTACATTATCACCGTAACCCATCCCTAGTTTGGCAAGGGCATAATCCTAGCGATTATTTCCTGATTAGTCACTAACCCAAATTAGGTACTACTAGATGTTTTGGACAACTACATGACTACATCTAGGACCAGTACTAGCTATAAGTTCTGAAGCCACATGTTGACAGAATGCGCCGTAGTAGTAGGGATTTTAATATTTTACTTTTACGGTTTGACCACTCGTCTTATTTAAAAAGTTTATATGTAAATATAAAAAACAAAAAGTTTTGCTTAAAATATTTTGGATAATAAAATAAGTCACAAATAAAATAAATAATAATTTTAAATTTTTTTAAATAAGTCGAATGGTCAAACAACATAAGCAAAAATGTCAAAATATCTTATATTAGGGGATGGAGGGAATAGTACTTTTTTTTGAGTCATTTAATCCGACTTTTTTCCTTTTTTTTTGGCTTCTTGGATGCCATTATAGTAGTTCTGACTTTTGAGATGCAAGTTTGTTATACATCAACTAACCCAAAAGAAAAGAGAGGGAGAAAGAAAGACAAAGTTCGTTGGATACCCCTGGAGCTTACAGTGACATTCATGCCTTGACAATTGGCGTCAACTTCACTCGTACGCAGCTTGGCCGTTTCTGCAAACGCATTTGCTCCCCGGACACATGCATCCCATCTTGCCAATCTGCCAATCGAGCGACCAACATTTAATTATGGGGAAATTTAAATTTTGTTACGACACACGGAGTAGTTTTGTTTTTACTATTACTGCTACCTGTTTGTTTTGGACACAAGGATGCCAATTTAATTAATTGTTAGAAGTAAAATTTAGCGAACGCGTGCAAAAAAATGTGGAAAAACAATCCAAATTAAAGGCTAAAGGTACACGTCGAGAGTCGAGATTCGTAATGCGAAAATGTTCATGTCGAGGATACTGTTCATTTGGAAGCGACGCTATTTGTGTGTATAAAGAATTATGCAAATTAAAGTATGCATATCAAGTGTATTTTTCTTGCTAGGGAAATGATAGTAATTATCATGGTTATCAATTATCATAATACTGACTATACGTACTTTGTTACTAAAATCCCATTTGTATTTTATACTATTATTAGTCAGTAGGTTATGTGGCACAAGCTATTGTTATTCTTAATTTCTTATACAAGTTGGAAGGAGGCAAATACAGTAAAATTTTAAAAAAGAACATGTACAAAAGGAGAAATATCATTCGGCAAATCAATCCACACCCCAAAAATTCAAATCGTGTAAAAATTCTGGAAGTTAAATGTACACATCAAAACTCTTAATGTAATGAGATATGTGCGCCTTTCGCGTATTCATGAAAAAAGATATGCATGCCGAGAATACTGCTCCTTCGTAAGTGACATTGCTTGCGAGTAAAAAGAATTGTACAAACATGCATAGCAAATTATTGTTGGTGGGAAATAATTCCCATAATGCAATTATATGAATGCCTTTTGCGTATTCCTAAAGGGAAAAAAAGGTGCATATTGAGGATACTGCTATTTGGAAGTGATGTTGCTTGTGGGTAAAAAAATTGTGCAAAACATGTATAGCAAACTATTGTTTGTGGGGAAATAATTCCCATGGTTATCAACAACCCAAGTAATGGCTACTTACTTATTTCTGAGATTCCATTGTTTATTTAATATTTGTCAGAAGATTTATAAGGCGCAATGGAAATACATCGTTATGTAAGGAGTGTATATATTGGGGAAAATTTTGCCATATTAACTGGCAGATGGAAACGCGGTAAAAAATAGAAGAAGAAGCACAAGGTACAAAGGAGAAACATTATGTAACCAATCATTCTATCTCCTCCACAATTTTTGCAAAATAAAGGCTACATGGTGTGAGAGAGAGTGGCCTATCATGATAGAGCAATCCTTCACCTATCATCCAATTTATTCTTTTCTTTTTTACCTAGAAGCCCTTTATCCCTTATACACAAGAAGTCAAGGACACCCAAAAGTAACAAACAAACAAATCAGCCCCATGTCCTTGGCAATAGGCAAAGGACAGGCTCCCTCCCAAACAAGAACCCCCAAAGCATTTTAAAAGTATTTTCTGTGTATATAAAAAACACCAAATTCTGAATTGGTCTGGTGCTACATGTGGCGACAAGATATAAACTAGTGATATATAAAATTAATAATATGTACTTGTGATGGAGAAATGGACCATGATATACTGTTTTTTTTAGATCAAATGGACCAGTGACCTGCAGGAGAGGTGCAGTTGGAACATCTTGAATTTTAGGGTTAAACTAATGTGTGCAAGTGCAAGTTTGCTCAGATAGATTTTTTTTGGAGTCAGAATGTGTGGTCTACACACTTCTGGAATTAAAAATTGCTCCTACTCACCTTACAAAGCAGCTGCAAATAGGCTCTTAGTTTTAAGGTTGATGTCCTTTTCTCTGTCAAGGGGATAAGTGTCAAGACAATTTAAAACATCCTTCATGTAGAGCTAGTTAATTATTAAATTTATTATTTTCTATAAGATGGAGTTTTTGACACAAAATGATTAGCATGAATGTTTGTTAAGAGTTCAACCCAACAACCATACATTAAACAACAGTGACGTGGCGCGTGATAATTTTCACGCTAGCTTGAATCACCGGGCTAAAAGTTGACATGTGTTAATTGTGAAGCTTATTTGTTTTTGACAATGAGATGTATACGAAGTTTGGGTGACATTTGCGCCATTTGTTACTACAATCCCAGTGAGAAATCAGCTTGCATATTTTCAAGAAAAGAAAGAATCAGATTTCAACACACAGTAGCTAGCTAGGAACACACAAGAACCAACAGCATATAGCATATAAAGAACCATAATATATATATAATGTACTTATGAAATCAGAAAACATAGACCAGTTAGAGTTTTCTATGAATATTTGACTTTTCTTCCATGAAAGAAACTTTTTTCTTAACTGTAACCTTCAACTATCTAAATCACACGCACTATTTATAACAGCGAAAGTTCCGTATACAATTCGGTGAAAGAGTCACAATAAAAAATATTCTACGTTTTCAATTTATTATAAAAAAATCATAATTTGATCTCACGTAAATACAATTCTCCTACCGAACCAAATATACCTATATACCCCATTTCTCGAATTTCAGTAAGGTAGAGAGCAAACTATCAAACAATGACCCCAAGACAGAAGATAGCAACACTGAGCTGCACACATCACAACCCCTGCTACTGTAGCAGGACAGTAAAGCCATTTGATTTGTTTTAATTTGTGGCACCTAAATAATAAATCCCAACACACACCACCAAACCTCTGCTAACAAGAAGCCAAGAAAAGTAATTGCACTTGGCCTCCAAGAGGCCAGGGCCTCCCCTCAACCAAACCAACCCCTCCCCAATTATTGCGGCACAATGGCTCCATGCTGGTGTTAAAGGATGAACATGGCCCTGTGGTGCTTGGGGGCCCCCATCCCACCCCCATTCATTGTTTGCTCCCTTTAGAATCCCTGTCAGGGATTTGATGAGATGAATGGCTGCAATGCAATGCAAACACTGCATCAGACCATCCATGCAGCAAACAAAAAACAAGCCAAGCTAGAAAACATATTACTACAAGTATATTACTAATACCTCTACCCAAAATATAAGAATTTTTTCCATGTAAAATAATGTATGTTATACTCCTTTCGGTCACAAATATATGTTTGTTTTGATTAGAGGTAGATAAACTCTGGCTGTTATTTTTGTTTAATATACATGAGTATGCCTATCACTTTATTAAGAAGTAGGAAACCACAGTGGAGAGGGTAAAACACCCTCACCACAAACAATTACCCGTCTGTTGTATAAACACAACTCATTCGACCAGACCTTATTCAATTGAGGTAAACGACTTTCTAAGGAATTCGTCATCGAGCTGAAAGGCCCTGGCAATACACCAAAAACCACATTTATTTGCTACTGTTTAAATGACAGTCGTAATATTAGGACTAGCCTCATTAAACACATCAGCATGATATTTTTTTAATGTACGATTTAAGCGATGTACAAGCAGATAGATTTGAATGTAAGTAATTCCTAAAAAATACATTTGACTCCTCAATTGAATGATACAGGTTTGATGGTAATAGCCAAAATTATTTCTAAAGCCACTATTGATGGAAGCAAAACAGCTCAAAGTCAAAACCGATGGTTATCTGTAAACAGAAGGAGTATTATAATGCCACACACACACACACACACACACACACACACACACACACACACACACACACACACACACACACACACACATATATATATATATATATATATATATATATATATATATATATGACCACCTCTCCTCCTCCTCTTCCTCCCCTCATCACTGATGAAGATCACTCACTCACTGCCTATACAACACTACACAACTCTGCAGTCTGCACTTGCCTCCTCTGCAAAAACCAAGTAGGAGTAGTACTGACTCACTGCCTACCACTACTAGTCTCCTCCTTGGTGGTAGAGTATTCTTGTTGTGTTGTGCACTTGTGCTGCATCTGTGCAGTGTGCTGTGTTGTGTAGCAGCAGCAGCTACAAGTAGCAAAGCCAAGCACAACCACCATCAATTTCACTTGCTCATTCAGCAGCAGCAGCAGCAGCATCAGCATCAGCATCAGCTGCAGCTGCAGCTGCTGGTCATCTCTCTTCTCCTCTGCTGTGTGAAGAGAGTGTGTTTTTGTGTGTGTGTTTCAGTGTGTCTCTCATCCCTATCAGGATAAGCTTCTGCTTCTGCTGCTGATCTGTTGCATTTGCCCTGTTCTTGGCGCTCGATTTGTTGGTATCTCGGTGTTTGCGATCAATAATTCGTTGGTTCGTTCGTTCGCCGCTAGTTGCCACCTTCGCCGCGGCATGTCCGTGGGATGAGAGCGACGGGCGGTGGCGACAAACCGGCCATTCCTCGTCCTCCTCCTCCGGTGGTGGTGGTGGCCTCACCGTGAAAGCGAGAGGTAGACGACGAGGTGTCCAAGTTGCCAACAAGTGGCGTGGAGTGGAGCCGTGTCGTGCCATGGATTGGGATCTCAAGATGCCTGTTTCTTGGGACCTGGCCGAGCTGGAGCACAACGCCGTGCCGAACATGGCGGCGGCGGCGAGCGCGGCGGAGCCGGGCATTGCCGCGGTGGCGGCGTCGCGCGGGGCGCCGGGCCGGCCGGAGTGCTCTGTCGACCTCAAGCTCGGCGGGCTCGGCGAGTTCGGCGCCGCGGACGCGCTCAAGGAGCCCGCCGCCGCGGCGAAGGCGCCGGTGTCGAGCGCCGCCGCCGCCGCCTCGGTGGCGAAGGTGCCGCCGTCCACGAGCACGCTGAAGCGGCCGCGCGGCGGGGGCGGCGGCGGCGGCGGGCAGTGCCCGTCGTGCGCCGTGGACGGCTGCAAGGCCGACCTGAGCAAGCACCGCGACTACCACCGGCGGCACAAGGTGTGCGAGCCGCACTCCAAGACTCCCGTCGTCGTCGTCTCCGGCCGCGAGATGCGCTTCTGCCAGCAGTGCAGCAGGTAAACCAATCTGACGAACCAAAAAAAGAAAAAAAAGCACAAGAAAATCGGGTAAAATTTGGCAAATTTTCAGTTCATATCCAATTCTAGCCATGCTAAATTCAGCACATTGATTAAATTCCCGAATCGATGACTGCCCGCAATCGTGTCACGTCGGATTGTGATTTGCAAAAGATCATTGCCTGAATTGTGCGATGGAAAAAAATAATAAAAATTGGCCGCAACCAAGAACACACACTGACTGATTGGGGTTCAGTTTATCTCTTCTACATCCTTTTCTTTTCACTGCTGATTATTCCCTTTATTCAAAGTGAATAGGCCAAATCAGTTCTTTCTTTGGCCTCGGCTTTCCCTTTCCCTGGCACAATTGTTCCAAGAAAATTTATCACTAGAGATTAGATGAGATGAGATGAGATGAACATTTTTCTGGCTGTCTTGTTCCAAGGATGCACAGCTTTACCTTTTCCGGCGCCAACTTTTCAGCCTTTTCATAAGATGTACCACAAGTTTTTCCCCTGTTGCACTTTACCTTGGCAACCGGTATACCTGAATTATAACCTCCTCTTTTCCTATTTCTGCACTAGTAACTTTCTGACCCATCAGTGGTAATTATTATCCCTAAAAAGCCACTGATGCATTTCATGTGCCAAAGATCAGATGGAGTTGGGTCTTTTGTTATGATACCTGCTACATGTGCACATTATCCCTGGGGCCACTTTCTTCATGGTTTTTGTTTGAAAGTGATGAATGAACTGGAAATTCGTGAATTTTACGTTGTATCGCCGAAGAAATTTATTATGTTTCACGGGTAGTGTCATTGACATCAGGTAGCAATTCTTTTGTGGTCAGCTGCAAAATTTAAGAGTAAAAATGGAGTTCCAACACATTAGGTAGGTAGTTTAGGATCTATGTGATTTCTTTTTTTTTTTTTTTGCTTTGAGGAGTTTAAGAATCAGAATGTCTCTTAGTTAAGTAATACCCTGGTTGATTAGGCCCCATTTCTGACATGTTTGCCTAGCTCCCTTTTCTGCTTAGATCTTTCCTTTCTGAATCAGTGACCAGATCCATACAAGTTATTTCACTTTTTTCCGTGGATCCTTGTGCAACAGTATTTATTATGAGGGACTGTTGATTTGTAAAGATGATATTGAACATGCAACCTGCTTTATATTATGGCTTGCTTTGCTTCAGGTTATTAGCTATGCTCTTTATTTAAGTTGTTGGGACCAACAAGGTTGCTGTTTGAAAGCTAACTACAGTCTGTATAGTGCATTCAACCAGATAACCCTTACAAATACCAATGTCTACTCAATGGTTAACTAATTACAAATCAGATAAATACACCCAATAGGTTGCCTTACCCCTTTTTGTGTGTTTTGGGGTTGGTTTGTGTGCACCTTTTCAAATTCGATCAGTATTTTTTGGGTAAGATATCAGTGAAATTTTGACCGATTTGGCTGTACAGTAAAAGCTATATTTAATTTTCAAGAGTATATCTTGTTCCAGGAATATGAACATCATCCTTGTTATTTGACTACTGAACTGAAATAAAACAGTTGTTAAAGCATGGTCGTCCTTTTCCAGCTGAATCATTTGCTTCCACAAACAAAAAAAAAAAAGAAAATCCTTTTCCTTCAGGACATAACAACTACTGTAGCTGCTTTTCTAAATTAGTTCCAAGCATAATGCTTACTCTTACCAACTGAGTATAATGTGGTCCACTTTCTGCCGATATGAATCCTACTCTCTGGAGCTAATGCGCGCCTCCAATTTGTCAATTTTTTATTTTATAAAAATACTACGCAAGCCGAGATCTTGTATTAGGTTCATCTCTAGTTCAGTTGTGGACTTTTTGTGATGTCCTTTTACGTTGTTGAGCTATAATGAGCAAATTACCTCTGCATCATGTTACCTTTAACACAGTACAAATATTATCAGCCAATCATTCGCCACCTCCTGAAAAATTTATATCCTGTGGGGACTCCTTTGCAACGATTAATTGCCCTCTCCCAGATGCCCAGTGGAGCAAAATTAAAATGCCATATTGCTTGCCAGTCTTTATCAAGTATTCCTCAGTGCTCATTGCAAAAAAAAAAGGTGATCCTCATGAAGCAACAGGCTGGTGGGATGCATACTGCCATATACCTGCTGGAACCATTATACCGTGGTCCAAATGTCCCAGAGGCCAAAGTTGTACTGTTTTTTTTTCTCTTGTGCTTGACAGGCCAGTACAAAACTTTTATATAACTGAATCCCCATGCATTGAAATTATTAGCTGACACATTGAAATACGATTGGTCCAGCCGTGTACCATTTTATTTAATTGAAGCTGGGTGCTATTATTGAATATTCAGCAAATAAATACACGTATCATTCCTCTTCTTTTAAATAGCATCTGAGCCCCATTAATTTTGAAGTATTCGTATGTACTGTATTATTTATCTCTGAGATAAAACAAGTACATCTGAATATGTTTTTGCTTCAATTAGAACTCACACTACCTTTTCAGCATTAAAGCAGCTCTATTTTATTTTCCCTTTCACTTCCTAGTATAACAATCAAGCTTTGTTTTATAAAGATTTATTAAGTACTAAAAAAGGATTTTGATGTTTGGAATTCTCATCATAGCTTTTCATTTCTGTAGGTTTCACTTGCTTGGGGAGTTTGATGAGGCTAAGCGTAGTTGTAGAAAACGCTTGGATGGGCACAATCGACGCCGCAGGAAGCCACAGGCAGATAGCATGAGTTCTGGCAGCTTTATGACAAGTCAACAAGGTATTCTTGTTTAAAAACTGTTGTTTTGAAGAGTATGTTGAATGCTAATGACATAGTTGAAAATAAATTATGTAATGTCCTCTCTTGCTTAAACCAGAAATCTGAGCTGTAAAGCAAACAAAAAGTAATGTATATCTAGACTCCACCAATATGCCACTGCAAATTATACCCCAATTGCTCATAAAATGTAGCATGTAGAACCGAGGTTCAGTAATCTACCTGATACTTACGTATTCCGCAAGTTCTACTAGTTTCCTCCTGTGTAAATCGATGATAGGTTTGCCTATATATTACATGGAGCTTAGAGAGCACAATGCAACCCTTATGTTTCAGTTAAAACAGCAAAAAAAATTATATCTTGTTGTGCATAGTATTATGTTTCAATTGATATTTACCTTTCTGATACTATTGTCAGATTTATTATTATTATTATCATATATGAATGGGTTATTGTGTTTAGTGGGCATGGTGAGTTAATCACTCAAACTTAATTCAAGAATTGGAATCTGAGATGAAATTCCAGATACCCACATTAACTGGAGCTTTAAAGTTAAATCAACGGACTGAATTTCTTCTTCCACACCGAACAATTTAGTAGCTGTTCTAGGGCTTGTTTCATTCATTCATTTATTTATTTTACATAATGGAGATTTCATTTCGTCGGATTTGTTTTAATGACGGCCATTTTAGTTCTGTATTCAAATGTAGGGACAAGGTTCGCGTCCTTCACTCCTCCAAGACCAGAGCCAAGCTGGCCTGGGATCATCAAATCCGAGGAGACCCCATATTACAGCCATCATCACCACCCTCATCCGGTGATGACCAGCCGGCAGCCGCATTTCGTCGGCTCGCCGTCGTCGGCGACGACGGCGGCGTTCTCCCCCAAGGAAGGCCGGCGGTTCCCGTTCCTCCATGAGGGCGATCAGATAAGCTTCGGCGGCGGCGGTGGCGCGGCGGCGGCGGCGACGCTGGAGATCTCGGTGTGCCAGACCACCGTCGTCGCGCCGCCGCCACCGGAGAGCAGCAGCAGCAACAAGATGTTCTCCTCCGACGGGCTGACGACGGCGACGACGACGACGACCACCGCCCACCACCACCACCACCACCACCAAGTGCTCGACTCCGATTGTGCTCTCTCTCTTCTGTCATCCCCGGCCAACTCCTCCAGCGTCGACGTCAGCCGGATGGTCCAGCCGTCACCGGCGGCGGCGGCGGGAGCCGAGCACCACCACCACCACCAAATCCCCATGGCGCAGCCGTTGGTCCCCAACCTGCAGCAGCAGTTCGGCGGCAGCTCGCCGTGGTTCGCCAGCTCGCCCGCCGCCGCGGCCGTCGCCGGCGGCGGGTTCGCCTGCCCGAGCATGGACAGCGAGCAGCAGCAGCAGCAGCAGCTGAACGCCGTGCTGGTGCCGGGCTCCAACGAGAACGAGATGAACTACCACGGCATGTTTCACGTCGGCGGCGAGGGCTCCTCCGACGGCACGTCGCCGTCGCTCCCATTCTCGTGGCAGTAGCTTAATTAGTAGCCTTCCCCAGTAATTATCATTAAGAGTTAAGAGTATCAGTAGCTGTTCCTCCCGTAATTAGTAACTACTACTACTACCTGTGATGTGCAGTGTTATTCGATCTCTTCTTGTGGTGCTTCCGTTTTAGTTACCTTACCTCTCTGAGCAGCAGCAAAGTTTCACAGAAATTGGCAGAGAATGGAGATTGATTCTAATCATCGGGTGAACGTCCATCCATTAGTTGCATATCAACTATATCAACTAAATAGTTATAAATTTATTTTTAAAAAATTAACTAGATAGATTAATATGTAATATATCACTATACAAACATGTAATATTAAATTTAACTTTTACAAGCTGTAACAAAATTGAGAAATTTAACTGCAAATATATATACACTACTTTGAGTTTTATTTGTTGTTTATGTTACAATTTGTAGAAATTAAATTTTAATTTACATGTTTGTGTAGTGATATATTACATATCTTGTCAATTATTTTTTAAAAAAATAATAATAATTTAGATGACATGCAATAAACGGGTGGACATTCACCGGTGATTAAAAGAGAAATTAAATTTGAAAATGTACCGTTCATTCAATTTTTTCTAAGGAATATTTGGGATGCAAAAAATTATGCAGAAATATATCATCGGTGTCGCACTTCCGTTGCGCGAAAATGACGCGGGAATAACATCACGGATGGTATCGCGCGGCGAAAGCGCGAGACCGCACGGTCTCTCGCGGAATGGAAGAGTGAGACTGCAGAAGCCATCTGTGACATTGTCCAATGGGATCCATTTGATTAGTGATCAAGTACTTAATTAACAATTAACTAATAATAATTAGTGATTAATTATCATGATTAGTGATTAATTAATAATCAGTATAATTAACCGCTAATTAAATAGGCAAGGCACGATATCTCTCTTTGCTTGAGCGATAGCGTTGATTGTTTGAGCGGTATCGTTGTTTGCTTGAGCGAGACCGCACGGTCTCGCACTTTCACTGCACGATACCGGTCGTGAAATCATTTATGCGTCATTTTCGCACAATGGTTGTACGAGACCGATGGTATATTTGTGCTGTATCCTAAATATTTCTAACAAAAAATAATTGAATGAACACTATATTTTCAAATTTAATTCATTAAAAGAGTATAGCGGCAGAGAATTCCATGGAAATTCCTGTACAGAAACTTCACTGGCAGCACTGCAGCAGGAGGAGGAGCTCTGTTCCGTCTGGGCTTTTTCTCGGCCAGTGGTAATTAACTCGGCCCATCTGCAGCCCACGTTAGGTCGTCGTCTTGGGCCCATGTGACATGAGTCACATGACGCCAATGGAAATGGCGCACAACTGCACAAGCACAACACGACACGGTCGCTGCGTCGCATACACACACATAATACTGATTGAACTGATTGATCGTTGAGACGTTTGATTGATGGATTGATTGCAAGGCAGCAACAAGCAAGCGCGAGTAGTTTGTGGGCAGGCACCGGGCCGGACGGGACGCGCCGATAGATCAAGCATTCAAGCTGCCTACTACTCCCTCCGTTCCATAACGTTGTAACCTAATATATGGACTATATGGGAACTATATATGTCCAGATTCGTAATTCTAGGATAAATCATTATGAGACGGAGGGAGTAGTACTAGCAAGCTAGCCAAGCCATTTCGTGGCTTTTGCCGTCCAAAATCTACCGGGATTTTTTCACGCACACACGGCTCTCTCCCTGCTCTGGGTCCGCGTCCTCACGTCGATCGATCCATCCATGGATCAGCCGGCGGCCGGGATCGTTCGTCGCGCGTCCATGGCATTGGGTACGACGATACATCGAACGGACGAATACCATGGGCCCGGTACGTATCGACGATCGCGGCATGATGGCATCCGATCGATCGACCCGGTACGTGTCCGTCCGTCGTACGTACTCCGTCACGCCGGCCGGTCGCGATCACCGATCGATCAAGTCGCGCGCGAGATGGGACGATATATATATATATATAGCCCAGATTAAAATTGCCTGCAGATATCTCGTGAGCACCCGGTCCGGACCGTTGGGCTCGCAGGTGTGCCTGCCGACGACGCGATGACGGGGGCTTCAGGGTCTAGTCAAGCGCACCAACCATGTTGTTGCGTGCGGGGGATGGGTGTGGGTGGTGTAGCTTTTTAACACCCGCAATGGTAAAGTAAGTTGCTTTCTATAAAACAAAACATGTACATCTCAGTAATAGACTAGATTAATAGTAAACCACCTCAATATTATGTCTACATGGGTATCTATAGATCTCTCATCCATTACATCGTTTTTCTCTATAGACTATCTCCATGTTAGTAGAAAGCTTTACTCTCTCTCTTTCTCTTCATTTAACCTCTTCCAATTAGAAAAATATGATGACATGGATCTCTTGTATAGAGCCTATAGATAACCATTGCGGATGCCCTTATATCCTCAAGTTGGAGAGAAATTTTCTGCTCACTTGAAACGAGAAATTTCATTAGCATATAATTAATTAATATTAATAATTATAAACTTAAAAATGATTTTTCAAACAACATCTATATAGAATTTTTATTTTTTTTAAAAAAAAACACACCATTAAATAGTTTGAAAAAAGTGCTAATGAAATTGAGGAATTTGAAGAAAAGAACGGCTCAATTTGCTGAGCTATTATTCCGTATGTGATAGTCTTGCATACCCATGTTTAATTACCTTTTTTTTTTTGAAATAAAGAACCACCTTCCACTCGTTTACTGCAAACCGATCCATTGAGAACCGTTAAATACTGATGAATTTTGGTTAACACCGTACGAAAACCAACTAATATTGATCGGTTTTCACAAACCGATGACCAACCATTTTTTGCGAAATGCCAAATCCTGGCATGCCTAAGCTGACCTGAGCTTGTAGTTTTCAAACGAACCGTGTTAATTGTGGTATATAACACATTGGGTTGGCTACTGTATCGTACATAATTTTGTTGGGGTTATTTCTGCATGCGTATACGTACGGATTAGTTGTAATTAAGAGGAAAAACATGCATGTATAATATAGATATACCTAGCATGCACCATTATATACTTATTAATCTAAGCTTTAAAGTGCAAATGATACTACATATTGAACATTCAACTTTATTGTATTGATAAATTGAACCGGATATATCCACAAGCACAAAATTTGCAATGCACTTCAAAATTAATGTAATCTTTGCACGCTACTCCCTACATTTCATATTATAAGTTGATTTGACTTTTTTTTTCAAGTTTATAAAAAAAATTAGCAACATCTAAAATATCAAATTAGTTTCATTTAATCTAACATTGAATATATTTAGATACTACGTTTGTTTTATCTTAAAAATGTTAGTATGTTTTTTTTATAAACTTGGTCAGCCTTTGAAATGTTGGACTAGAAAAAAAGGTAAAAAAAATTATAATGCTGAATAAGCCACAATTTAAAAAGTTTACAGGGACGGTTTAATTCATTGACATTTCACATATACATAGCACATGTCAAATTCATATGTTAACTTTTCTTTTTATAAACTGGACACCCCGTGCCAACAGTCAACCCCTAATTAAATTAACCACAACATGAATACATCATTAATTTTATAACATATACTAGTTATTTTGCTTTTCATATATCTCCCCCTCTTGCTAATTTGAGTTCCCAGCATGCATGGATACTAATTAACTTAACCAAAATTAGTTAGCCTGCAGCCTAATTTGTCCATCTCTAGCTAGCTAGTTTGCACTTAACATCTGTGATACGTTACCACACCAAAGTTACATACACATTAATGATTAATCCTTTGATCAGTTCCTATATATCCCAGGTAGAATATATATCGATCTCTTCAGAATCACGACCAATTAGGTAAAATGAAAGAACATACACTCCTGCCTAGCCAAGACTTCAAACCTTACACACACATATATATCTACTACTGCAAGCACTGCAACGGCAAAGTTCTCTGCAGGCAAAGAGATATACCGATCGAAGAAGCCTCTCTCTATCCAAACCCAAACAGCTCCATTTTGTCTACACGAACTATGGCAACTTGGCAACCACATCGCTAGCTAGCTAGATATATACTATGCTACCTTGGTTCATTTTGCTGCTTTGATTTGCAACTGCAACCCAAGAGAAAAGTTGTAAGGGTCTGTATGGGGATTTTCTGACCGCTGTATCTTCTCTCAAAATCATATTAATCCTCTCTACATAGTCTAGTTTTTCATCCAAATTCTCAAAAGCTCTAATTATAGAATCTAAAAAATTAACTAGAAAACAGAAGCTGAGAAATCCACATTCTCCATATTCTCAGAAGCTTGATACTAACTAGCTATTTCCCAAAATCTTAGGCCTTATTTAGTTGGGGAAAATTTTTGGGTTTGTTTGTCACATTGGATATACGGACACACATTAGTATTAAATGTGGTACAATAACAAAACAAATTACAGATTCCGTCAAAAAACTGCAAGACAAATTTATTGAGCTCAATTAATCCGTCATTAGCAAATGTTTACTGCAGCACCACATTGTCAAATCAGGCGCAATTAGACTTAAAAGATTCGTCTCGTAATTTACACGCAAATTGTGTAACTGGTTTTTTTTCCACATTTAATACTCCATGCATGTATTTAAATATTCGATGTGATGGGTGAAAATTGTTTATTTTGGAAACTAAACAAAGCCTTAAGCTCTCCCAACAGATCACCCACCGGCTCCTAGTGGACACAAGAAGGGTATTTTTCCCGAAACCCGAAAACTCCGAGGTTTCAAGTGCAAAAGCGCCCAACTCTACTCACTTTTCCCCAGCTTTTCCGCGCTTAATTTCTCGACCTGTCGAATCCTCAGTCGCCACCGCTGCGTCGACGAGGAGAGAGAGAGAGAGAGAGAGAGAGAGAGAAAATCCAAAGCAATCAGTGAGAGACGCATTGAATTGGGTCGGAGATTAGTGCGAAATTAACCTAGATAGCTTTGCCTTTGCGTACGATGGATCGATCGAGGCCGCCTAGGGTTCCGCGTCGTTCCACCACCTTGCCGGAAATGGCAATGCCGGGTAGCCCCCACCGCCGCTGCCCACCCTCTCCCCCTTCCCTTTTTAAACCCCTCATCCCCTTCCCCCTCCTCCTCCTCCTCCTCGCCTTAGCTTTCCCCTCTCTTTCGCTTCGCGAGATTGGTTGATTCATCTCGCGATTGATCGAGCTCGAGCGGCGGTGAGGTGAGGTGGAGGAGGAGGAGGAGGAGGAGATCGGGATGGGGAGAGGGAGGGTGGAGCTGAAGAGGATCGAGAACAAGATCAACAGGCAGGTGACGTTCGCGAAGCGGAGGAATGGGCTGCTCAAGAAGGCGTACGAGCTCTCCGTGCTCTGCGACGCCGAGGTCGCCCTCATCATCTTCTCCAACCGCGGCAAGCTCTACGAGTTCTGCAGCGGCCAAAGGTATATATACATGGACGCACTGGGCGCGCGCCTCGATCTGCTATAGCTAGATCGGTAGCTGCTTGCAACGTAGCTAGCTAGGGTTTCTTGCGCGCGCCTGCGCCTCCAGATCTGGAGCGCACGATGGTTTTGTGAACTTCTTGGTGGCGATTTTGCGGGGATCTGGGGCTGCACATGGTGGATCTGCGAGTGTGCTCGTGTTTTGGTGAGTTTTGGGAGGGTTTGGGAGAAGGAAGTTGGTGGAATTCTGTGGGAATAATTAGGGTTTTTGTTCGTTCGATCGGGTGCTAGCTAGCGTAATAGGGAGTGGTGAAATACGTAGATCTGAGGGTTTCTGATCCCGTGGTAGTAGTGGTTTTGAGATGGCGCGCTTAATGGTTTTGAGTTTGGTTTAATTGCGATTAATTTATGTGCATGCATGGGATGGGACATTCAGGATTTAAGCCTGGATCAGCAAGTCGATTTTTACGGAGAAAATTAATCGTTGGAAGCTTCGAATCTTAATTTTATCGATCTCCTAATGGAGGGTATGCGAGTTTCGAATTCCCTTGGGATCTGTTTTTTTCCTCAATTTTTAGTTTTTTGAGGGGCAATTTTTTTTAGGGTATATATGATTTTTTTTTTTTGGGGGGGGGGGGTGTGTGAAGGGATCATGCATATCATTAGCCATGTACCGGATGTGTGTCTAAACAAACGTTCACTGCATGAATTCCACGGTTTGGAGGCAGCATACCTTACAAGATTTGGGGGTTTCACTTAAGATTTTGTCTCTTTGTTTTTTTAAGGGATGGCCGCGGGGGAGTATTGTTTTTCAAGTGAGTTATGGTTGCATCATTAAAGGCAACATCAATAAATATAAAGTCTGTTTCTCCTGAGATAAGTATATGAAAAATCATATACTACTATATATATAATTGTCTTTCAGAAACACAGAGCGTCTGATTGGCTAGGCATAATTCACAAGCCGCATATAAGCTAGTTGAATTGATTTTGAATTAGAAAACATTTTTTTTCGGGGGGAAGAAAACATTTGGTATTGTGTTTAGAGATAAACAATTAGTTAGGGTAGATAAGTCAGGCATTCATGAGCTTCATTTCATATTTGAATCATACATTTTCCAAACTTTAGAAGGTTAAATTTTCTTGCTCATTGTATTGCACTGATCATTTTAATAATATCTTCTATAGTGAATATTACATCATTATATATTTTAGATAATGATTACATTATTATATGCTCCGTTGCAGAAAAAACCAACTTTTTTGCCAAACCTGGACATATATAGGCTATGTCCAGATTTATAGCTAGAAGTTAGGGCCTCATCTTTTACCCTATGAATTATAAGCCAATATCAAATTTTGAATTTCGAAACTTGATTTAGAAGTTGATTTTTAATGTTTTGTCAATGTAGATTGTTTTTCAGCATTAACTTTTAATTCGCTAAAGACACATATACAATTTTACTCACAAATTATATTTTGGTTGCTAATAAGCCGTTATGGCTTATAATCAGCCGTAAGTATATGGGGACTTTAGCATTCTTTTTCTTTTTTTATGGAGGGAGTACATGCTTGCCAATTTTTATAGTTATGTTTAAATGGTTTCCATTATACCTAAGTTACTAAATTAAAATTAATACGCCTATAAAATTCTAACATTAAATATATTCACAAATAAGAGTACATGATTTCATTGACCAGGGAATTCAATTTGGATATGGGGTGAGTGAAACATCCCTCCTCTGCTCCTCGGAAGAAATCCTGCAAGGGAGTACACAATATTCCTAGGACTCACTTGAGTATCTGCAGGGTACAGTTAGTGACAGCTTTCGATTGTCATTCGATTGGTCTCCTCAGCTCTCGTAGCTGAGCTGTCAGTACAGAAGATTGGTCTTCATCAGATGTCTCTTCTAGTTCTAGCTAGAGCTAGTTCAGTGGAGTATTTTATGCCGACAAATTGATACTCAACGTGTACTGTAGATCCTTTTCAGAAATCTGAATTCACGACTTGTTTAAACAAAGGCTGTGTTTGGATCCAAACTTCAGTCCTTTTCCATTACATCAACCTGTCATATACACACAACATTTTAGTCATATCATCTCCAATTTCAACCAAAATCTAAACTTTGCGTTGAACTAAACACAGCCAAAAGGTCACTAAATTGACGCGGTAGAGGGGGGGGGGTGAGCATTATAGCTGTAGTAGTAGTCTGCGTGAAGTTATGCCATTTCATTGTGTGTCGTCTGAACTTGATATCTCTCTTTAAAGAGTGTACTCCATTTTCTTTACAAAAAGTGGCCTCTAGGTTGATATCATGGACATATATAAAATTATAAATCAACTTGAAACTACCGATGCAAGAATTAAGATAAAACGTTATTGTTTCTTAGAAATTGTCTCCAATTATGCAAGCACCTTCATCCGTGTCATGGAGCTAATGTTCATGTTTTGTGAGAAACAAGATTTTTCATCTACTAATTAATCGATGTGGTCCCCGGAAAAGAATGTGCCCTAGATTGTTAGTATTTAGTTATGGGCGAACTATATATGTTCCTTTATTTCGTTTTTCCATAAACATAGCCATTTGTGTTTTTGAAACTTGCAGCATGACCAGAACTTTGGAAAGATACCAAAAATTCAGTTATGGTGGGCCAGATACTGCAATACAGAACAAGGAAAATGAGGTTACTAGATTCTATTAATATATTTTAATTTTTAGTGAGTTATGACAAGCTTTTATGGATTTAAGTTGATGCATAGACTAGCTTTGTGTTCTGATTAATCGATCTGTGTCTCACTGGATAATACTTCAACAATTCGATTCATGCAGTTTAATTGATTGATCCTAGATATGCTGCTTTTAGTATTATCATTAATTACCAACTATATACACGTGTTGAATAGTACAATTAAAAATGAAGTCTTAATTTAATATATTCGCTGTGCTTCTTAATGTATGTGATGTTGCTACAAGACTCAAAATTTAATGAAAAATGAGAGCACTGCAAAAGGTTGCATATGAAAGAGTGCTATAACTAGAATGAGTATTGTTGTTGTGTTTCCACATGTAATAACACTGATTTACAACTCTAATTTGTGCTAGCTGAAATGTCTAGTATGTAGATCTGAATATAAAACAGAAAAGCTCCTAGTCACTGGTTATTGACCATGATATGATAGATGGATTCATGAATTAATATCACTGTTTTCTAATAAATTGTTCATTCATAAGCCTAATTTTGCATGTGAAATTATATTATTTTGTTTTCACATAGAATCTCTAAATTGTTTCCTATTTCTTTGTACTGAAGTTAAATTTATTTTTCAGTTAGTGCAAAGCAGCCGCAATGAGTACCTCAAACTGAAGGCACGGGTGGAAAATTTACAGAGGACCCAAAGGTAATATCAGGCTTCCACTTATGAGTTCAATTTTATCAAAGACGAAATGGAGCACAGTTAATTGGTTTCATTCATATATATGCAAAGTAGATAAATTATTGTGTATTGGGGCAAGAACAATTATGTGTACACTAGATACTTTTTGGCCATTTGGGTGAAAAAAAAAACTATATTGCATGGAAAAAACACATATGACTAGTGTTAACAAGAGTGAAGTAATATATGTGAACCAATGAAGGTCCTACCGCCGTCTCTATTATATAGGGTTTACAAGTGGTAAAACAGTAATCTCAGGGAGAACTAGCTTAGAGAATTAGATGCGTGCAGTAGTATATACTGAAGTTGCTTAGAGAATTAGATGCATGCATCAATCACAGTGTAAAATATACAGAACTAAGGCCCCGTTTAGATTCCAACTTTTTTTTCAAACTTTTAACTTTTTCGTCACATCGAATTTTCCTACACACACAAACTTCCAACTTTTTTGTTCACATCGTTCCAATTTCTTCAAACTTTCAATTTTAGTGTGGAACTAAATACAGCCTAACTTAGTAGATCTTTCTGTTGACAATTACAGGAATCTTCTTGGTGAAGATCTTGGGACACTTGGCATAAAAGAGCTAGAGCAGCTTGAGAAACAACTTGATTCATCCTTGAGGCACATTAGATCCACAAGGGTAATTTGTTAACTGTTTCTCACATATGTTTCAGAAATGTTGAAAAAAATTTAACTCTAATCTTGTTGCAGACACAGCATATGCTTGATCAGCTCACTGATCTCCAGAGGAGGGTACAAGCTTGACATAAAACTTACCAACTATGTATTTCAGGCAAGAAAATTTATTATTTCCAAAACTAACTTTATATACCTAAATCATTTTCAGGAACAAATGTTGTGTGAAGCAAATAAGTGCCTCAGAAGAAAAGTAAGTTTAATTCCTTGTCCCGTTTAAGTTTCATGCATTTACTTGATCTTAAGATTCTGCATGAACTAAGTATGTGGTTTTAAAAGTAATTTATACACTTCACTTTTATGTGTGCTTGTTCAAAATCAAAGCCCCGCATCCATGTAGTACTAAATTTAATCTGATCAGGAATTCAATGTGTAGATGTTAACATCAGTGTTTAGTTAGCACTTTATATATTCCTTCCACATAAACTTACAAACATGTGAACATATAAAATATGGTTTGTAAGGGCGTATAACAGAAACTGGACAAGTTTGTGTACGTTGATGCATATTAGTTTGTAGGATGAATTGTATATATTACAAAAGAACATTTGGTATTGGTTATTTCTACATAACGAATACGTACATGAAGCTTCGTAGACAGCATATTACTTCAACTGCGCATATTAATTAACATAAGGATCTCTCACACGTAAGCAATGCATATTAACAATTGATCAAGACGAGGTCACACTGTTTTCGGTTGCGATTTAGGCATTTAGGTCCGTTTTCCTGGCATCTCTTCCTCGGATATATATATATCTCCTGGCTAACGCCTGCTTACGTAGCTCTGTGAAATAACCAAAATGATGCTGTGAAATGAAAAAAAAAAACACAAGTGAGAAAAGAATAACGAGCACTACTAATGTTTGATTCGTTTGCGAGGAAAAGCTGGAGGAGAGCAACCAGTTGCATGGACAAGTGTGGGAGCACGGCGCCACCCTACTCGGCTACGAGCGGCAGTCGCCTCATGCCGTCCAGCAGGTGCCACCGCACGGTGGCAACGGATTCTTCCATTCCCTGGAAGCTGCCGCCGAGCCCACCTTGCAGATCGGGTATAAAATGCATGTTACTCATTTCAGCTTCATGATCGTTTCTCTGATCTCATTAGTTCTTGAAACCAATTGTGTATCCAGTTTAATTTTTTCATTATTACGGGAAAAGCTTGCACGTACACATATATACCACTACACACGCGCGTACACCCACTCACGCATACATCCGTGAGTAAGCTTTTTTAACACATGCTTAAGAGATATGAATGGTGTTTTTCTAGCCTTACTAGATTACTAAGGAGGTCCACTCAATCGTGCGTATCTATTTTATTCTGTGCTAAAAAAAGGTATGGAATGCTCTCTACACATGAACTTGGGCCGAGTTTAGTTCCAAAATTTTTCTTCAAACTTTCAACTTTTCTATCACATTAAAACTTTTCTACACATATAAACTTTCAACTTTTCTGTCACATCGTTCCAATTTCAACCAAACTTCTAATTTTGGCGTGAACTAAACACACCCTTAACACAATTTGATTCTCTTCGTAGGTTTACTCCAGAGCAGATGAACAACTCATGCGTGACTGCCTTCATGCCGACATGGCTACCCTGAACTCCTGAAGGCCGATGCGACAACCAATAAAAACGGATGTGACGACACAGATCAAGTCGCACCATTAGATTGATCTTCTCCTACAAGAGTGAGACTAGTAATTCCGTGTTTGTGTGCTAGCGTGTTGAAACTTTTCTGATGTGATGCACGCACTTTTAATTATTATTAAGCGTTCAAGGACTAGTATGTGGTATAAAAGGCCGTACGTGACAGCCTATGGTTATATGCTGCACAAAAACTACGTATGGTACAGTGCAGTGCCTGTACATTTCATAATTTGCGGTAAAGTTTATTGACTATATATCCAGTGTGTCAAATATAATAAAATGTCGAGGTTTAATTACCATGCTCATGTGCATTCTAGGTTCTTTATATATAGGAGTATTAGGTTAACTGATTAGTTGTTGTACATCATTGTCTAAAAAAATAGCTGTCGTTGTACATAAATTGAGCATGCTGGTCTGCATGAAAATTAAGGAAAAGAAACATGCAAGTAGCCCAGGTAGTTGGGCTGTCAAGCAGTCGTACTTGTCCGAGTCGCAGATAGTTAGTTGACCCGAAACTGTGATTGCGAACGTACGAGCGAAAATGTAGATGCAGGCATTTCAACTTGAGTGATTTGCTTTTTATTCATATATATGGTTCATTTTTTTTAAAGATGGCTTCGACTGGATCTCGTCTTCGTTAAGCATGCGTCCAGGACCAGGAGTACATGCATTTTGCATTCAGCCCTAACCAATACTTTTTACCAATTAAAGAGCAGAGCAGGCACGACACGCATAGACAACGGACATGGATCTTCGCAGTACTACATTTGCAGTAGCAGTGGCTGATAGGTGAACCCGATCCTACATGTCAGTGGCTGCTACTGTAGACAATCTCCACTGATAGACAACGGGTACAACTCGTAGTATTAATTCAAACGCCAAATGCATTAATGGTAGTTTGCTTATTAGTACTAGTTTGCATAACGAAGCGTGTATATATATTTATACTTCCTCCGTTTTATGTTTTAATTTGGACTTGTCGTTCCAGAAAATCGTACGAAGTCATAGCAAATTACATTGCAATTCTTCTTAATTACATATTAATCATGTTTTCAAAGTAAGAATTAGAATTCCTTATAAGAGACTACTACTAGCATGGTTGTGTTAGAGAAAGGTAAGAAGAAAAAAGCATTTAAAAAGTGATTTGGAATATGAGAATGACAAGTGTTTTGGCATAACTTTTAAATGGTAGAACGACAAGTAATTTAAAACATACAAAGTACTAGTCCCTTCATTTCATATTATAATTCGCTTCGACTTTTTCTAAGTCAAACATTGTTAAATTTGACTAGGTTTTATAGAAGAAAAGTAACATTTTAAACGTCAAATTAGTTTCATTAAATCTAGCATTTGAATATATTTTGATAATATGTTTGTTTTGTGGTAAAAATACTATTATATTTTTCTACAAATCTAGTCAAACGTAAAAAAAAAGTTTGACTAGGAAAAAAGTCAAAACGATTTATAATATAAAACATAAGAGCACCCGCAATAGTAAAGTAAGGTGCTCTCTGTAAAACATGTACATCTCAGCAATAGACTAGATTAATAGTAAACCACCTTAATAGTATGTCTACTTGGGTATCTATAGCTCTCTAATATATTGCCTCGTTTTTCTCTATAGACTATCTTCACATTAGTAGATAGCTTTGCTCTCTTTTTTCATCTCTTCCAAGTAGGAAAATATGCTGACATGGATCTCTTGTAGAGAGTTTATAGATAACCATTGTGGGTGCCCTAAGTAGTACTATCTTTTCTTCCTGTCCAAAAAATATAAAGCACTTTTGAGCTTCTATACGTAGATTTAAATGAGAAATGGCTATATTTGATTGAGATAAGTGAGTAGGTAAACGCTCTATTTAAGATAAATTGTAAAGTTAATATATTTTGACGGAGGGGAAGTAGCATTTATGAAACCCTAGTAGAGCTACGCTTCGTTGACCACACTCCTCGAAATAAACATGATATTTTGTCATGGAAATCATCACCGCGAATTAGTATATGGAAATGCTAGATACTACGCGTTGTTACGGAATATGCATCTTTGATCTATTATTAAGAACGGTAGAATAGTTGATCCAGATGATGTTGTTTATAAGAGACAAGAGACAATATGATCCATAGGTTGACCATGCTAAGTCTACAAATAATTGAGACGATGTATCTTTTGTAAAAAGAGGAACACAATTAAGATCATTAATTAATCATATAAGTATTAGAAACTAGTATTAAAGTAATGTGGCTTTATAAGAAAAAAGAGAAATAGTATTTATGAATTGCACTAAGTGAGCAACGTATATAAGTATAAAGAAATATATAGGATTACTACTAATTAATGTTCATTAGGACACGATATACTCACTCTAACTTCATCTGTCTAATAGAATAAGGGCCCATTTAATTTAGATATAAAACAGAGAAATTTTTTAAAAAATTAATCTTGTAGGAAAATTTCTTTGAAACAAATGATTGAATTATATCCTATCCTTCAAAAATCCTATGGAGTAAATAATGATTTTGGAGGAAATTTAGCAAGAGCTCCAACCTCTTGAAAACTTTCTTCGATTATATCTCTCTCATTCGATTCTTGTATTTCCTGCGGTCTAATCAAATGGTTATTTCTGTGTTTTTTCTACGTTCGGTAGTCCTTTGTTTTGCACTTATATTCTTATTAGAAACATGTGTTTTTTTTATTTCTCCGTTTTTTTCATTCCAGTGATTCAAGTGGAGCCTAAAGTTTATAAAACTACTAGTACTTAATATTCTGTTTAATTTTAAACGTATGCCAACGTTTATTGACAAACTATTAATTGACAAACTATTGATAGTCAATGTTTCAAGATCTTGATAAAATCTTATGCTAAATATCAGATACTCCCACTTGACTGTGTTCTTTCCCTCATGTTCCCAACTCCCCCTCTCCCGTTTTTCGCGCGCACGCTTTTCAAAATGCTAAATAGTGTGTTTTTCTTTTAAAAAAATTATATATGAAAGTTATTTTTAAAAACAAATTAATCCATTTTTTTAAAAAAATTACCAATACTTAATTAGTCACGCGCTTATGTACCGCTCCGTTTTCATGGGAGATGTTCCCAACTGAAACGAAACTAGCGAACACAGCCACGCACACGCTTATGATCTGACGAAGTACCATGCCCCCACACGCGCACACGAGCCACGGCCCGGCCCACCGTCGAACGCTTCAACCTGAGCTCTGTAGCTGCTTCATGCTTGACCTGGTAGTAAAGCCCCAGCCCCCAGTTATGAACGCGCGCGCAAAATCACACCCACTTTGACGCGCGTAAACTATATAAATCCACTCGATGCCTCGAGGCAGAGCAGTGCAAAGCACAAAGCGCGCACACACACACACCTCGCCGATTGCTCACGAAACCGATCATTTCCAAGCCTCTGATCCGTCGCAAAATCCCAATCCTTGAGCTCGATCGTCAGCTTTGTGCGCGGTGATGAGGACGTGGCGGCTCGCCGTGCTGGCGTGCCTGTGCGCCGCCGCGGCGGCGGCGCCGGCGGAGGCGAAGACGCACCACCACACGTGGAACATCACGTACCAGTACAAGTCGCCGGACTGCTTCAGGAAGCTCGCCGTGACCATCAACGGCGAGTCCCCCGGGCCGACCATCCGCGCCGCCCAGGGCGACACCCTCGTCGTCACCGTCCACAACATGCTCGACACCGAGAACACCGCCATCCACTGGCACGGCATCCGCCAGGTCATTCTTCATCTTCGTTCCATCCCCCTCGCCGTCGCCGGCTCGCCGGCGATCATGTGTTCGTCCGTGTGGGTATTGTTCTAACGGCAATGTGTCGTCGCAGATTGGCAGCCCGTGGGCTGACGGCACCGCCGGCGTCACGCAGTGCCCCATCCTCCCCGGCGAGACCTTCACCTACAGATTCGTCGTTGACAGGGTAAGCAGCTACTCCCTCAGTTTCAGATTACAAGATGTTTTAACTGCTTCAAATTTAACTAATTTTATAAGTAAATATAGTAATATTTACATTACCAAATTAGTTTTATGAAATTAATAATTAATTATATTTTATAATAAATTTATCTTGGTTTAAAATTATTACTATTTTTTTAATAAACTTGGTCAAACGTCTTATAATCTAAAACGGAGGGAGTACGTGCAATGATCGATCGATGCTTAGTTCTTTGCTTGGATGGTTGGATGAGCAAATTTTGATTGATTTTCTGGGTGTTTTTGTGATGGTTTCAGCCTGGAACGTACATGTACCACGCGCACTACGGCATGCAGCGCGTGGCGGGGCTGGACGGCATGCTCGTCGTGTCGGTGCCCGACGGCGTCGCCGAGCCCTTCGCCTACGACGGCGAGCACACCGTCCTCCTCATGGACTGGTGGCACCAGAGCGTGTACGAGCAAGCCGTCGGCCTCGCCTCCGTCCCCATGGTGTTCGTCGGCGAGCCCCAGTCGCTTCTGATCAACGGCAGAGGCGTGTTCAACTGCTCGCCGCCGGCGGCCAGCAATGGCGGTGGCGCGGCGTGCAATGCGTTTGGCGGCGAGTGCGGGTGGCCGACGCTGTTCACCGCCTCGCCGGGGAAGACGTACCGCCTCCGCATCGGCAGCCTGACGTCGCTGGCGTCGCTGAGCTTCGAGATCGAGGGGCACACGATGACGGTGGTGGAGGCCGACGGGTACTACGTCACGCCGGTGGTGGTCAAGAACCTCTTCATCTACTCCGGCGAGACCTACTCCGTGCTCGTCACCGCCGACCAGGACCCGTCCCGGAGCTACTGGGCGGCGTCGCACGTCGTCAGCCGCGACCCCACCAAGACGGCGCCGGGCAGGGCCGTCGTCAGGTACGCCTCCGCCGCCGTGGATCACCCGCGCACGCCGCCGCCGACCGGGCCACGGTGGAACGACACGGCGAGCAGGGTGGCGCAGAGCAGGTCGTTCGCCGCGCTGCCGGGGCACGTCGAGCCGCCGCCGGCGAGGCCCGACCGCGTTCTCCTCCTCCTCAACACGCAGAGCAAGATCGACAACCACACCAAGTGGGCCATCAACGGCGTCTCCCTCAGCTTCCCGGCGACGCCGTACCTCGTCGCCATGAAGCACGGCCTCCGCGGCGAGTTCGACCAGCGGCCGCCGCCGGACAGCTACGACCACGGGAGCCTCAACCTCTCCTCCCCGCCGGCGAGCCTCGCCGTGCGCCACGCCGCGTACCGCCTCGCCCTGGGCTCGGTGGTCGACGTGGTGCTGCAGAACACGGCGATCCCGCCGCCGAACGGGCGGAGCGAGACGCACCCGTGGCACCTCCACGGGCACGACTTCTGGGTGCTCGGCTACGGCGAGGGCAAGTTCGTGCCGGAGGTGGACGGGCCGGGTCTGAACGCGGCGAGCGCGAGGGGCGGCGCCGTGATGAAGAACACGGTGGCGCTGCACCCGATGGGGTGGACGGCGGTGAGGTTCAGGGCGAGCAACCCGGGCGTGTGGCTGTTCCACTGCCACCTGGAGGCCCACGTGTACATGGGCATGGGCGTGGTGTTCGAGGAGGGCGTCGACGTGCTGCCGCGGCTGCCGGCGTCCATCATGGGGTGCGGCCGCACCAAGGGCCATCACTACTAAAAACTTGTGTTATCCAAAAAAAAAAAACTACTAAAAACTTGTTGTTCTTATACTTCATGGTGACGAACGTCCAACAGCTTAGTCATCATGTGTCAAAACATTACTATAAGGGTTGGGATTTGGGAAGTTTGTTTTCATTAATTTTGTAAACATAGTGACCACATTGGTCAATTGTTTTAATATTGAATAAGAGCATCTTCAGTGTGAACATTAAATCAATTTTAATGTATATTGAACAATGTATATTTGTAGCTGTCGAATCGTATTTATCAGAGGACAAATTGAACTTCGAATTAGAATCGAATGGAACGAGTAAAAAATTATTTGTTGTGTATGCATGCATGAAGGACAGACTAGTGATTGGCCGATTCTTTTTTGCTGGTCCCACAAATCGATTGTAATACTGCAGTTACTAAACTGAAGTTTTGTTTGGCTGGTTGATCGGACTGGTCGAACCAAACACTACATATTATGCCCTAAGAATAAGGGATCTTCCGTTTGTTTAATATTCTTGCCAAAAAAAATCATGACTGATAAGTATAAGCATAAGCGAAAAAATTAAAACCGTAAGCATTCTCATTGATCTTTCGAAAATATAAGACACTGCTTCAAATTTCCCCAATGTTTATGGTGAAAACAGAGTGCAATCAGGATGTTACTCCCCGTGCGATTTCGAGGCAAAACTCCAACAGATAGACTTCATCTCCAAGCTGGATTGTGCATCGCTTCAGGTGGCTCGATGAAACAAATCTGAATCCAAGAATCATCCACTTCATCTGCACTAAAACTGCCATCAAAACGTAGGGCCAGCCCGTGCGTATTTTTGCAGTTAACCCCCTTTGATCTTCGCCGCACGATATATAGATCGGACGCAACTCGGGCCCATATGGGATTGCTAGCTTGGGCCGGGCCGATGGAGCAAACAGTAACTCGGGCCATACGGCCCATGTCGATTGGGCCGGCAGCCGGCTAATCATTAGTTGGGCCGGAACGGGATTGCGTGCGTGCGGCGGCCGACGACGACGACGGCTGCCTCGTCGTCTCCGACGAGCTCGCTCGCCATGGCACGCTTCGCGACAAGCACTAGAATCAGTTTGCACTTTCTCCGGCGGGAACCCACATGTCTGGAGACCGAGACCGGCGGCCGCGGCTTCAGAGTTCAGAGTTCAGACAACGAGACCATCACCAAACACTGACATCGATCTGCGGTTTTGGACGGCAGTTAATTCCTACAGACGGCAGCCTTCCCAAATTGGCAAGTTCGGCTGTGTCTGGGAGTCTAAGGTGGTGTTTGGTTGGAGGGGCTAAATTGGGACTAAACTTTAGTCCCTCTCACAAAAATATAAGTCGAGAGACTAAATTTAGTCCCTAGTTCCCAAACACCCCCTAAAGTCCCCTTGAATCATAAGAATTATAAAAAAAATAGGAATAAAAGAATATGATTCTAGTAGAAATGTAATTGTAAAATAGAGTATTATAAAAAAAATAAGAATAACCGTTTGATTGAACTACATAAAAAATTATAGGAATTGAATAAGAGACAAAGACTCAAAAGGAATTTTAAATGATATGATAGGATACAATCCTTTATTTAAATGCCTTTCATAAGAATTTTTTTCCATAGGATTAGAATTTTCCAAAAATCCTACATTATTCATGCAAATCTAAGAGGCACTAAGTTCTCAACTCTATTCTCTCGTTTATGCACACACGCTTTTCAAATTGCCAACCTTGTATTTTTTTTAAAAATATGTTTTAAAAAATTATATTAATCTATGTTTAAAAACAATTATCTAATACTTAATTAATCATAAACTAATGAGTTATTCCCTTTTACATGTGAGAGGAATTAATTAGTTCCCAACTCAAACTACCGAACACAACCGTCGTAAACGCACGCTTTCGTCACCAAGCTGATCAAAATGCAGGGTTGCCGCGAACGTAGTGTTCCTGATGAGTTGTACCAAATCGGTACGTTGAGGCTACAAGGCTACAAGCTGATCGAAATGCAGGGTTGGCATGAAAGTAGCGTTCCTGACGAGTTGTACCAAATCGGTACGTCGAGGATACAAGGCTACAAGCTGATCGAAATGCGGGGTTGGCGTGAACGTAGCGTTCCTGACGAGTTGTACCAAATCGGTACGTTGAGGCTATAAGTAGATTCACGGATCGACCCACTTATATGCTCTCAGTACGTGCAACCCGAGTTCAAAGTATGCCCATGTTATCACCATGTGCAAGCAACAACGACGTACACATCCAGCGCGGTTCACAGTTTGCGTTGCCCCGGATTGCCCGGAAACTAATCCTGTGGTGACTATTTGTACAACCTAAGAGCGAGTACAGTAGCAAGCTACAAGTCACCTGTAAGCACATGTGCAGTAGAGAAAGAAGGAAAGCGAGCTTCAGATTTGTAGCCAGCTGCAGCACAGACTCTAATACATTGTGTGTGTATGAGATGTGGGACCATATATTAATAGTGTAGTATATAACTATTGTATAAATAAGCTATTAAATTGGCTATAGATGAACTAGAGCTAATAGTTGGCTATACTATTAAACTTGCTCAATATATAGCACTATCTAGAACGATACTACTACTACTCCCTCTGTCCAAAAAAAGACAAACCTTAGGTTTCGGTGTCCAATGTTTGATTGTCCGTCTTATATGAAATTTTTTTTATAATTAGTATTTTTATTGTTGTTAGATGATAAAACATGATTAATACTTTATGCGTGATTTGTCTTTTTATTTTTTTTTCATAATTTTTTAAAATTAAACAGACGGTGAAACGTTGGACACGGAAACCCGGTTTTTTTTTTTTTGACGGAGGTAGTACAATATGTCGCAGCCATTAATGCACGGCGGCACCCGTACGTACGTCGTCGCCCACGATTTCCTCGCGTACCTGCTGCTACTGTCTCCTCTCATCATCGTTGTCTCAAACCGAATGGGACTTCCTCGCGTGTAACACGTTGCAACAAGGACAAGAGAATCAAGCTAGATCGGGGTACATTATATTATAAACAACGTACCTCGATCGCAATCAGTGCTCCAGCTTGCATTCTGTAACACTACCATAGATCGAGATGGTAACAACTCCAACCCTCGCGTTGCACGTTTAGATCATATATTAATTAGATTATATTAGACAAGGACGGTCCCTAAGTATATCATCTAGCTAGATGCTTAAACCTTCAGAATACATTTCCGAGTTTCTGAACTTGTCTTCGGTGCGACGTCGATATAGATTCAAACGAATTCCAACCCACTCTACTTCATGAGCTGACGTGATATACTAAACGTGACATATCAAAGTGATGCCTAGCTATGCGTTAATAGTATTTTCTTAATTTTATCTTTTCTCGCCTTAGCTTTCTCCTCTCCACCTTAATTTTTTTCAATATTTTTTTATTTTATCTTTTGTCCTCTCTACCTAAAAGGAGAAAAACATGTTTTTTTTTTAAAAAATACTAATGATCTGTAAAAGTCACCATGACATGCTACATCACCGTATGGAGTAGGATAAAGCTCATTTGATCATATATTATATCCAAAACAAGTTTGATAATTTGAAAATATATTTTAAGAATTTAGAGATCTAGATAATATATCTGCACACAAGTTTATAGCCCGTTCGTACACTTAACTCTTAGAATATATAAGTATTTTTTGTAAAAAAAAACAATGCACTTCGGCAGATCTTTGCTGTGTATTAGCTTATAATTCCTGTTACTTCATCCGTTATAATGCTAGATTTAAAAAAAAAATTGGAGGGAGTTGCGTACTGTCCGAAACACGAATGAGCAAGCCATCTCTGAAATGAAGAATAGAGACGATTGATAATAATGCACATGCACCATATCACCACGTGTTTTGTGCATAACACTGCGTCGTCAAAATTACCAAAGGGTGCAGAGAACAGGAGATACCACTAATTAATTAAGACCTGTGCCAGCATTTTCCTTGTAAACCGCGATCTACTTCTTCCGTCCCATAAAAAACAAATATAATATCCTTGATAGTGAGATTATGTCAAAAAAAAATCAATAATTTTAAACAGGAGGTAGTACCATACATAAGAGAGGTGGTTAAATTTATGATGCCTTGACATTCAATTTCATATCATAATAATTTTGCAGGTCCAAATAAATCTATATTATACTGCTGTAATATCTTGCAAGCCTCAAAATATCAATTAATTTGACACCGGAGAGAGTAGCATATCACAAATCATTCCTTGGTACGTGAGATTCTGTCGAAAACATCAATAACTTTAAAACCGGAGGGAGTACCATAAGAGAGGTGGTTGAATTTCTGACATTCAATTTCATATTTTAATAAATTCGCAAGTCCAATAAATCTATAGTACTATTAGAATGTTTTTTTCAAGCCTCCAACTTCAACTAAATTGACATCGGAGGTGTAGCATTACAATTAATCATTCCTTGGTATATGAGATTCTGTCCAAAATATCAAATAGTTTTGAAACTGGAGGGAGTACATATATAAGAGAGGTGATTAAATTTATGAAACCTTGACATTCAATTTCATATTATAATAAATTCGCATGTCCAATAAATCTATAGTACTATTATAATATATTTCAAGCCTCCAAACATCAACTAATTTGGCACCGGAGGGAGTAGCGTCACAATTAATCATTTCTTGATACGTGAGATTTTTGTCCAAAAATCTCAATAATTTTAAAACTGGAGGTGAGCACCATATATAGGAGAGTGGTATTCGCAGGTCCAATAAATCCACAATACTATTATAATATTTTTCAAGCCTCCAAACTTCAACTAATTTGACACCGAGTGAGTAGGATCACAATTAATCATTCCTTGGCATTGTGAGATTTTATCCAAAACATCAATAATTAGGGAGTACCATATATAAGAGAGGTGGTTAGATTTATGAACCTTGAGATTCAATTTCATTATAATAAATTTGGATGTCCAATAAATATATATAGTACTATTGAAATATATTTCAAGCCTTTAACTAATTTGACACCGGAGGGAGTAGCGTCACAATTAATCATTTCTTAATACGTGAGATTTTTGTCCCAGAACATCAATAATTTTAAAATCGGAGGGGGACACCATATATAGGAGAGTGGTATTCACAGGTTCAATAAATCTATAGTACTATTATAATATATTTCAAGCCTCCCAAGTCCAAACGTTAACTAATTTGACACCGGAGAGAAGCGTCACAATTAATCATTCCTTGATATGTGAGATTTCTGTCCCAAAACATCAATAATTTTAAAATCGGAGGGAGCACTATATATAGGAGAGTGGTATTCACATGTTCAATAAATCTATAGTACTATTATAATATTTTTAAGCCTCAAAACGTCAACTCATTTGGCACAGGAGGGAGTAGTACGTGATATTCTGTCCAAAACATCCATAAATTTTAAACCAAAGGGAGTACCATAAGAGAAGAGAGGTGGTTAAATTTCTGAAACCTCGACATTCAATTCATGTTATAATAAACTCGCAGATCCAATAAACCCATAGTACTATAATAATATTTTTCATGCCAAATCGGTTCATATCATTTTTTTTAAAAAATAGTGATTTAGAAACTAATGATCGTCAACGTTTTATCAAAAGTCCGACCGTGTCTTACTCCAAACATAAAATATTTATAATCGAAGATAGTATACTTCATTTGTCTTAAAATATTACAATAAACTTTGAAGTAGTTTTGGGACAGAGAAAGAAGTACTCCCTCCGTACTCATAAAGGAAGTCGTTTAGGACAATGTTTAAATCAAACCTTAGAAATATAAATCATGAATAACTCTCAAGTTGTTGAATTTGAAAATGTAAAAATTATATGTATAGATTTTTCTTGAAAAATACTTTTATAAAAGTATAAATATATCACTTTTTGAATAAATATTTTTATAGAAACAAAAAGTTAAAGTTGTGTTTTGAAGACCGTATTGCTGTTCTAAACGACTTCCTTTACGAGCATGGAGTACAAATTTTGAGGTGTTTTCCATAAACTTGAAACGTTGTGATTCAACAAGTGCTAGTGCAAATTTGACCGCCAACGCAACCAATCAGTTGCACAGTTATCCACGCCAACACCGGAAATAACTGCCGAATAAACAAATCCAGCCTACCATTATCCTCTCGTAGCGTAGACGTCTCCGCCCATTCCCAATTTCCCATTCCCCCCTCTATTTCAACATCTCCCCCCATGTCTCTCCTCCCCCATCTCGCCATTTCAATTCCACCAACGCGAGAGAGAGAGCGATCGAGAAGCAAACCCGACCCGACAACCAATTTCTCCGACCCAATTCGCCTCCTCCAAGATTCTTGCGCCACCGCCGAGGAGGCGATCGGTTCTTGATTTCTTGAATTCGATTCTTGAAGAATTCTTGGGGGTGGTATGAGGTCGTCGGCGACGGCGGCGGCGGAGGCGGCGGAGGCTGACCAGTCGAGGGCGATGTACGAGCTGTGCGCGCTGCTGCTGACGGTGCTCCGGGCGTGGCCGGAGGAAGGGGGCGGGCGGGGGGCGGCGGCGTGGCCGCGGCAGGTGACGGCGGCGGGGGTGGCGTCGATGCTGCTGGGGGCGTCGGTGGCGCTGATGCTGTGCGGGTCGGTGACCTTCATGCTGGGGTTCTTCCTCATGCCCTGGGTCATCGGCCTCGCCTGCGTCTTCCTCCTCGTCGGGTTCGTCACCAACCTGTCCGTGATCTGGAGGGCCATCCTCTGGCCCGCCTCGTGCTCCTCCTCGCCCAAGGTGGCCTCCACATGTACGTGATCTTGGCCGTTTAGGAGTAGGGCTCCTACATGTTTGGGGACAAAAGGGAAGAGGCTCCTCTTTTTACATGTTTGGGTTAGTCAGGATTGGGGAATTCACTGTGGATTCATGCGTAATTTGGGGGGTAAATATGATGATTGGTGGTGTTTCTTGGCTTTATCAGAGTTCAAAATGCGCTAAATTGAGCGCCTTTGCTTAAATTATGCCCAATTGTGAAGCATCTGTCATACTTTGGGTGCTTCTCTGAAAATTGAGATATGTGTAGCTTCTGTATTTAAATTGTGGTTTTATTAGGATTGTTGCGTTGATTTAGTTCGGGAGGACATCATTCCAAATAATGTGAGCAGCTTGTTGTCGTAGTTAAAATAAAATTGACGCGATGGTAAGAAGTGGAAAGGGTCAGAATTGGTGGTTGTCGATGCAATCCAGATGATTCTCAAATGTTTTGGATCTCTAATTTGATGTAGAGAGGCTGGCTATAGCTTCAGGTTGATGAAATTCGATATTGAAAGGGCGTAAGGGACTAAATTGCGTCGGTGAGCACCGACCATATGAACTGAAAGGGGGAAAGGAGCTGTAAACATATAGAGTCAAAAAGGGCCATATAACAATGAAATGGATGCCTGAGCGCTTTCGTGCTTGCTAAGTAGGAGACCAGAAAGCTTAAGTTTATAACTTTGTTCGTTTCGACGGGATACAAGCTGAGTTTCTTAGGAACAAAGGAGCTTGAGAGGAACTAAATGCAACTAGTGACAATCGAGAAGAAGAGCTTTCTTAGATTCCCAGGAAGAATAGAATAGCCTAGTTAAGCTTGACCTAGTGTATTCCTTTCACCTTTCAAGATTTCACTGTCAATGCATCTAGAAAAATTGATATAGCTAGTTAATTGTTGAAATTAGAAAATACTTTATATGGGTGTAATACAGGTGAAGCTGAACCTCAATTTCCCTGCCAACCTTGATGTGCTTGTTCCTCACAAACGAACAGTATTCTACATCAATTTTCTGTGGTAAATTAATGCGGATGTATTAAGTTCACCATCAAGATCAGCTATTACAACCCAAATAAGTTCAAATATGATATCAGTGCAATTCCTTTCTTGGTCCTACTGACTGTAAACAGTATCATGCCTATATCACTATTATCATCACTATCATGCTTTTAAGAGTTGTTGTCTTTATTGCATTCATACCTATTTCCAACGTTATCGTATAACAAGAGCTTTGGATTGTATCTTCTGGCAGGGTATATATTTTCCAAGCCTCCATTCATGTCCTACATGTGAAGTTGAATGAGAAGTAGGTTCTCATGGAGGTGTATACAAGCAGAAGAGTTTGGGCGGCATTACGTTGTTGCCATCCTATCTTTTCCTTCCCGGACAACATTTTTACCATGTAACGCCGCAACAAGCTTAGATGGTTTTATATATTATAATTAGGATGGCAAGCTTTAACAGAAAACTTTGTACATATGGAAAAAGAACGGTTTGGTTTTATTATTTATTACATCTATCCTATAATTGTTTCAGAATTGGAGAGTTCTTTTCCTTCAAGGTTTGTATCTTGTTTTTGCTCAACTGGCACTGTCAGACTGATTGTCTCCAATCTTATGGAGCTGCTCTGTTGCCTCTGTTTTGGTTAGGATGGTTACTCTGTCTCAAGGGCTCTGTTTTGGGAACCAGGATTTTTCTTGATTCATGCCATAATTGAACTATTCGGTAATATAAAGGGATTTTGGCAATGTATTTGCACTTTCAAGATCTCTTATATTTTAGAACGGGATAGTATTTCGGTATGAATTCAGGCATTCTGGACATGACCTAACACCTGGATCCTTGTTAAGACAGCAAGATCTGAAAGCTCTGTATATCTTCTGATATCTGAACCTGAAAATGGTTAGTAGCATCTGATTGCTACTGGCAACTGTCCATGCATGCTGGAAGCGTTGAGTAGGTCCCAAGATGGCCCGTGTTCAGACAACAGCAAGGAAAGGTTTGGGTGATTAGGTCAAAAGTATGGGTCTTGAAAGCAAGAGGAGAGCAACCCCAGGAAGCAAGCAGTGGCCATTGCCCTACCACCACAAGAAAGCTCTGCCAGTTTTGTTTTCTGAAGCTACACGTATCAACGTCAGGCAAGCGGCTGCGAACGTCAGATTTGCGCATGCCGTTGCGCAGACAGAAAGAGAGAGAGAGAGACTGTTGTTAACTTATTAACCGTAGCTAACATTTAAATTTTAAAACTAAAATATTTTAGTGTTGATTCAGATATTTGCATCGAAGTTTATCTTTGGGTATTGGCTTTTCAAACTATTAAGAATGGTAATAAAAGGTTTTATCCATAAATTGTTTTTACCATCCGTTTTAAATTGCTTGGTTTGTTCTAAGTCAAGAATTTTTATATTTAATCATTAATTTCTATAAACTCGTATAGTTTAACATCTCAATATTTATATTTTTAGATTCACCATGAGAAATATTTTCATAATATATAATTCATGTATTGTTAACTTATACGGTTTTCTAAAAATTTGTAGTCAAATATAGATATGTTTGGTTTAGAACAAACCTAAAACGACAAATAATTTGAAACAACAAGAGTAGCTTATCATCCGTGGCTTAAACGATCAAAAATTATTTTCGGTTGTTTTCAGCTGTGGCTATTTTGAATTTTAATTTAATTGTAGAGTTAACTTAAGAGGCATTTTGTCGCTTTCATCACTCAGCCATGACTTCTGGACCGAAAACAGAAAGTATGAAATTCTTACCTTGAAATGATTTCATTTTTAATATACGATCAAATCCCCAATTGCTACAACTTACAAATGTCGCAGTGCAGCTATGCAACTATGTTCAGTTGAAAGCTGTGCAGTCTCTTCTGATCTCTCCATGCTTCCCGGACTTGACTCCGACCCTGCCAAGCTTGACCATGGCCTCCTTGAACGCCTCGAAGAAGAGCGTCTGGTTCTTGGCGAAGCCGGTCACCGCCGGCCGCGACGCGGCGTCGGTGTAGAGCTCCTGGTCGGAGGTGAACAGGCCGAGGCCGCCGGCGAGGTTGGCGTAGTAGGCGTTGTCGAAGGCGGCCGGGGTGATGGGGTCCATGTTGACGGCGATGGTCGGCGCGACGTCGCGCGGGCACGCCGCCATCAGCTGCCGCGCGTACGCCGGGTCGTAGGACGGGTCCACGCCGCCGCCGACGCGGCCGTACAGCCGGCCGGCGAAGCGCGTGCAGTGCGCGAAGCCGACGGTGTGCGCGCCGGAGAGCGCCACCATGTCGAGCACGGTGAGGTTGTTCTTGGCGAATATGGCGGCGAGGTCCTTGACGCGCATGTCCGGGCCTGGCAGCTTGCCGGCGACGCCGCCGGACTTGGAGACGAGGCCGTCTAGCCGGCCAAGCTCGACGGTCCAGCGTGGGCCGGACGACTGCAACGCCATTGATTGATTGATTGATCGACCTTGTTAGAGGCAGCAAAGCTTTCGCCATGGCAGGAGGAGGAGGATTGATGGGATGGTTTACCATGGCGACGACGTCCCTGGCGGCGATGGCGAGGATGTCGGCGCAGGAGACCACGCCGGGGCACTTCTTCTCGACCGCCGCCTTGGCGCGCACCACCGTGTCGAAGCCGTCGCCGGCGAGCGACAGGTTGTCCGGCGAGTCCTTCTCGGCGTCGTTGCCCCGCGACGCGATCATGACCGACGCGTCACACCCCTGTCAGAAAAGGTTAAAATTCCCCCAAAATAATTTCAGTGCCAATTGAAAACGTACGTAACTTCAATTTTCAAAGTGATCAAAGCATTTGCACACCTATCAAAAATTTAAAGGTCTGTTTAAACTGAAGCCAAAATAAACCTTACCAAATTTTAACAATATTATCAAATTTTTGTATGATTTCTTATGTATTTACTGGAGTTTGATAAAGAAATAAATGGAAGTATATATTTAACAACTTTATAAAAAAATATGGTTTGAAATGACATCGATCTAAATAACCCGGAGTATGAAATCATCATGAAATGGGAGGAATGATGACGTGGACGGCACGGAATTCCGTGTCCGCCACATCGGATACGACAACGTGGCGCCTGGTATTCCAGCAGGGATTCAGAGAAGCATCTGTCGTGAGCATTTGATTACGCAGCCCAGTTGACAGAAAAGGGTCGTGCAGTCACATGGCAGAAGCGACGAGTGCGTGATTTGGAGCTAATCCAGTTGCCATTTCGTACCATTAATCTACTGTTAATCTCTCATTATCTCGTACTACTACTCCCTCCGTTTCATAATGCAAGTCATTCTATCATTTCCTACATTTATATTGATATTAATGAATCTAGACATATATATATTTATCTAGATTCATTAACATGAATATGAATATGAGGAAAGTTAAAATGACTTATATTGTGAAACGGAGGAAGTAGCTTTTCTCTCCTTTCCCTGAGACTAACAAACCAAATTTTGACATGATCTCTGATGCAATTAAATGTAGATTAATGCTGAAAATTCAGAGACCCTCATGCTGCTCATGCTGCTAAGCTGAATCCTGAATGCATCAGGAAAGCAGCTGAAAAGTTTGTAAGCTTTGCAAGTATGCAAATGCCTAATGCAGAGTAATGCTGAAAAATTCAGTGCATCACAAGCAGCTCTGAAGCTGCAAAAGCTGCGAAAATTTTGCAAGGATTTTCAAATGCCAAATGCAAAGCTAACTACTCGCCGAAATCAAACCGAGGCTATCAATTACGAAAGAAATCAAGAAACCTAGAACCAGAAAATCTGAGGGTGCAAGTGCGACTCTGAAACTCTGACGCCTCCAATTCCGGTTTGAAATCTGAATCAAGAACACGAGGGTTGGTTGGGTCAGTGCCAGCCGCCGCTGCTCACCTCGACGAAGCAGTCGTGGAAGAAGAGGCGGAGCGTGGCCGGGACGGTGACGAAGGTCTCCTTCACCTTCCTCGCCACCACCGACCGCACGACGGACTCCACGCCGGGGCACGTCGACCGGTAGTGCTCCGGCGACAGCCTCGCCGCCTCGCCGCCGGCCGCCGCCGCCATTGCCACCACCACCACCACCGCCGCCGCCGCCGCGACGCCGTACAGGCTACCACGTCGCTCCATGGAGGAGGAGCTCCTCGAGCTTGTCCTTCCTTCCAATGGGGGAGGAGGGATTAAGCTAGTGGCCAAATGGGGGAGAGGAGTGGAGTGGAGTGGAGTGGAGTGAAGAAGAGAAGAGACAGGAATGGTGGGGGTACAGTACAGTGGTGGGCAGTGGGGAAGAGTGAAAGGTGGAAGAGCTTTTTGTTGATGATAATTGTATAGTATTAATTAAATTGCAAGGTGGTGTTAGCTAACTACTTCCTCCGATATAAGGCTGTGTTTAGTTCCACGTTAAAATTGGAAGTTTGAAGAAATTAGAACGATGTGATGGAAAAGTTAAAAGTTTGTGTGCGTAATAAAGTTCGATGTGACAGAAAAGTTAAAAGTTTGAAGAAAAAAATTAGAATCTAAACAGGCCTAAATATTTGATGTTTATGATATGATTGTTTAGGATATGATTCAATCGAAATATTTATAATTCCAACCATCAATTTTATATCAGAATAAGTTTATAAAATCTAATAACAAGTTTGTAATATTTATGAATTTGTGTACATTTTGGTAGGATTTGTTCTGTAAAAGCTAAGATTTAAACTGAACAAACAATGGCATTCGTTTCTCTTGAACCATGACAAAACTTGACCCGGTTTTCAGCCTCAGATTCATCCAGAGACTGATGGCCTTGTCCCTTGAAACTATGCAATCATCACTGCATCAAGGTTTTTGTTGAGCTTAATAACAGCAGCATGAACTGTGGATGAACAGTGAGGTAGTGTTCTGGTGGAGCTCACACACTCATGAAAAGGTTTCACAGGTTTAGAACTGATTCAAAGAACAAATGCTGATGCCTGATTTCGTGTATCTGAAATGCAACTTTACAAAGTACAGGGCTTCAGGCTACTAAATTACTGACAAAGTTACAACTGATTCAGAGAACAAGTGCTGATATCTGAAATGCAACTTTACAAAGTACAGTGCTTCAGGCAGAATTTACTGAAAAATTCAAGATTATTGGTTATCATCCTTGATGTTGATACGTGTCACGGGCGGCTGTTATGTTTGGTCAGAGATTCCAAACTCGATTGTCAGTGACTCCATGTACCAACCAAACTGGACATTGAAATGCGAATACCAGAGTTGTTATGCTTATCGGCTCAAGCAGTAGTGCCAATCATTATTTGTGAAATCATTATCCATAACACGAAAAAATCCAGTCAGCAAAAGAATTTAGGACCAACCAGACTGCACATGGCTTCCAACTGTATCCTAATCAGATGGTGTGATGTTAGCAAGAAACCAATTTGGTGTCATCTCCTTGGATTTGGTATCGTCTGAGCTTTTCTACCTCCAGACAGCTAAATACAGAAATAATACAGGCTCAATAAACGTTGAATACTTCATACTAAATGGTTATCATCGAAATATGGATTCTGAAATTGTGAAACTAAAGTAGAATGCTGATGAGCTGAAGTTTAGGAGTCTTTGTCAGAAAAGGAATTCTTTCTTCATTTTCTTTCTCAATACTAGCACTCCTGTACCTTGATCGCAAAAAAGGTTTTAAAGCAGTGCGTACCGTGGAAATACTTAGGACCTAATATACATGTGACGATAGATATAATGCGCTGAAATGAATCTGATGAGGCGGCAAGTTACTGCAGCACAGTACTGTAAATAACTGAATTACAAAATTCTGAACAAAAATGCTAAATATCTGAGCAGGATGTAACAGATATTGTAAACACATTTTGCAGCATTGAAATACAGTTGGGTTGGTGAGTCTAAGGAGACCTACTATCAGAGAATTAGACCCTCGATGTTCCCAGCTTTCGCTCAAAGAGGCGATGCAGTAGGTAGACCTGCACAACACTGGCTGCAATGAGAGCAGCTGATTCAAAGAATGCCTTGTGAACTGCCCTCCTACTCATGTTCTCGTTTACTGCATCAGATAGACAAATATAGTATTACAGTTTTAGCATCAAAACACGTTTATGAGATACTGTAAATTTTGCTTTTGACAGAACATGATATTTACAAAAAAAAAGGGAAAAAAAAGAAAAAGAAAAGAAGATGGTGTGTGTTCTCATGTTGTTCATCAATGTAACAAATATTTATCAATTTCAAGATGTTTGGTAATGTGGCATGTGTGGCGGTCTGGTCCAAAGGTTGACATAAAAGGCTGGAGCTCCTAAGGCAGGACAGTTTGTCGGTAGTACAGAAACAGAAAAGTTGAGCATTTGCTACAACTCATAAGTTCTATTTATTACAAGATAAAAGAAAACAAGAGATCTTCACATATTACAATTTCGAAAAAGTACTAGTATTTAAAGGAGAGAGTAAGACACGAGGAACATACATATTGCTTGCCGGTCTGTTTGGGCCTCCAACCAGTGCTGTTCAAACTGAATGTTGTAGAGGGCTTCATCCAACTTTGCAATTTGCTCAAACAAGGCGCTGAAATGTTCTACATATTTCCAGAGTAAAGGAATCAACCACATGCTCCTTGCTAGACAAATTTAACAAAACCAGAAAAATGCTTACCATCTTTGGCATGCTGGTCATAATACGAAAAGTGACTAACAAGTACATCAAAATCTACAGTTTCATGGTATGGGGATTTATTGGTGAAGCAGAAGCGGTGAACGCCTCTCCTATGAACTATGAATTCAAACTTATCGCTGATCTTGTCACGGGAATCATGGATTTGATTACCATTGGGATCTCTAACCTGCCATATATCAAAGTTGAATCAGTTTTGGATGCGGCATAACTGGAAAGTTCTCAAGGGCTCATGCAAGCATCAAACAAAACATGGAGTCCATATGCAATCCTCCATGCCCATTATCAGACTACAAGAACGGAAATATCTAGCCAGCTATTGTTCCTTATTAAAAAATGAAAGCAAGAATCTCACCACACTCTACAATTGTGGAGTATTTACATGGATGAAGATTGGACGTAAGAAAAAGAAAAACAAGATCATACCACAAGATCCACGCCATCCTCGGTATAATGCCATGGCGTCTCTGCCTTGATCACAACAAAGGATACATGAACTGTATCTCCTTCATAATCAACATTATGAGAGAAGCACTCTTCCCTATCGATCACGAAGCGAATAGCTGCAGCAGGGCGCAAGAAGGCCAAGATACATAGAACCAACAGAAACCCCAATCTCAAACTCCCCTCCATTGTCCTACTGCAAGAAACACAAAGCCATAGAATTTAGACAGTATCAACATAGGATTACAGAACTACTATCAAATAGCTGTAACATTCTACCCAAAAAAAGACGAGTGAGGTTATTAGCTTAAGAGAAATAAGAACACACAACTGCAGTCTCCCAAATTCACATACTATATACTCCCTCTATCCCATAATATAAGGCATGGTCAAAGTTAACTTATAATTTCTCATATCCTAGAAGGTTTGTAGCAACAAAATTATAACCATATGAAAGTAATTTAAATCTCAATCTAATGATATATTTTTTAACAAATAAAATTCATTTAATATTATACTAAGTGTAGCAACAAAATTATAACCATATGAAAGTAATTTAAATTTCAATCTAATGATATATTTTTTAACAAATAAAATTCATTTAATATTATACTAAGTGTTGGTTAAATGTTTTAAATGTTGAATCTTGAAATGTGTATGCGCCTTATATTATGGGATAGAGGGAGTAGTTATTAAAGGGTTCAAATTCAAGCAGCAGGTAGATAGTGCGGTATTCAAGAAATAGCTCACTGACTCACTCCCTACGACAATGCAGAGACAAAATACAAAGGTAGAATTACTAAAAATCACGTGAATTAGCACATACACACAAATTATTTGTCTCATTCTCACTATTAGACGCACAAGTAAAATTCCCACATCACTGAAGAAGTACGCACTTCCCATGACCTAACTGTAGCAGGCAACAGATGCACAAATCCTCCTAGGGTAAGAGCTAAAACCTCCCATCTAATTGGGGCATAAGAGCAGTGGCAAATCAAGGAGCCGAGCATTCCCGCCAGATCTAGAGAACTCTCCAAGAATCGGCGCGATATGCCCTTTGTCCGCCATCCACGGAAGCAAAATCCAGTAACGAACACGCGAATCACAAACGGCGCATCGAACCGCAGTAACAGAAACAAACAACGAGCAATCTCCCAGCAAGCCTGAGTAGCTCCGCCTCCTCCCAAGAACACAAATCTTAAACAAGAAACCAAACTAGTAAGTCGTAATCTTTCCACCCAAAAAACCGGCTGATTCGACCAGCGACACGCGCCCGGCGCAATCCAGAAGTAGCGAGATCGAACCGAGCAGGCATTGATGGGGATGGATCGAGCTTGCTCACCTTGGGTCCGTCCGTGGAATCTCTGGCGATCTTGTCCCGCCGCTTCTCTTTTCCCGGGGATTTCTTGTTTGCGAGATCAGAAGAAGAGGAAATTAGAGAGCACGGGAACTTGTCTTTACGTTGGATTAACGGCTTGATCTCGTGGGCTTTTTGGACTTTGTGGCGAGAAGCGAGTGAGGAGCACGTGGGGACACGGGACCCAGGCCCACCTGCCGGTGACAAGCTGATGCGTATAATGGGCCGGGAAATAATTGAGGGAATAAGTTCATCGGCCGTCCCTCAACTTTACACCGAGATTTTTTAAAGTCCCTTAACCACAAAACCAGAAATCTCCACCCCTAAACTATACAAAACCGTTCACTCAAGGTCCCTAGGCAGTATATACGGGTGGTTTTACTGACGTGGCATCCTAGCCAGCAAAAAAAAATTAAAATTAATATGTGTGGCCCACATGTAAGTGAGACAATGGTGTGGGTCTCACATTTCTTTGTTTTTTTTTCTTTTTCTCTTCTCTTCTCTCCGAGTTCTCTCGAGTCTCGAGCAAGCGCGGCGACCGGGGGGAGAGAGGTGGTCGGCGGCGGAGCGGGGACGGCGGCGGCGGAGAGGAAGAGAGAGGTGGTCGATGCGATGGCGGCGGCGGGAGCGGAAGAGAGATGGCGGTCGGCGCAACGGTGAGCTCGGCGGCGGAGATGTTCGAATGTGCTGGGTGCTCGACCACGGGCCCCGCCGCCGCCCGACGAGCGGCGCGCTCTCCCTGTCGACCCTCTCTCCCTCCCCAAGGCGATGGTGCTGCTCCGCTGCCGAAAGAGTTGCTGCCTCCACTGGATGAACTACCTTAGCCCCGACCTCAAGTGCAGCAACTTTCATCGACGACGACTACGAGCTCACCATCAAGCTCCATGCCCTTCTCGGCAACAAGTAAGCAAAACAAATTTCAATGTGTTGTCATCTGCTCCGGTTAGCTCTTCTTGTGTTCTTGGTGCTGATTGATTGGTTCTGCAGGTGGAACAGCACATCAAGCGCAAGCTCATGAGCCAGGGCATCGATCCGCAGACGCATCAGCCGGTTAGCGCCGGGACCAGCGTTGCCGCGGCAAGCGAGCTGACCACGACGACCAGCACTGTTAGCTTCCCATCCCTGCGTGGGCGCCGGCGTGAGGGAGCTCGAGGAGGAAGGAGGGAAGGCTGGGAGGGGTCTTCCTCGAAGTCGTCGTCTCCGGCGGAGGTCGAGTCAGCGGCGGAGGTGAGCTTGAGCTCCGCGTCGAGGAGCACCGCGAAGTCATCGCTGCCGCTCGACGACGACGAGGAGGACGGCGACGGCGACTTGGCGGCGGGGCTTATGGCCGAGGGCAAAGGGTGTGCTTTGGTCGGTTGGGGTGGGCTGGATGCGCCTCCGTGCTCGCCCACCTCCGCTCCGCTGCCATGCTCGCCCTCCACCGCTCCACCCGCCGCCGCGCTCGCCCTCCGCTTCTCTGCCCGCGGTCGTGCTCGCGCTCCACTGCTCGGCCTGCCGCGCTTGCGCCCGCCGCCGCTCCGCTGGCGCTTGCCCTCTGCTGCGCCACCCGCATCTGCGTGCGTTGCTCCGCCTGCCACCGGCCTCCCTCACTGAAGAAGAGAAATAGAGAAGAGAGAAAAGAGAAGAGAAGGAGAAGCGCGCCTGCCGCTGGCCTCTCTCACTAAAGAAGAGAAATAGAGAAGAGAGAAAAGAGAAGGAGAAGAAAAGAGAAGAAAAAAATTTTTTTGGCTAACTAGGATGCCACGTCAGCGAAACCACTCATATATACTGCCTAGGGACCTTGAGTGAACGGTTTTGTATAGTTTAGAGGTGAAGATTTCTGGTTTTGTGGTTAAGAGATCTCAAAAAATCTCGCTGTTAAGTTGAGGGATCTCCGGTGAACTTATTCCATAATTGAGCTCCAAGTAAAATCTTGGGCCAACTGTCCAAATTGGGCTAGGCCTAATCTAGAGTTACTACTAGCCCAATATAAACTTACGGTTTCGGAATTTTTTGCGAGCTCGCATCTTAGATTTATGTATATCCATCAAAATTGACATTTTTCGTATGACTTTGACTTTCAACTAATGCAAAACTACCAAGAACTTTCGACATTACAAAAAATTAAAAAAATAACATGTTAGCTTTCATAATTTTGCTTAAATTAAATGGCTGTAAGGCTGTGAAATGAACTTTATGGGGCTATTTACTTTGATGAAAAAAAACCTTACCAAAATTTAACATTACCAAAATTAGGCAGCAAACTAAATATATCCACTTTTTTTTAGGTAACTTTACCAAAATTTGATAAGGCTGAAAATGGCATCAAAGTGATCAAGCCCTATGTTCAGGTTCAGCCAAGGCAAACAAACGAGTAGCAAAACACACAGCATAAACTGCGTAGAAACCAAACATTGTAAAGCTCTGATATCTTGCATAGTTTCCCAACATGGTCCGGTGAACAGAAAATATATGAAACTAGACTTCAGAAAACCACAGCACTGTCGCATGGTGCTAACTGAGTTCCTCGTCAAAATCATTACACTGAAAAATGAAACTACAGGGCGAGCTCAACGGCGGGGGGCGAATATAATTTAGGTCATCCGCTGGGCGGCCTCCTTAGCGAGAAGCTTTTCCCTGGCCTTGGTCTTCGCCTGCGACTTGGAGCCCATGACGCCGCCTCCCCACTTCTTCCTGACCTCGTCGAACTTGTCGTTGAAGTTCGCCTACAAAGTTATGGTTCACCGAGTTAGCAATGAGGCTAAAGAGCAGAGCACTGGATAACATGATGATCATGAATGAGAGAACAAGGGATGCCGTGGTTTCTTACCTTGATGGCCTCCAAGATCTTGCTGAACTCAAGCTTGTCCTCGTTCTTGACAGTGGTCAAGCACAGAACAGATGCAGTCTTCTTGTGAACAATCTGCATATGATCATTTGCGAAGGTTGAGCTCCGCTTTCTACTAGCATCTATACTTTCAATAAGTACATTCAATTTGAGTATGGAGAGTCAGGAAATATACCGATCCAAGGCGAGCTTTGCCCTTAACGATGCAGTAAGGGACCTCCATCTTCCTACACAGGGCTGGAAGCCACACAACCAGCTCAATTGGATCAACATCATGAGCGATGACAACCAGCTGGGCCTTGCTCTGCGCGAGAAGCATTCAAATTATCAGTAAAGTGCTTGATTATATGTTCCCATGAATAAGTCTCCTTGATGAGTGACTAACAAAGAAATGAACACATTAACAAGCTCCTGTACCTGCTCAATGAGGTAAGTCACGTGGTTAAGACCATACTTCACAACAATTGGCTTCTTGGCCTCAACGGTTTTCCCTTCAGCCTCAGCCTGGGCCCTCTTCAAAAGCCTCTCCTTCTTGGCAGCCTTGTCCTCAGGGCGGTACTTGAGAAGCATCTTAAACAGGTTGGTTGCTGCAAATAAAGATTTACATCAGATATTTTTTATGCCATTAATTCCTCAACACAAATTAACAATTTAACAGATGAGTTTCCTTGCTTCATTTTTGAAATGGTAACAACTAAGAAATTGATAACACGATCCTACATAACAATGGTGTTGAAGAGACAGCGTTGAGTCTAATCATAGTGATAAACAAACAGAAACATGATAAAAACTGACAACCACCATATACTGCAGCAAAACTTCAATAGTCTGCTTTAGCAATTTTCCATTCTTAAAAGCACCACTTTTGACACAGGGTTAACATTCTATCCTAGAATAAAATTTGGACAGAGAGCTACCATGCCAACAAGAATACCGACACAGCCAGCATTAATTTGAGATAACTATGTTCGACTAGAACACCCAAAAGGTCATCATAAACTGAAGACACATTCATCAGCTAGTCACTACAATTACAAACCTAACAAGGAAATGACATTTGTAACACCTAACCAGTTCGGCCAATTAGCGTTCCAGGTGCAATCCGACATGATGAACGAACTGAGATGTAGATATATACCGAGGTTCTTGTCGAGGGTGCGGGTGAACTGGTTGAGCGCCGGGGGAACCTTGAGGCGCTGCTTGAGGATGCGGCGCTGGCGCTGGATGCGCACCACCTTGGGCCACTTCACGAACCTGTGCAGATCCTTCTTGGGTGGCAGCGCGCCGCCGATGCCGAACTGCTTCGGCCTCTTCTCGAACAGCGGGTTGGTCACCTTCTCCTGCAAGAACCACCAAGCAAAACATCCAAGTAAATCACAAGCCCCCCAACAACGAAACAACGTAGATTTCGAGCAGAGAGACGGCGAGCATTACCGTCTTCTTCTTCGCCGGCACCGGCGCCCTGCCGCCTCGCTTCGGTGCCTGCAAGATTCGCCATCCAAAATCTTACTTAGAGCATCCCAATATTCACACACAAAATACAAAGCTACAAATCGACGCTGCAACTGAAGAAAAAAAAAATCTAAGCCGGCGGATCGCAAGATCCACGGGAAGAGAACCGCGGGGGGCAACTGGCACCGGAGACGGGAGCTTACCATTTCGCCGGAGGCGAGGGTGGAGCTCTCGGGAGGCGGCGAGGCGGGCGGCGGAGGAGGAGGAGGAAGAAGGCGGCGACTGGTGGTGCGAGGAGGAGGTGGTGGTTTTATAAAGCAATCGTCGGGGAGACGTGGACGCTTCGTGAGCGTCGGATGCGGCGTGGGGGGAGGAGGTGGGCTGTATCCGCCGTCCGTTGCCAGGATTAGGGTTTAGGAGGCGTCACTTGGGCCGTGGGCCTCGCGAATGGAGTGTGAGGTGGTGGTATCTACTGGGCCGGGCCGTAATTGATTGTGAGTCCAGCCCATTTGTTTGGTACTTTTCCACGTAGACCCCTCGTGTACTTTGATATTGCGTGTTTGCCCTTCCGGTAAACCCAATGGCGACGGCGGCGGAGCGAGGCGGCGACGGCGAGCCGCCGGGGAGAGCGATTCGCAGTCTTCCACCGCGCGGGGATTCCCAGGTGAATCTCCCTCGCTCTGTTCGTTCTCTTCGCAGATCTCAAGTCATCAACAACTAGCCTTCCATACTCGTGCTCTGTGTACTGGTAGGATCATAGCGCGCTAGTATTCATGCGATGCGATTTTTGTGCGGTTTGCTTGGGGATTCCGACAGTTATGTCTTGCGATGCATTGCATCTCCCCTGGTGGTCAGTAGGATTACTTGGTTTCGGGGAGAAACTGTAATCGCCTGGTTTTTATTGCAAGTTGTAGATTGGGACTTTGGGAATGGAGGTTCCAGTAAATATTGGTATTTTTACCTATTTTCAAAGTTTGTTGAGGCAATCGTCCAAAATTCTGAATAAAGTTCTATGCCTGGGAACCTGTCAGGGACTATTGAATTTAGAGCTTGATCAAATATCTTCCTATGGGCCTCACTGAGTCACTGTTTCTTTTTTCTCGAACGCGCAAAAGAATTGCACGTCAATATATCAGAAGAATAGAATGTTTGTTACATGACGCAATCAGTCAGACCGACTTATACCAAGAAAGGGGAGAAAAAAGACTAAAATAAAGAAGAGACAAAAGACTACTGTGACGGCTACACACAACTCCAAATAGCTTGGAGGGGGCAGAGCCACTACCTTCCCAGGAGAACCCCAAAATTAGCGATACCAGCTAAAGACCAAAGGTGGCCCTCAGAGAGGATGGACTCAAGGACCTCCGAGACCGATGACAATGCAGAGTCGAAAACTCTGGAGTTCCGCTCTTTCCACAGTTGCCAAGAGACTAGGAGGACCATAGAATCGAAACTGGCCCGGAGATGCCCCGGCAAGCAAACCCTAGAAGAAGGCCACCAATCTTGGAGACAGCTACCCCAGAGAGCAGAGAGGCAGTCCAACCAAGAGGCGACAGCACACGGAGCCAAACTTGCAGAGCGAACACGCAATCGAGGAGGATGTGGTTCGCTGTCTCAAGCTCTTGACCGCAGAAGGGGCAGGCCGAATGACTATCCAAGCTGCGCTTTAGGAGGAGGTCGGCCATCCAGCAGCGCCGCTAAAATGCAAACCAGAGGAAGAACTTGCATTTAGCAGGGCCCTTCGCGTGCCAGAGAAGATCGGCACAGGCAAAGGAGTGCTGGCCAAAAAAGAAGGCCTGGTACGCTGAACGCGCAGAGTAGCGCTGGTCGCTCGTCCAACGCCAAACAAGACGGTCTCTGACACCCGGCAAGAGCTGAATTCGGAGCGCAGCATCCCAGATAAGAAGAAACTGGGAGATGACAGGGACAGTGAGGGCCCCGCGGATGTCCGAAACCCAGGAGTTGTTCGCCAGACCAGAAGCAACCGTGCGCGAACGGAGGCGCTGTGGCACAGCGAAGAGGAGGTCAGGAGCCAAGGAGGCCACTGAGTGGCCTCCATCAATCCAATGGTCAGTCCAGAAGAGCATAGATTCACCATCCTCCGGCACGAAGAAGGTGGACGCCTCGAACATGTCGGAGACAGACTGCTCGACCGGGGCCTTCAAGCCATCCCAATAGGGATGCCCGGAACGCTGAAGCCAAAGCCAGCGAACGCGCAAGGCGAACCCTGCCAACCTGAGGTTAGGAATTCCTAACCCACCGAAGGCCTTAGGACGACAGACATTCGTCCAGGACACCCGGCACTATCCCCCATGAACCGAATCTGTACCTGTCCACAAGAAGGCGCGTCGCTTCTTGTCAATGGCCTTAACAACCCAGGCAGGAAGGCCGATTGCCATAGACACATGGACTGGAATGGAGGAGAGAACAGACTGGACCAACATGGAGCGACCAGCAAGAGTAGTGAGACGCCCCTTCCAAGGTGGTAGGCGATGAGCGACCCTGTCCACCAGTGGCTGAAGAGCCGCCTTCGGCAACTTGCGAACGGACAGCGGAATGCCGAGGTAGGTGCAAGGAAAATCAGAAATCGAGCAGGGGAAGCAAGAGTGAACCAGCTCCAGGTCCTCATCCGAGGAGCGGATCGGAGTAATCGAGCATTTGGCAAAATTGGTGCGCAACCCGGATGCCGCACCAAAGACCGAGAGAATGCCCTGGATGAACTCGAGATCCTGCCGAACCGGGGAGAGGAAGAGGACCAAGTCATCAGCGTAGAGGGAGGCGCGGTGTCGCAAAGCGCGATCATTAAGCGGAAGGAACCCGCCCGAATCAGAGGCTTTACGAAGCATCGCATTGAGCACTTCCATGACTAGAATGAAAAGCATAGGAGAAAGAGGGTCTCCTTGCCGAAGACCCCTCCGGTGAAGGAAGCGCGGACCCGGCACCCCATTGATCAGCACCCGGGAAGAGGAGGCGCTAATAATGAGGGAGATCCAATCACGCCAGCATTGACTGAACCCTAGATGGGCAAGCACCTCAAGCAAGAACGGCCAGCTGACCGTGTCAAAAGCCTTCGCAATGTCCACCTTGAGAAGAAGGCGGGGAGTGCGTCTGGCATGGAGAGCCCTTGCCGCGAGCTGGACATAGCGAAAGTTGTCATGAAGAGATCGGCCTTTGACGAAGGCACTCTGATTGGCCTCCACAAGCCCGTCGAGGAGAGGAGAAAGACGGGAGGCCAAAATCTTAGAGAACAACTTCCCAAAGCTGTGAATGAGGCTAATCGGACGGAAATCTTGAACGTCAACGGCCTCATCTTTCTTAGGAAGGAGAGAGATGAGGGCATCATTGAGGGAGGAGAAACCCTGGCCGTAAGCCAAGAAGAGGGAGTTGAGAGCCGCCAAAACCACTGACTTGATCACTGGCTAGCAAGTCTTGTAGAACCGACCCGTGAACCCATCGGGACCAAGCGCCTTGTCAGAAGGCAAAGACTTAACCACCGCCCACACCTCCTGAAGGGGCCGTCCAGCTCCCCAAGCTGCGCCGGACAGAGGCCGAGGGAGTGGAGATCAAGAGCGAGCTCGCGCTCAACGCACGTCCCCATGATGGCGCCAAAGTGAGAAGAGGCGAGCTCTTGAAGCTCATCATGGGTGACGGCAAGCTAGTCCCCGTCTCTAAGACGTGAGATGAAGTTCTTCCGTCTTCGGGCTCTGGCGTGAAGGTGGAAAAACTTGGTGTTGGCGTCACCCTCCTTGAGCCAAAGCAGACGCGAACGCTGACGGGCGATGGTGCGCTCAAGAGAGGCAAGCCCAAGGGACTTCAACTTTAGGTCTCGTTGCAACCAGGTCTCCAGGGGGGAGAGAGACCGGTTCTCCTGCGCGACATCGAGACGGAAGATGAGCTCCTTCGCCATCTGCAGCTGGAGGCGGACGCTACCGACGTGACGATCACTCCAGCTCTGAAGGCGCTTAGCCGTGTTAGAGAAACACCAGGCAAGCGCGGGGAGGGGGGGAAGGTTAGCAGGAGGTTGCCAGGCGTCCTGCACAACTTGGAGGAATCCCTCAAACTTAGGCCAAAAGGCCTCAAAGCGAAAGCGCTGCGCCCTTGGCGAGTCAACGCAGGAATGAAGAAGGAGAGCACAGTGGTCAGAGGCAACAGAGGAGGCCGCCTGAAGGAGGTTGAGAGTCACTGTTTCTCAATGAGTATTGAATAAGTGAACTCAGTTTCAGGAGTTGCAAGGGTGTGTACTTTGTGTTTCTTCACCAGAACTTCTGTAATTGCGATATCTTTGTAGAGCAGAAACCACGCAACCGCAGTCTTGGTATGCCTAATCTGAATTACTGCACATGCTTTAAAAGTATGCGACCATGTAACTGCATTCTTCTTGTAATTTGGTTACAAATTGACGGCTTCAGAATCCATATTCTGAAGACATTCTAGTGGTGAGGCAAGTATTGAAAACCAGGACTCTATGAATTTGAGGTAAAGATCCAAAAAACTCATCTAAAGAGTGAATATTTTACCCACACCTTGCTTAAGATCACATACATGACACAACCAGCAGCCTGTTTGATTTGCCAGATTTTGTTATGCCAGATTGTATAATTTTCACAACCATTTTCGCCTCCAATCGAGTATAAGAAAAAAACTTCTCGCCTCCAACACTTGTTCTTTGAAAGGTCAGCCCGTTTCATGTAACAAGACATTTTCTTCTTGCTGCTTGATTTTATTTACCGAGTCTTAGACTGAGTTGTAGCTTTTCGGATGATACTAGGGCTAGCGAAACAATGTGGCCCCTGTCATTTGACTCTACAGATGTCAAAAGTACAGGGAACCTAGCCATTTTAAATTCTATGCTGTTGTTTTCGTTATCCAAGTTAACACTGAAACATTAGTTGTGCCCAGGCTTTTTTCCTTTTAGGGACATCAGTTTGCTGCTTTCGTGGTTGGCTGTTTGCCCTTTTCAACAGTTTAATGTCGTTTTGTAACCTGAACTCTCTCTTTTCTTCTTAATACAATTCGGTTGGTTGATTTTCGGCCGACCCAGCAAAAAAGAAAAGTTAATCATTAACTGCATATCATATTACATTGAAATTTTCAGATTTGGATTTTTTGACAAAATGTCCCTCAAGTGCTGCTGAAAATAACAGCATAGGTGCTGCCTCAGTAGATGTTAATTGCTGAATACTTGTAGTCCCTTATGTTGATTCAACCTTCTAGCAAGCCAAGCAAAGCACCAGGAGGTATGTGCAGTGATTCACTAGATTTTTTTTCCTTTTTTTGAATTCAATCTTCTGTACATGCTGGTTAGTACTGGTTCTTTGTCCATTGTTGACCCATTTTTCCACTCGTCACCGTGTTTCTGCTGTGTTGCTTGCTAATTGCTATCTTGACTTATTATTTGGTTTTTGAAGCATTGAGTCTTTTTAATATTATATGTATTGAATAGTAGACTTAAAGAAGCTTGGTATAAAAAAATAATGAATACATGCATGACAATTGACAAGTGAACTGCAGGAGGCCAAAAACTACAAACTTATCAATGTGAGATGCATTCAAATATGCAACCTATTTATAATTCTAAGCATCATTCCACCATAAAACATTCCAAGTTAGGGAGATTTGTATCATAAACATTCAAAGCTTGGGAAATCTGTATCATAAATATCCAAAGCTAGGGAATTTGAATATATAACATTTGCATCAACTGATCAACAGTTACTGCGACCTAAGAGATACACATATCTTCTGTGAATATGAGCTCAACAAAAGAAAAACTCAAGCCCAAGATCTGATCAACTACTAGTACTAAGCACTAACCTCTTGTTGCAATATTCATGATTTGCAGATACATTAATTGATTTAGGTGGATTTATCATCAGAGCCACAAGCTCAAGATAAGTCGATGGACAAGAAACACTCCACTGCATGTCTGCACCGTCCTACGACCGGCCGGCGAGGGCAGGCCGGCCGCCGGGGACGAGCAGCCGGTAGGCGGAGTGCCCTCTGGCGGCGAGGCCGCACCTCCTCGCCGCCACGTCGCCGGCGGCCGCCGTCTCCTCCTCCTCCTCCTCGATCTGCTCCAGCACCCTGGCGAACACGGCGGCGTCGCACGGCAGCTGCAGCGGCCCCGCCGCCGCGTACCCGAACGCCTCCTCGGCCTCCTCCAGCAGCGGCCGGAACAGCGGGTGGTTCACGCTCGCCGTCCGGACGACGAACCGCTGCCGCGCCGCGCCGACGTACACCGAGAGGCACCCCTCCGCCGGCCTCCTCCACGCCGGCGGCCGGCACCGGTCCAGCGTCTTCATGATCAGGCCCCTCCGCCCTCTCTCCGCCATTGCCAGCTTCTTCTCGGCCATGCCCACGCTCACGTACGTATACAACAGCTTCCTCTTTTTAGTTAGCTAGTGATTACAAAGTTGCAAATGCTCCTTCTAATGGTGGCACATCGACAACTTGTTTACACATTTAGTGAAAGGATTAAGCAAGAACATGTGGGAAGGTGAAAGGAGAGGTGGTGAATGATATATATAGATGGACCAAGCAAGGTTCTTGGTCCAAAGGCCATCTTTTGGATTGGGGGCAGATATCCATGGTTCTTGCACAATTAATGATTTCATATATAGAATTTAATTACAATTAAAGAGTAGATATATTGAATTGAAGTACAATTGAAGATTGCATATATATAGAATTTAAGTACAACTGAAGATTGCATATATAGCATTTAAGTACTTGGTCCATGGATGCAGTGATTTAGTAGTATACATGAGGTACGGCAGCACCGGAAGGTTAATAACTGGAGCAGGAGTTGCAAGTGTGCAAAGAGTGACGCCATGGCCGACTTGGAGAGGCCAGTGGCGTCATGTCAATAATGCATTAGATTTAGCTATAAACACCTCTTGACCTGTGTGCATGATTGTACTTAGAATGGAGGTGTCCAACTCCCCAGCCACAAGGGTTGTTTAGCCTAAACAGGATTCTTTGTTCTTTTTCTCACCCAATGCAACGCTCCAAATGGTCGGTTGTTTTGTTATGGATTCAGTCTTGGTCGCCTAGTCCTTGTCAACTCTCCTCAATTTGACACATCTGCTCCTGGGTCTAAGAATATACTCCGTATAAGTTTAACCATTTGTTATTGGTTGAGAATATTTATTCAGATTAACAGAGCTAGATTTGTGTATGTTGGAACCGATTGCTGAATAGTTGAATCAAACTGAACTTTGAAATGTCATCACTGCGAAGTGTTTCCAGGAGCCAAATTACTTCTGAACCATGCATTTTTACATGATGAAACAGACCGTGTCCTATCTTGTGTCTGCTTCCCCTTTTCCTTGTCAAACTGCACTGTCAGTTCCACTGGAAGAAATCAAAAAACCATTGGGCTTGGCAAAAAACATACCATGTTCCATGCCAGTAAAATCCGCGAGACAAGACGAAGCAATCAATTCTGATGAACTCTACTTTCAGCAGTCGGTTAGAGACATATGTGTACCTGTTCCTCGTGCCATATGCAAATTGGGTAGTTACTCTGCTGGTACACGCAGACGAAGAAACTTTTCCTTGGTTCATGTCTGGACTGAATCAGGCATATACCTTCATGAGTTCACCCAACTGACAAGTTTTACTATTTTGTATCTGTCAATTACTCTCTCGGTTTCAAAATAGTTGTCCAGTTTATTTCCTTTAGGAATGAAGTTTAAATTGTGAGAAAAACGGTATCAGGATTTCTCCCTCTATTCAATGAAATTGGCACATTCTAAGTGCCGGTTCGTAAAAAAAAAGAGTACCAAGATAGTGTTAGCGGCTGCAATATCATTCATCAGTATATAAATATGATTGAAAAATTAGCTGCAGCGAGGAAATATTTTAAGACAATATACCGAATACTACTAACAAGTTGCCATCACTACATTATAATTATCACTTCCACATATTCATCAGCCCGATGAACACGGTGGCAATTCCTGAACTAGCTCCAGCTACACGTGTGATGCAGGGAGAATCATCACCTACAACAATGTCACAATCACACAACCTCTCTTGCTGCTAAACATGAAGAATCTAGGATTAATCTTGGCAAGTTTTTTTTTTGTACTTTTTCAGGTCTAAGGCTGAGATGGTGATGCTTCTTGGGAAGGCGGGAAGCGGTAGAACGGCGGCGGCGCGGAGCCCGCCGGCGCCGGCTGGTACAGCGTGAATGGCAAGAACGGCGGCCGCAGGAATGGCACCAGCCAGTCCGGCACGGGGAACGGCCACGGGAACGACACCGTCCCGCCGCCGCCGCCCGGGAGCCGGTACGGCGGCCAGAAGAGCGGCAAGAACGGCCAGAAGAAGAGCGACGAGCCGAACGCAGCGCCGCCGCCGGCGCCGGCGCCATCGCCGCCGTGGCAGAGCGCGGCGTCGCGCTTGGCGGGGCGGAAGTTGAGCGCGTTGAGGTTGAGGAAGCAGGCGTTGGTGGCGCGGGAGCGGAGGGCGATGTGCTGCGTGGATCCCCGGAGGCCCGGGACGTTGCAGGCGGCGGAGGAGCTCCGGACGAGCGTGGCGCGGCACGCCGACCGGAGGTCGTGGCCCTCCCGGCAGTCGAAGCCGCCGGCGGCCGGCACGTCGAGCTTGTACACGCCGTTCTGGTCCGTGGTGCGCTCCGCCTCCAGGGACAGCTCCTCGGCCATGGTGGAGTTCACCTTGAAGCTGCACTGGATCAGCACCCTGGCCCCTGCACAGCATCCATCACCATGGTGGCCATTAGTGGTGTGGCTTCAGCATCTCAGTTCTTGCCAAAGATGAAGACAATTTCATATCTGGTAAGTTACTGATTTTTACTTGTTCAGATTTCAGATTGAATGCAATGATGAAATCTATGAAACCAGCTGCTCTTGTGAATGATCTTAGCTTTAGTTTTAGTGGCAATGTAGAATGAGGCATTGGTAATATAGTGCAATGTCATACTTTGGCAACTCATAGACACTATGTTCTATTAGGATAATGAAATCGTTATTTTTAGAACAAAGCCAAAAACATGGAAATTTCTAGCTTGAGGCAGCATTGTAATTTGCATAGCATTATGAGATTTAGAGGTATATCCCGCTCAAAATAACCGACAGAAACATTTTTTTTCCATTTAAAAAAAAGATCAAAACTCTGAATTGAAACTGTGTAACAAGCACATCTCAGAGCCAGTTAAAACTTCTGTTTGCAATGCCAGAGCCCAGATGGGTAGTAGAAGCTGGATGATACTGCATTTATGCAATTGAAGGCACAATGTAGTAATTGTCAGTTGTATTTCAACTTCAGTTAGTGTATGCCAAGCTTTAAGTGGGCCTAAGAAACTTGAGTTATATTGTGTGAGGCATCTTGTCTTTCATGGTAGCATTAACTAAAACTAAACAACAATTACAATTGGACCAAGAAAATTGACCAGACCAATTATAAATCCAGAACAAGCCACAGACACATTTATGTGCAATTGTGCATATGTCAACTTTTCTCTGTCTCCTTTAGATTCATAGGGAATCAATGTACTCAAAAAGAAGTCTTGTCACGCTTGCCTATTAGTTTTCACTTTTCAGTGACATCTTCCTAGAACAGAAAAAAAAAACCTAATACTTCTAAGACATCCTACATGTGGTTGTACTGTGCAATGAGCAAGAGATTTACAGCATCTTGTAAATCTATCTCAGAAACAAAGAATAACCTGCTGTAAAAACACTCCATGTTTATCCACCATATTTCAGAACAAACCATTGATTGACCACAATGCAGAATGACACATTGATCAAAACTAACTCTAATGCAGCTGAGCTACTGTGTAACAGGTATACTACCATTTCTACTCACCCTTCAAGAAGAAGCTGTGCTTGGAGAAAGTGTTGTTGGAGCAGGCATCACAGTAGACAGAGCCAACCACAGTGATGTTGTTGGACAGGAACCTGGCCTCAGTGCCACTCAACACCAGCGCCATTGCCAAGAACACGGCCATGGCTGCTGCTGCTGCTCCTGAGCTCGCCATTGTCGCCATTGAGATCAGCTAAGCTACTAGGAAGGTGAGCAATGGAGATCAGATTGGAGTAAGAGAGAAAGAGAGAGAAGATGAGAAATGGGGAGGAGAGGAGAGGAGAGGAGAGGAGGAAGAGGAAGCATACATGCAACAGAACAAATGCATGTGAATCGGCTTGGACTGGAGTGGAGACATGGGAGAGAGGCTGGTCAAGCACTAGCTGCTGCTGTGTGGTCTCGTCTTTCTTTCTCTTTTTTTTTCCCTTTTAAAATTTTATGTGTAGAAATAAATTGGGAAGTCTAAAATAGTGCATGTGATTTTTTTTTTCTGGGGCCTCATGGTCATAAGATTATTAGCAAACAGTCTGCTTGGATAGAATACTGCCTCCCCCTGCAAGATCACTGGAGTACTTATTGTTTCTGATTTGTTTGAATCACTTGTTGTTTTGTGACTTGTGAGCTATGGCTCAAACATAAGAGTTGGTTTTAATTTGATCTTGTCAGGCCAGCGTCCATTTCAGTTATGCACATATTCACTAGAGGAGTTTATCAAAGAAAGAAAAAAAAATGCAAAAATGTTGCAGAGAGATACTGGGCCTAATGAGCTTGGGCTGACTGGACCGCGAAGTTCAGATGGGCTGTCTCACCTTTGGATTGGAGACCCAATGGCTAGGAAGAAAAAAGATAGTCTCGACTTGCAACTATGCTTGATAGGATACGAATTAATTTAATTAATCATAACCAATACATGCACATTTCTTTTTTCTTGGGATAATTGCACAATACAAACTCAATTCAAACACACAAATGGAACGCAAACAAACAGCTGAAATTAAGAAATTTACTACTGGGTATGATGCATTTTGCCCATATATATAATAATCACGATGATGACATGGCACTCGACAACCAATGGAGGCGAGCCACGTGTCAGACGGTCTTGGTGGCGCCCTTGCGCGGCGTCCCGATCTCCTGCTCCATCTTGTGCAGCTCGGCCAGCACGGGCAGCGCGCTCGCCGGCAGCACGGCCACCGCGTGCGCGCCTGCGGCCGCGAGCTCCATTTCCAGCTCCTCCGCCAGCTGCTGCGCCGCCGCCGCAGGCTCAGCCACGGCGCCGTCGACCGCCGCCGCAGCCGCCGTCGTCGGCAGGATCATCACGCCGCCGGCAGCCGTATTGGGCTTCCGGTATTTGAAGTAGAGCGCCATCTGGACGCAGCCGAAGAAGAAGCCTCCCACGTTCGGAAGCTACACGCAAATTAAACAATTCAAACTTTGATTGAAATTCATGAATTGGTCGAGAGAATTGATCAAGATTTGATGTGATATCGATCGAGATGTTTAATTACCGTGACGTAGAGGTCGTTGGTGAAGAGGCCGTAGAAGAACCAGGCGACGGCGCTGAGCGTGAGGAAGAAGGAGAGCGAGAACGGCATGAACTCCGCGCTTTTCGTCTTGATCACCACCATCTGCAAAACCATCCATCCATCGATCGATTGATCAGCAAACATGTCTCAACAAGTACGATGCAAGATCATCACTAGCTGATGATCTGAGTTCATGTTGAAAGTGTTCTCAGTAGTACGATCGTATCATCTGATGTAATCGGCTCAGTCCAATAAAACTTCCATTATCTTAAAAAAGATAAAGCTAATGAGCTGAGTTCAAGCTAATGATCGTATCATCTGATGTAATCGGCTGAGTTCAATAAAGCTTCCATCATCTTAAAAAAAAACTGATGAAATGAGTTCATGTTGAAAGTGTTCTTAGCACGGTTGTATCATCTGACGTAATATTGGCTGAGTTCAATAAAAGCTTTCATTATATTAAAAAAAACTGATGAGTTGAGTTCAAGTTGGGGAATGTTCTTACTACAGTTATAATATCATATGATGTAATTGGCTGAGTTCAATAAAAACTTTCATTATATATCTTTAAAAGAAAAGAGCTGATCGATGAGGTGAGAGCTTCTTACGATGACGCTCATGGGGGCGACGAAGACGGCCATGGAGAAGGCGAGGCAGATGGAGCCGAGCACCCTGACGCGGTGGGGCTGGGCGACGGCGGCGACGGTGACGACGACGACGAGGGAGAAGGCGGCGACGTTGAGGAGGAGGAAGGAGGTGAGCGCCCTGAGCCTGGCCGGCCTGGGGGCGTAGACGAGGTAGACGGCGATGTAGGCGGCCTCGACGACGCAGCCGAAGGCGTTGATGGTGAGGAGGGGGCTGGAGTTGGTCTTCACCATGGCGTACAGTATCCACAGCGTGCAGCTGAAGAGCGCCACCACGTACGGCACCGAGCTGAACCCCTCCGTCGACTTCTTCCTGTACACCCTCAGGAACGTCGGCCTGCACCATCCATTGGTTTGAAATTTCGGTTCGAAAATTTCGGGCCCCACCGGCAAGCACAAAGTCTCCCCGAAATTTTCGGTTTTTGTCAAATATTTGTAAATTTATTCAGATTTAATCAAAATATGTTGAAAATTCAAAAAAAATCCGAAATTACCAAAATTTCGGTGATTTCAGTTCTTTCAGTCCCCACTGGCAAAAAGACATGTTTTGAAATTCAAAACTCTGGCACAATCCCCACAACGCGTAGTTATTGAGATTTTTTTCTTCTTTTGTTTTTTTTAAGAACAAGACAAAGCTTAACTACACGCGTGTCAGGAGTCAGGACGTGCGCGTAGTTAAGTTTTTTAGTAAAAAATAAAATTTAATTGTGCACTTGTCAGAACGCGTAATTAAGTTTAGGTGAATGAATGATTTGGAAAAGAAAAAATCAGGGCGTAAATGAGCAAAACTCACATCGGTGCGAGGAAAACCAGGAATGAGACGATGTTTCCTGTGGAGAAGAAAAGTGCATTTTTCATGCATGTCAGTAAGAATAATATATCTTGAGGTCATACATATAATTAAACAAAATCATGATTTGGGAGACCATGCCATGCCATATGCTACCATATGGATGCATGTATAGATGGTGAACTAGCATGCATGAGATGCTTACCAAGAATCCCAAAGACAGAGGCCCAAAGGTGATCCATGGAGAAGAGGAAGAGGCCTCCTACTGCCTGTTCTTGATCTCCTTCTCAAAAGAAGATAAAAACACCTAATTTATATATGCTAAAAGCAAGCTATAGTTTTCTGAACTTCTGAAGAGGATTCACTACTGCACCCAATGTTTGTGTGCTTGGCATTGGGGGTAGAAGCCTTGTATATATAGTAGTAGAGCTTCTCTTCTTCTCATATGTTACATATGTACGTATCTACATGGTGCCTAAGTGCCTAAGTGGTCCAGAGATATTATACTCCTACTGTTTGCTATAACCTGAAGTCTTACTGAATAATTGAACATTTGTCAGATAATAATCCTTCCATTAACTAAATTCAGGAATGTATTCAAAAAGTTAGTACATAGGAGAGACATATTTAGATATTGTAGAGTGTAATCAAATTATGTCTTCTCCAGTTGCATCTGAGGTTTCATGTGTTGTCAGTCTGTCAGATCATCAGTATCAGAATCTGCACATGAATTACCTGCATGGACCCCAAAACTATGGGAAGAAAAGGGCATGTTTTTGTTACTACTATACTGTGCATTTTAATTGCAAAGACGCATTACATAATGTACTACTACTGTTAATACACATCCATGACCAGCACTGACAAGAGAGATGCATGCATGCAGACAACAGTACAGCACTATAGCAATGTGGCCGGTTCAGTCAAGGTTAGGCCTTTTCTCTTTCCATCCATTGATCGGCGCTCATATCTGATTTTTTCTGAACTGATCAGCATTCAGGTTCAGCAATGCTGCTAGCTAGCTGCATGCCAATTCTCATGAACACAAAGAGTAAATGTAAGTATGTGGATACATGATGCACCACACACAAGAGTCACAGAAACACAACACAATTAAGCTAGTTGCATCTATCAGAGATGGCCAAAGTTAATTACCAGCTGAAACTAGCTTTGCATCTGGTTGATCAGTAAGTTACATTTCACCATCAAACCATGGACAATTATACCTTTTTTTTACTTGCTTTACAGCTGCAAATCACATTTGCCTGCCACTTGTCGGATCAAAGCTTGGTGGTAATACATTATGTGCATGCAGCGACGAGGCCTTTTCTGCATCGCGGCAATGAGGAGGCGATGAAACGGAAATGTTTCAGTGCTTGTTTCACTGGCACCTTCTCTGCTTCTACTAGCTACTGAACAGCTGAATAATTTTCAGCATGCTGGTGAATAGCTGAACCATTCAATAATGCAGCTGCCCAACTGTGCCTTTACTTTCTCCAAGAACGGCAAGTTTTATCGAGATGGCGACGAAGAAGATGAACAAGAAGAAGTAGTGTTGCTAGTAAGTGCTTGGCATGCATGCATGCATTATTACTGATCAAGTGGAGTTCCTGCTGTGGCTGAAGACAAGCCTGAGAAAATCTTTTCTGCGGAGAGTACTGAGCTGATGTGTATTCGTGCACGTTTCTTGGGTCTAGTTAAGCAGATGCATAAATGTGTTCTTTTCTCAGATCAGCACAAGAAAAAGGAGGGCAAAATGCAGAGTTTGTCACAGTCTTATCCAGCTATTCGGTACATGGTTACCTACCTATACCTACCCAGGGTTTCCCTTACCGTCGGTAACTGCGCGGTTACCGGACTTACCGCGGGGTACGGTAATATAAATACCACGGTAACCTCCTTAAATTCAAATAAATTTAAAAAATAATTTAAATTTTTGATAAATTTTGCATGGTTTTTCACGGTTACCTACCGCCGGGGCGTGGTAACCCCGGCCCCGGTGGTTTGGGAAACCCTGCCGGTACCATGTGTATCAATGAGAAGACAGAAGCTTCCCTTGAGCTAATTGAAGAACTAGATAGTTAACTCTTAATCATTTATAATGTTCTGATGAATTATGAACATTTCAATTATTGGAAAGGAAGATTAAATTCAAAAAGAAGAAGATAAGAGGAGACCAAAGATACGATTCATCTCCTCCTCACCTCCTCATTGATCTCCACTTGCCTACAAGCCACTAACCTGATCATATCATCTCCTTTTGCCACTCAATGGAATCTGCTCTAGTTAATTATTTGGATTGTGTGCCAAATATACACCATTGCTTGTATCCACAGGATCTTCAGGTGCAGGCACTTAGGAGTATGAATTTTCCATGTATGACATGCCAGTTTCTGAACTTTGATTTGTTGGAAAATTTGATGTTTCTGGATCAGTTCTAGTGCTGCACTGCTGCTCGAGCTGGAGGCCACTACTACTACGTACTTACTGGCTTCATCTGCTTGCATCAGGAACTCCTGGCAGGGGAATCAAACATGCATTTTCCTGCTTGATTCTGCTTGATTCTTAGTGATGATTATTTATTCACTCTCACATGAATCCATTCAGATTTTCTGTACTTAACTGTGGTTGGAACGGTTTTGATTTGGTGACTGATGTGTCACAACGATCCAACTTGACCTAACACAATGGCTTATGGATTATCGTGGGCACGCTTTCCAGCCTCCTAAATATTACATTTTTTTTGCCAAAAAAAAACTTCAACATTTCTTAGAAAACTTTTATAAAACAACTTTTCGACTTTCTAATATATAATTAATTGTTTTTGTCCTTGAATAATCGTCATAAACCCGAGTTTGTTTTATAGGACTCTAACTTATAAACCTAACTTTAGGAGCGGAGTCTAAAGTGTAGCTGTGGAGTGGCCCGAGACTCGCTTCACCCTTCTAGTTTAATTTTTTAAGATCACTTTAGCCCACTCTGCTCTCTTTTTTAGCGGAACTGAAGCTCTGTGAAACATGTAAGAACATGCCTCACTGAACATATGATCATGACACACAGAAGAACACTCAAAATACAAAGTTTCTTATGATGATTTTTCTCTGGTATGAGCAAGAAAATGGTGGTACAAAATATACTTGAATGCTTGGCACTGGCGATGCCACAGAATTTTCATGGGAGCACCAAAAGCGACGCTGCTTCTGCATTGCATTGCTGCGAGAGCAGGAGAGTGCAGCTCAGCATGTGCCCTTTTTGCGTTGGAAAGCATGCCAAACACACAAGCCCACTGTTGCAACTGTTGCAGGTTGAGTGATTGGTCGGCGCGAGCCAGATGCTGCACACGCTTCAGTGGCATCTGTATTAAAATAACCCAGCAGAACACCCCCGTTGCAATTGCAACTGGGCTTTTGTTTTTCTGGATAAATTACATGGAGTATATGCTAATGAAAGTTTTCGAGCAAATTGAATTTGAAGTTAATTTTTACACCGAATTCATAGTACCAATGAGCAGCTCAGTATGCAAAGGAATACAAAAGGTTGAGCAGATAACACAAGAATCAAATAAGGAGCAGCTCAGCATGCAGAAGAATGCGAAGCAGATGGTATACCATGTCCCAAAAAGAAAAAAAAAACAATCCAATTAGAGACTTGAAGAAAAAGAATTGCATTAGAAAAAGAGGATGATTTGGGTAGTAGTATTTCTTGAGTAAGAGTCGAGCAGCATGGTACAGTTACAGAACGTCGAAAACCAAACCAAACCAAACACGACAACCTTGCTTACAGACTCGATATATACAGATAGATAATCCAAGCCACGCATTGAGTTAAAGATCTTCTGTTATTTTTGCTTAAAGACACTAGAACAGGATGTGCATCAATAGATGCCCATTCCAGGATGGAACAACAACAGAGGACGGGAGGAAGAAAGCACTGTGTATATATCCTAAGGTGAAAAGCAGCACAGGAGAAGAGAGTACACACATGGTTCTTCATTCATGAGATGGATCCAATAGATGCAGATGCAGCGTCAGAAATGCAGTGATGTGTGCTAGTGAGTTGAACTGGTGGTACCATGGCCGCTGCTGATTGAACCCCAGTTAGCTTCGGTTCCCATTTGCACAGCGATGCTGTCCATCGACTCTGAGGTTCCGCTTCTGTGACCCCAACTTGATCGTCTCGAATGCATACCAGCCCTACCTTCCACAAGCTCACCCGGAAGAGAAAGATCTGGGGATGCATGGGCTATTCTACCCTCTTTCTCATCCAAAAGACCCCCAAGGCCAACTTCCAAATCTCTGATATCTGCTGCTGACCGAGGCTCATCCCATGATACGGGTTTCCTACCCAATTCAAGATCTCCAACTGGTTTACCCATGTTCGGGCTCATGAAACCCCTAGCAGGCGTGCGTGTTTGTTGTAAACCTTGATCCACTGGGACCCTAGCTCGAAAATTGTTCTTGGAAGGAGGAATTGCAGTGCAGAAGATCTCCAGAAAGTTGTTCACCATACCTCTGTTATATGGGTTAGCCCGCCGATCGTACCGATACCTAAAGTTCTCATAGGTTGTCTGATACACACAAGTAAAGAAAAGGACGGTTAACAAGTCATTAAGCTATGCTTGAAAGATTTATTTGTAAAAACTTAAAAAAAAACCGAAAGGATACCAACCTGATTGGTGCTCATCAGGTAGAAATGAAAGACAGACAGACCACCAACGAACCACACGCAAATAAAGCAGTAGATGATCAGGACAATTGATGCCGGTGTCTTTAACATTGCTTTCCATATCGTTGAATTTTCAGCATCTCTTATTTTAACAATGTACACCCAACAGAAGCCAAAGACATAGAGGCACAGCAATGTGGTTGAGAATACAAACATGTAGAAGAATCGGTAATTTCGCTGCAGCAGATAAGTTGATAATTAGCGCTGACTTGTTAAAACTTTAAAGTAGTAACTAACAATCTACTAATATCTAATATAGAAAATCCAACAAGAGGTATACAGACCACAACACCGCACATGATATCAAATCTTCAAGCTAATTGCAATAAGGATATCTTAAACCTTCCAACACATCAAGATACTTACCCTTCCAATGCATTGCCCAACCCAAGGGCAGTGATGATCAAAACGCTCCACACAGTTATTACATATAGAACAGTGAGAGCATCGAGGTGGCCGGTACAGCATGCAGGTATCACAGTATTTGACCTTCACAATTACTCCATTAACGAAAACATCCTTCGTGCGTGGTAAACGTAGTTGTTGTGGAGTCTGTCCATTTCCCATATCACTGCCTCCATCAATCGATTCAGGCTCAGGTGGGTGAGTATTACGTGGTACTATACCAGGATCTCTACCAGAGGTAAGAAGCAGCAATGTCAAATCCTGGAAAATTAAATGAAGCTTCAGTTAATTGCACACACTGCAGCAGTGCATATTCACTCGGGAAATAAATGCAGCAAACAACCAAACATAATAAATTACACTGTCAAAGTAATTTATTCACTCGGCACATAACTCCCTTTCATATGGATAACAATGTTTGAGTAGCCAATCACATTTTTATGTGTTTCCCATACACATTATACTATGTTACTCTTTACACATGAATGTGCATCACTTTTGACAGATTTATCCGATTTTGATAATCATCTAACTAAAATAAAAACCCTTGGCATAATAGTTTTATTCATGGCCAGAAATTTTACTGATCATGCAAGCGCTAGGAGATAAAGAGAACATGGTTGAACTGTCATATGAACCAAATTCAGAGTAGCAGAACTAAGACAGCCTTCAATCAATTTAGAGGGAACAAGAAAAAAAAATGAGAAGCAGCAAATTAGCAATACTTACATATATTGTGAAGACGACCACTACGACCATAACTGAAACTCCCCAGTGATCAGGGAAGTCATTGATCAGATGTCTAGCCACAAATATACAGAAGACTAATACTGGTGCAAGAATGAGGAATATAGTGAGAAACAAAGATCTCACATCTGGTCCAAAAATGAACCGGCCTTGCAAGAAAAACTCCTGAAAAAAAGATCCATAATTGTTATCAATGAATCCAATGCGTGAAACTAGAAGAAATAATTGCAAATATATAAGTGAATTTATAAAAAAAACGGTCAGCATGCTATTTTTTAAAACAGAGTCGATTAGCCAAAAAAGTGGCACTTTATGGCATTAAATAGTGATGTCTCAATATAGCAAGGTTAAAAGCTGCTAACACTAATAGTGAGAAGGGCAAAAGAAAACTAAAATCTCATGAAAACAACCAAATAATCAGAAACAGGAAATGATATCTAAAAATGTAACTCAGCGGCTTTGTAATATGAAACATTCCTAGCTGTTTCTCCCAAGCACGGAATGTGTACCATATCAAGAACTTCTCTAGCTTGTTAAAATTAGGTGGATGGACAATTATATCCACAAGCTAAGAAATTTTTTAATAAGAAAACAGCCTCACTCTTGCCAAAAAAATAAAGTACATCCAAACTCCCAGAAAGATTTCCTAATCCTTGCTTCTTTATAAGGCCACAAGATTATTCATCATCCCACATCGTTGGCTAATCACAACCTTAAGCACACTACTATGCAGATGACAGATGTTTGAATGGATTGTTTGTTCTAGTTGCACGCTGTCCCAATTGGAGAATCTAGTGAAACGGAGATGCCAGGAACGAGATGGTAATATGAGGTAATCTCCATACACAAATGCCTCATTCACCTCTTGTTCAACAGACGAAGCGTGCACTAATTTATTGACGGTACACCTGCCAGAATGTGATTGAATCATGTACAAAGGTCGCTGTGCATAGACCACTCTGTAGATGAGCTAAAGCATGACACTATCCTGGAATAAATTCTTCTACTTAAAAAAATGCCTCCAAGTATCCCATCAAAGGAATAAAAAGGATCAAAGAAGCTATCATTGAATAAATTCTTCTACTTAAAAATGCATCCAAGTACCCCATCAAAGGAATCAAAAGGATCATTTAGACAATTAGACCAAAATTACCATTGTCTCGGTATGTTTCAGTTCTACGAGAAATATAGAGCATAACACATTTCCAACCAAAGCATTTTACGGTCCAATATATAATGTGTTTCTCGCCAAAACTAATCACTGCACAACAGATATAAAACATTTTACTTTCTGTATCAAACATTCCCAACATATTGTACTACCAAAAGCTGCAGTCCCCATTCCATGATCCTCATAATCATGTAAGAGTCATTAAAAGTTCATATTCTGAAAATTGAAGTAGCTTCCCCAACAAACTAATGAACTAGCATTCCCCAGTCCCCACCCAACCTGATAAATAAACTGAAGCACTGAACATAAATATAAAACATTTTCTGCTGTGTATTCTCGTAACAATAGAAAGCACACACTTTCCCCTAGCTGTATCAACATTTCATGATTCGAATATGAACTGATTTCCACCCATCCAGAGCTATATTTCCCAACCATAAACAACTAGAACACGAACAGTCTACAGTAAGCATCAAATACGGCTCAAATTTCTGTCACACCAAGCCCCTAAACTCGCATTTCGAACATAAGCATCACACAAATCGCGAACACGTGAAACCGAAAACATCTCATTTCCTCCCACGCCTGCGCCCAGTCACATAATAAAACGGCTAAAAATCCTCCCTAAAAGCTGCAGCTAATCTCGCGCGCGCGCGCCCAGATCCAGATCCACCGTTCACAGGCAAACAAAATCGAATTGCTCCATGAAGCTAGACAGAAAGAGACAGAGAGCTAGAGAGCGCTTACGTTGCTTCCCCGCCAAACTTGGTAAACCCTAGGCTGCTCGCCGCCGCCAGCCGCGCCTCCCCCGCCGCCGCGGGACGGGGGCACGTACATCCTCCCCACCTGCCCGACGACCACCACCTCCCCACCCCCCTCCTCCTCCCCCTCCGCTTACTCCAAGCCCCACCCCACCTCGCCAACCACAGCAACCTCCTCCTCCTCCTCAACTGCCACCACCTCAAGCAGCAAGCAGCAAACCCCACCGAGATCTCCCCCCCGAAGCACCTCCTGCAGCACCGGCAACGCAGCCGCGACCACGAGCAGGAGGCGGCGGCGGCGGCGGGTGATGCGGAGGCGGGATGGCGAAGCAAGCGTGGTGAGGAGGAGGAGACGAATTGGAGAGGAGAGGAGAAGAGGGAGTGCACGTTGTCGGGGGACGCGTAGCAACGGCAGCGGCAGCGGCGGTAGCCCGGGGGGGTGGTGGTGGGCCCGGGGGAGAAGCTTTTTCGCGGCGGTGTGCGGGGGTGGGGCCCGCGTGGCAGTCTCCGTAGGCGTGGAGGCGGGTTGGCGGGTCGAGTCGCCGCCCGGTAAGCCGGCGCGGTTTTTGAAAATGAAATAAAATCGTGGGAGGATTATCCCTGTCGTTGAATAAGCCATAGGACATATATTCACAAACTGAAAATTGTTTGTGAATATAAATTTTATATGCGTATTTTTAGCGATCTAAAAATAAAGACTGAAAAATAAATTTCGGTAAAAATTCTTAGAATTAACTCCAAATTTAAAGTTAAAAGTTTAAATTTTGGCTGATATGCATAATTATAAGCGACAAGATTGGGTTGTAAAAGTGAGGGAATTATTTTGACTTTTCCTAGTGACACGTTGACATTTGTGGCTTTTTTTTTTCTTTTCATTGTTTGGTTGGTGAGAACGGCTGAACGATCGTCCCCTGTACTTGATGATTTTGATCGTTTTTTTGACCGGGTTAGCAGCCAAAGGGGCTGGACTGGCTGGTGATAGGGTAGTCTCGTCAGGTAGCTATCAATCGATGTGTTTTAAATTGTGGTAAAAAAAATTGCAAGTTGTTTGACATTTGTCTATCCTTTGCAATTTGCTAAGTAAATCCGTTACGATTTTACTATAAATATTCTAAGACAGACTAATGTTAAGTTCGTTTGTGATGGTTCTCAACCTTCAATCTCTCGTTTTCCACACGCACACTTAAAAATGTTAAACAATATTTAAAAAATTCTATATAAAGGTTGTTTTAAAAATCGTATTAATCCATTTGTTAAGTTTTTAGTTTATACTTAATTAATCATGTGATAATATGTCACTCTGTTTTCTGTGAACATAGATTAGTTGTCAACTCACATCAAAGAACACAGCCAAAAATAAGATAGTGTCATCCAAATACAATATAAAATAAGTATAAATGATAGTACTGATTAGCTCAATCTCATGTTTCTATGCACATTTGTTTTCTTCCAAATGATTCTGCCTTTTACCTCTTAAAGTCTAACCAAAGAAATTGTCAAGTTCATGGGTAGTATAAAATATGATCTTCTACATGAGCTTTCTAAAAAATACTAAAAAATTAGTAAGGAAGATCAAGTGGAACTAAAAGAGGCGGCTTTAATTTCTTTCTTGGTTATTTCCCTTTGAATATTTTAAGTTTACACTAGCGAGATGTAAGACCATTAGGATGTCCATTCAATCCAATGCCAGAAGTCCAGGTAAATACTCTAAATGGAAATAAAACTATCATGCTAGTTACAGCTAGATTTCGTTTCTTTAATTTCTTCCCAAAATCTCAAGAGGAACTGAGCTAAATTCAACCAATAATCCATTTCTTTCAAACATATATACATTAATATCTACCAGTCAAATTGTGGGTGCTAATAAGAAACCAATATTTAGCCTTTTTCAACATAAGTTTACACATTCGAAGAATGCTTCTATGCAATTCAACCCTTGTTGCCACTTCCAAATAATGGCCATATGGGATGGTCGAGTTTGACATGGTAGAGCATACTTAGGTCTCATGGGGCAAGTCGGCACAATGATATGCATTAGGCAAAGTAGCAATATCAACTAATTAAACTTTTTGTTGCAATAGTGATTAAAGGACCATTCATTGTTCATCCCATTAGTGTGTTTCACTCTAACTTATATTCTCTTTTTTAAATAACCGCACAAATGCATAATGAGAAACAAAATCAGCTAGATACCTCTAAAGCCTGCGAAAGGATATGTAGCTTAGTGGTTGCAGTAACCTTAGTAGCACTTCAATATCCTAAATTCAAATCTCAATGTGATCGAATTTCAGATTGAGTTATTTGAGGACTATGTTTTCAATTTAAAAAGGCTGCATACATCCGGTTGGATACCATTCTCTTAAAAAAAACTCAAAAGTCTAACCTAGGAAATTTCTAGTTTATGAATAGGGGTAATGTAAAGCGAGATCGTTAAGAAATATCAAGTGGAACTAAAAGAGTGGATACCCTTCTCTTAAAAAAACCCCCTCTAAAATCTAACCAGGGAAATTTCTAGTTTATGAATATGGGTAATGTAAAACGAAATCCTCTACATTGGCCCTGTTTAGTTCCCCAAAACTTTTCGTAAAAACATCACATCGAATCTTTGTACACATGTATGAAGCATTAAATATATATAAAAAGAAAAACTAATTACACATTTTGCATGTAAATCGCGAGACGAATCTTTTGAGCCTAATTAGTCAATGATTAGCCATTAAGTGCTACAGTAGCCCACGTGTGCTAATGACGGCTTAATTAGGCTCAAAAGATTCGTCTCGCGGTTTTCAGGCGAGTTATGAAATTAGTTTTTTTCATTCGTGTCCGAAAATCCCTTCCGACATCCGGTCAAACATCCGATGTAACATCCAAAAATTTTCATTTCACCAACTAAACAGGCTCATAGGATTAGGAAAAAATACGTAGAAATTAAGAAAGATCAAGTGGAACTAAAGGAGGAATATTTGATAGATGTAGACTATTGGAACGATTATTTAATCCAATGCCAAATGTCAAGGTATGTAGTATTATTGTAAATGGGGAAAAAAACGTCATGGCAGTTACGCACTAGCATTGCTTTTTTCTTTTCCAAAACATCGTTAAGGGACTAAGCTAATTAAATTAAACTCTATAATCCATTTCTTTCAAATACGCCTTATATCTAGCAGTCAAACCATGAGTGCTAATTGAGGAACAAATTTATACATTTGAAGACAACCATAAGCATCAAGGGCTCAAGGTGGATCTAGGCTGATCGGGTAAGACGATTCCGATAGCTTTTAGCAAAACGTAGAGGATAATACTATGGTTTAAATATAATTAATAAGTCATGATACTAATAAATATGTTATGGCACATATACCTCAATTTTTGGATCTGATAAGATGTATGTGTAATAAACTTTCATCTGACCATTGTGTTTAACTCTTAAACTTATATACTTTCTCTTGTAAGTAGGCATGCGAATGTGTATCGGTGTATGGTTACAACTTCACCTCAATGGGACAAGTCACAACCTTGTTTCGTTAAATCATGGTCATTGTTGGTTGTTTAGCCACCACCGGCCACCACCTATACACGAGCGGTACTGGTATACTACCTCCGTTTTTTAATAGATGATGTCGTTAACTTGGTTACACAATTAACCATTCGTCGTCTTATTATTATTATTATTATTATTATTATTATTATTATTATTATTATTATTATTATTTAATTGAAATTTATTTTGTTGTTAGTTATTTTATCACTTAAAATATTTTAAACATGTTTTATATCTTATACATTTATATAAAAATTTTGAATAAAACGAATGATCATATATTCAGAAGTCATCAGCACCATTTATTAAAAAACAAAGAGATTATTTTCTCAAGATCAAAGAATGATTTGATCTTGCGAGCCTGTAAAATTAGACCAAGGCTTGATTTAGTTTCCAATTTTATCTTAAAAAGCTTTCAACTTTTCCATCACATCGAAACTTTGCTACACACAAACTTTTAACTTTTCCGTCACATCGTTCCAATTTCAATCAAATTTCTAATTTTGGTATGAACTAAACACACCCTAGGCTTTATTTAGTTCCCAACTTTTTTTCTTCAAACTTTCAACTTTCCGTTACATCAAACTTTCCTACACACATAAACTTTCAATTTTTCCGTCATATCGTTCTAATTTCTTCAAATTTTCATTTTTTACGTGGAACTAAACAAAGCCCAAAGGTAAAATTTTCATTTTACCAACCGAGATAAAATGATCTTTTGACCTATACTCCTATACACATTCAACAAACCGTTGGGTCGTTGGGATCACGTGGTGGCGAGAGTGAAGACGACGATGATCACATCTCGATGAAAAAACAACAGCGGTAGAAAACGAAAACCCTTCTGATCATCACGACCGTCGATTCGGTTCGCTAGAGAGAAGAGAGAGAGATCTCGATCCATGTCTGCACAACACATGCATTGCACTGCGAGATGATGAAGACGACTCTAGGTAAGTGTGTTGTGTGTGTGAGGATGCAGCATGCTTACAAAACACCATAAATGCTCTCCCCCCAATTAATACCAGAAGGTGTCTCTGCCCCCCATCTCACCCTCCCCACTCTGCCCTACTTTCTCTCTCTACACCCATACCACAACCATAGTATTGTCTAGAGAGAGAAACAAACAACAATGGCCAGTAGTGAGAGAGTGAAGCTAGAGTGAGAAAGAGAGGGAGATGAGCAACAAGAAGAAGAAATAAAGAAGAGGGGAGAGCAAAGCAATGCACCATTTGGTACTCCTCCTACTAGAGTAGTAGTAGTACCACTACCACTAGTAAACACACTCTCACCTTCATCTTCTTCTCCTTCCTCCATCTCCCAATCTCCCCAAGAACACCTAATCTAATCTCTCTCCCTCCTCTCTCTCTATTGTCCATCAATGGAGATGATGATGCCATGATCAAATGATGAGAGAAGAAGAGGAGTAGAGAGGGAGGGGGTGGGGAGGAGAGAGAGACGAAGGAGGAGGATCGATGTACAAGAACCAGCTGCAGGAGCTGGCGCAGAGGAGCTGCTTCAGCCTGCCGTCGTACGTGTGCACGAGGGAAGGGCCCGACCACGCGCCGCGGTTCAAGGCCACCGTCACCTTCAATGGCGAGACCTTCGACGGGCCATCCAACTGCACCACGCTCCGGCAGGCCGAGCACGCCGCCGCCGAGGTCGCCCTCGCCCGCCTCTCCCTCCGCGGCCCCTCCTCCTCCCTCACCGCCCGCGTGCTCGTAAGATTGTTCCGTTCTTGTTCGTCGTCGTCGTCGTGGTTGATGAAGATGATTTGTGATGTGGTGTGTGATTTTGTGGTGTAGGATGAGACGGGGGTGTACAAGAATTTGCTGCAGGAGACGGCGCACAGGGCGGGGCTGAAGCTGCCGGTGTACACGACGGTGAGGTCGGGGCCCGGGCACTCGCCGGTGTTCTCGTCGACGGTGGAGCTCGCCGGGATGAGCTTCGCCGGTGACCCTGCGAAGACCAAGAAGCACGCCGAGAAGAACGCCGCCATGGCCGCATGGTCCTCGCTCAAGCAGAGTAATATCAGAACGACTGTATCGCCATTGGTGTTTGATCTTGTTTGGATCGTGTGTCATGGAGGAGACGTGTTCGTGGTTGTTTGGTGCAGTGCCGGAGGCGCGCAAGGAGCCCGGCGGCGGCGGCGGCGAGGAGCAGGAGCATGTGGTCGTCGCCAGGGTGCTCGCCGCGCTGAAGCCGCGGGACGATTGCGGCGGCGGCGGTGGCGAAGGGAAGGCGGCGGCGGCGTCTCTACCGAAGAAGCATCTCGCCGGCGCGTCTTGTTCGTCCGCCACGTCGCTGTACAGACATCAATGGGGGCGTCCGTCGCCGCCGCCGCCGGCGGCCGGACCCAAGATACTGCCTCCCCTGCACCTGCTGCAGCAGCAGCAAGCGGCGGCGTCCGGCTCCCGAGCCGCCGCCGCCGAGCTGGAGCAAGAGCGGAGGAAGGCCGCCGAGCTGGTGCACATGCTGCACGCCGTCATGCTGCGCGACAGGGCGGCCGACGCAATGCCGCCGCCGATGCCGTGCTACTACGCGCCGTACTACCACCACGGCGGCGGCGTCGCCCCGACGAGGCCCTTCGCCGGCGCCGCCGGGTTCCACGCGCCGCCGGCGGTGAGCGTCCGTTCAGTGATCCCGGTCTGCGCCGCGCCACCGTCGCCGCGGCCGCCGCCGCGCAAGGAGGACGATCCAGCGACCTCATCCAAGAGGGCGTAGTAGTAGTAAAAACTAGTATCCAATCAATCGCGCAGCCTGCTCCGATCTGAAGACGACGACGAGGAAGACGATGAGAGATCGATGGGTAGCCATGAACTCTGCTTCTTGCAGGGGAATTTTGATCACAAGTCTCCCTGTATATCTAAATCGTTGCAAAGTGATCAGCATTTCTTCTTCTTCTCATCTCTTTGCTGCTGAAATCTTCAGAAAAGAAGCAGACCATGAAGGATTGAAGATAGTTGAATATAGCTCGATCGATCGATCTCCTAGGGCTTCATTAGAAGCCATCCATCCATGCTTTGTCGCATGAAAAATTTTAAGCTCATGAGAATGCACATTACATTTCTTTCCCTTGTTCTTAATCTGCTCATTATTCCTCTTTTATTTACTACTTTATAATCGATTAAAATCGCATCACTAACACAAATCCAATCAGATGTAACCATGCTGCTGACGATCGATGCAGTAGTAATTACATGTATATATAATCCGGTACGGCGAGATCAGAGATCAACTGTGAGCAGGGTAAAAACGAACGAATTATTACTATCATCTCATGAAGAGGAGGTTGGCGAGGAGACAACCAATCAAGGAAGAAGAAGGGTACGCATCTCATACGCTGCGTTTTATGGCGATCTTGACTGCTGAGCGAACCTGCACATGCCAACCCCCCGCAATCAAACGCACAACACGTCCAAATCATCAACCCATCCATCCCTAAACCCAAATTAATCGATCTCACAAAAGCCCTAATTAATTATTCTCTCCTCTCTTCTTCAACCAACAACCAGAGTTGTTATTACAGCAGTAGATACACTCAGGTCTAGTTTAGTTCTCTACTTTTTTTTAAACCTTCAATTTTTCCATCACATCGAGACTTTCTTATACACAAAAACTTCTAACTTTTTCATCACGTCGTTCCAATTTTAATCAAACTTTCAATTTTAACGTGAACACACCCTCATCCATGCTACTCCAAACCAAGAAAGCAAGCAAATGTTGCAAGAACACAGAGATGCTGATGCAGATGCAACGGCAGCAAAGAATCAAGATTCAAGAATCAATCCGATGAGGAGGAGAAGAGAGAGAGAGAGGACATGTCTTGACATTAATGGGCGTAGCGCAGACAATAAATGGGGGTTCAGAGGGGGGAGGCCGGCACGGAGAGGGGGGAGAGAGATGGCAGGCAGGCATGCTTTAATGGCGGCCTGTGCCCATTCAGTGGGCACTGTCTTCCTCCTCCATCTCCCCTCCCCCCATCACCACACTAGTTGTTGTTGCTCATCACCACACTAGAGAGAGATTGAGAGTCATGAGAGACGATGCAGGCACAACGATGGGGATGGATAGCCACCATAGCCAAAGCAATACCCCAATGCTAGCTAGATACAGTAGATACAGAGATCAATCAGAGCAAGGGCTCGTTTGAATCAAAGAATTTATACAAATCATATGAAATTCCTATGCAATAACTCATTGCATATAGATTTTGAAGAAAACTTAGCAAGAGTTTCAACCTCTTACAAAATTTCCTTTGAGTATATTTCTCTACTGATTCCTACTCCCCCCGGTTTCATTTTAATTGACGTTTTGGATAATGACACGGTCTACAAAATATATCTTTGACCTTATTTTTCTATTATAATATACACAATAAATAAATGCATGTTTAATTTTATTATAGTGTTTTGAAAGACAAATCTATATATATTGTTCCAGTTTCTTTAAACTAAATATTTTTAAAGTTATTGATGGTCAAATTTATAAAAACTTGATTTCAACCTTGTCCAAAACGTCAATTCAAAGTGGTCTAATCAAATATGTTTTGCAATCCTCTATTCTCACTTGTATTTCTGTCTGAATCATGTGCTTTTCCTATTGCTTCTTTTTTTCAATCATGCAATTCAAAACAACCCTAAACCTTAAGCCCCTTTGAATCGCATGATTGAAAAAAAAAGAGAAATAGGAAAAAATACAGAATTTTGACAGGAATGCAAGTGTAAAATAGAGAATTGCAAAACATAGGAATGACTGTTTAATTGGATCGCAGGAAAAACACAGGAATCAAATGAGAAAAATAGACACAAAAGGAAATTTTCTCATAGATTGGAGCTCTTGCTAAGTTTCCTCCAAAATCTATATGCAATGAGCCATTTCATGGGAATTTCATAGGATTTAAAAAACTTCAATCATTTGAATCAAATGGCAACATAGGAAAATTCCTATAGGATATGAATCCTATGAAATTTCTACATAAAATCATTTGATTCAAAAGAGCCTTAAACGACTAAACAGTGTATTTCGTGCTAAAACTTTTTTCTATATATAAGTTACTTTAAAATATCAAATAAACATAATTTTCAAATTTGTAATAATTATAAGTCAATTAATCGTGTGCTAATGATTTTCTTGTTTTACGTGCCTTAACTTTATCTTCATCAATTTTAAGCACCCCTCTCCCACACAACACATATAAATGGAAGATGGAAGAAACAAACCAAGAAAGAAAAGTTGGTTTTAGTTGTCTTCGAATTGTTAATTGGAGTATCGAAATAGATTATTTGCTTCACATTTAGAAAAAAATAACTCTTTTCTTAAGAAAAAAACTTGGTTAGACCATTTGTTTTGAACTTATTTTTAGCAAAATATTTAATTTATCCTTATAATTAAGTATATACCTTTAGCAATAATTTGTACAACAGTCCGTTTTTAAACAAAACATTAGCCGTGTGTTCTACGGTTCCTTTTTATTGAATGACTGAACATATGAATGATTTGTGATAATTGTTTAAGAGTACTACTGTTTCTGTAAAAAAAAAAAACTCAATCTCGTACTATGATAGGTTGGTTTTTTTAAGGATGAAGGGAGTACATATGAATGAATTAACTTATCATAAAGTTTAAGAATTGGATTTGAAACAATATATAGAAAGGTTTTATGAAAATTGTACTACCTATTCATCAATCCATGCAGAAAAGAACGGGAATCAAGCTGAACTGTTTATCTGCGAAAGAAGTGTCTGAATTGATTATCTGTACAACACAAGGAGTAAAAAAAATCGCGGTAAAATTCTCGTGAGACGATAGAACGGAGTAGAAGGAACTGGAGCATGAAAGGACGAGTGAAAACGAACGGAACTGAGATCAAATGTCAAGTAAAATGGACGCACTGGCTGTACGTGCTCGGTCTAGCTTGATTTTAATTTTAGAATTTGGTTTTAATGTTCATTTCAGGTAGGCAAAGTCATATGTACAGTATTTTTCATGCAAATATTGAATGCTGCCATCGGTTGGCTTATTAGCAAAATAAAAATAATTTATGGATAAAAATATAATTTAAAAACCAATCTATGCAGAAAAGAACACATATAAATGCAGAAAAGCCTTATTTTTATATGTCTGTATTTAGCAATTTAAAAACCAATGCTGAAAAATAATTTTGATAAAAATTATAAAAGATGTGAATATTATGGAATTACCTAATATCAAATAATTAAAAGAGATGAGGTTTCAAATCTAGATCGTCTAGCCCACTACCTTGTGAAGCTAGTCGAAAGACTCATATGCGTTTCTCATTTCGATAAAAATATCAAAATTAAGTTTTAAAATTTAAATTTTGGAAGCGTTTAAAATTCAACTAAATATGCCGACGAATGGAGTTTTAGATCTTTTGCTTGTACTGAGTACTCTGGAGTAGTACGTAATCTGTTTGTGAGGATATTTTAAGCAAGCATATGATTGCTCTTTTCTCAAGATAATGACCATCAATTCTCCTTTTGGCATTGATCCCTCCCTCGTATCCTGAACCACAACACATGGCACCATCTGCTTGGAGTAATCTACAAGAGGCGATCGAGGCTGCGACCTACAAATCGGCGCGCCATTTTTAACCACTTGTTAATTTTACTCTTCCTATGCACCCACGCTTAATTTTAGTTGACTACTGCCTCCATTTCAAAAAGGCACAGTCACCCTTAACCTGGTTAAGACAAAAAAAAATAATTATTATCATCTCATAGTTTGGATTACCCTAATAATAGAATGCATGCACCCAATATAATTAAAGATCTTAATGGTAGAGGATTTAAATAATACGGAGTAATATTTTAGTGAAAAAGAGGTAATAATTAATAATATGCATGCATAGACGTCTTATATTATGAAACAACTTTAAAAAGTAGTTGTTTCTTATATTATGTAATGGAGGGAGTACTGAAGTACTCCATTCGTTCCTACACCTAGTATAGTATAATAACGGATCAGGTGCCACATTTTGTAGTACTCCATCCTTCCAAAAGTATTTTGGAAGCCCTTTTTCTTTTTAACCAAGATCTAGTTAACTATAAAACCAATGAACATGCAACCTATAACTACTAAAATGGTTTTTTGGGTTTCGATAAAATATTTAACATAGCACATAGTAACTATAAATATGACTTAGACTTTTGGAAAAACTAAAGAATGAAATATGACTTAGACTTTTGGAATGAGAGAGTATAGTACTAACGAATATGGCATTTCGTAGTACAACAAATCTGGACAACTACCTATTCATATTCATTTTATTATGAAATATCGCATCCGATTCTAGGTACACTTATATTGGGACGGATGGAGTATTAACCGTTATACTCTGTATTCTTTTGAAGGGATTGGAAAACCCCTACCCTCCACACATAAAACGGAACGATGAATTATGATTAATTAAGTATTAGCTAAAAAATTTAAAAAATATATCATCAATATGATTTTTATAGAAACTTTTCTATAGATTTTTTTTTGTAAAAAACCCCGTCGTTTAATAGTTTGGGAAACGTGTGTGCTAGGAAGGAGGAAGCGGAGGTTGGAACCAGTTAAGAACACAGCCAATTCGTCCGTTTCTACATTTCGACTTAGCTCTCTCCACAATTATCATAAACAGTTTTTCTAACTGCATTGCTTTCTATTTAAAAGCTTATTTAAATAATCAAATAAATATTTTTTTAAGTTTGTAATAATTAGTATTTGATTAATTATGTACTAATAATGGCTCATCTTGTTTCACATGTCGCCAAAAAATCTCATCCCACGAGCTGACCTGAACTCAACATTAATGCGCTTGGAGCTAACAAGTAGCTATAAGAGGAAGGCTAATAATACAGTCGACTTATTGCATGTAAGGTTCTTTGCAGCCTTCTCTCAGGCCACTTAAATTATAGTTAGCTCTTTACCATTAATGTAGGACTCACTTATCTCTCTCACAGAGTTTATTGTTTCTTGTGCCAAGCTGGCTGTAAATTTATAGCCCGCTTCTCCTCTTTCTCCTCTCTTCTCCTCTCTACCTCAGTACTCCTTCCATCTACTTTTGATAGGCATAT